ACAGTCAGATCTTTTCTGTGCGGTAGCACTCATTGCAGACGAGGCCACACTCGTTCCTTAACATTATTACGGCACTGGCGTCAGTCTCCTCCTCCATAGACCTCTCGCAATGCACTACGTCACTAATTAAAGCCGATTATTATGGCATTAAGTTAGCTTTATGTATTCTTAGTACAGACGACATCCTAAGATGACGACATCACATTAATTTAGCCAACCCACCTATAATTTTATTGAAAGCCTGAAAGCCACCTATTAGAACTTATAATGTGCCACTGGTGAATGACAGGTCACAGGACTCAACAGTTAGAGCAAGAGTTCGATATAGTGGCTAAAAGAACAGCACACCGGCAGGAGAGCGCAAATAGCTCATTCCGGCCATCTAACTTCTGCATCTTCTGCTTTGACAACCAACAACCAATCTGTTTGTTTTCCATGCAGTGACGCGAGTGGCGACTCCGACCTGATCGGCATCGAGGACATGCCGCAGTTCCGCGACGACTACTTCCCGCCCGGCGACACAGACTCAAGCAGCGGCATCATCTTGCACATGGGCGAAGCCACGGTAGGGCACGTTATGTACACCCAAACGTTATTGAATGAGGCTTTTCGCGATTGAAAAATTCGCCAAATGGCAATACGTAGACGCAAGGTCCAAATGCTGCGTGATTGGTGGATTTTGACATATCTGTCAATGTCATTAAATTGAACCTGACGGCGTGCACGATGGCGATGACGATCAGGGGAGCTGCTCCAAAACGCTGTTTACGTAGTTTCGGGTCTCTCTGCAACATTCGAAACTTCGGGTAACGTTTTTCGGAGTAGCCCCACAGACATACGCATTGATCGCTATAATATCGCCATCGCGCATGCAAGCTAGTCGCGTTGGTTTAGCTAGTTAGCCAAACCTTTAGATATGGTGAGACCCAGACGCATGGGTACCTACCCCCTAAAAAAACTGTGCGCGTGGGTACCTACTTAGCTACTCCTTCAAAAAAAATGTCTAGAATAGGGGTCTCCAAACTACCGCCCGCGGGCCATATCCGGCCCGCGAAGCCTATGTTTGCATAGGTGTGCATAAAAATTAAAAATGTTATAACCCTCGTAACATACCGAAAAAAATATTATGGCCCCAAGGCTTCAAAGTTTGGAGACCCCCTCCAAAACGGCACCATCCACTGAAACTTGCCGCTATCGACTACGGCTGTTAGCGTCAGCATTATTTAAGCAGTTTTCATACCTGTATTTTCTGCCTTATAACTTAATTTCTTATCTCTGCAGGACAACAAGCCCGTGACCACGCATGGCAACAACTTCGGGTTCAAGTCCACCAAGTACCTGCCACAGCCGCACCCAAAGTAACTGCCAAGTAACCTGTCCAGGGTGCCTACGCCGCGCGAAGTGCGCACACGCGTTTATCATCGGGAAACATTAGCATGATATTATTAGTAAAGATACCTATGTACATATTGTAAATTGTAACATGATTATCTATTTTTATACAAATATATTTTATTTTTATTTGCTACTATTTTGGTTTAATGTTTCAATAAGTTTATTTTGCCCAAGTGCGTAAAGTATCGTAAGCCAAAGAATAAATGCAACTCCAATCTCCAATGCAACTTAAAACTTAAAGACAACGTTTATCATCTGTGATTCTTTGATTGTAAATGTCTTAAAGTTCCAAAATACTAGTGGTCTAGACAAAGTGCAAATTTTATAGTTCCAAAATACTGGACTGTCCTGTCGATGACATTGACAGTGGGGCGCCACCGTCAATACCGGATCGCTGGTTCAGATTTTTGCCATGTTGGAAACCATATAATTGAACGATGGTAGCGCCCCCCTGTCATTGAGTTTGGCGGGACAGTTCAGCGTGGGTCATCTATAATCGCAAACCAGTCGAAAAGTGGTCGAAAAGCCCCTTTTTTGTATGGAGTTTTGACGGATTCGATTTTCGATTCGATCAAAAAGTGCGTTTTGTCTAGGGGGGCTGGACTGTCCTGTCGATGACATTGACATTGACAGTTCAGCGTGGGTCATCTATAACTGTCTGGTAACCTGAAAAAACTGAAAGATTACAATTTAATTATTTTTTACACTCACCTTCGAACTCGGAAAACAAAACCATGACTCGCAAAAAGCATTACTGTTCATTAGAGTTAGGTAAGTACCAATAAGATCATTTCCAAGCAAGTTTTAACGAAATGAAAGGTTCAAAAATGTAGCAGAACCACCTGGTTTCTTTTATAGACTTTAGCCCAGAGAATCTCAAGATTCTAGACCTCCACCACGTGGGGTCAATCTGCACTTAGATAAATTTGAGCCCATCCCTTTGCCACAGGCATGAAATAATCATCACCAAGGCAATGATGTCGGTTAATTCAAATTATTTATTAGTAAATGTACGCCCTTTTCAGGGCACATTTACCTAACTACAAGTCCCAATATAGCTTGCTCTGCCACCATAAATCCGCTGGTGTTGAAAAGAAGTGGCGGAGGTAACTCAAGTCACCTTTGTCAGCCTCTTTTTCAGAAAAGACTATTCACGAGTTTAAGTGCGAGCTAGGCAGGTAAACAGAAGTGACAATGGATAGGGCATATAATACGCGCAGGACTAATAGCCGATGGGACAGCAAGGTTCTGGAGTGGAGGCCACGTACCGGAAAGCGCAGCGTAGGACGTCCACAAGGTGGACCGACGACCTCATAAAGGTAGCGGGAAGGCGCTGTATGCAGGCCGCCACCAACCGGCCATTGTGGAAATCATTGGGGGAGGCCTATGTCCAGCAGTGGACGTCCTATGGAATAAATGATGATGATGATGAGGCAGGTAAAGTCCACGCACTTGTCATTAGGGTCGGACAGCATGCTGCCGCCGCAACCGGCGTGGTCGGCGGGCTGCCGCGCGCTGCGCAAGGCCTGCCTGATCTCCGAGAAGCACCCCGCCACGTACCTGCACTTCCGCAGCTACCCCACCGTCATCGCCGAGCGCCAGCGCCAGCTGAATGAGGGCGGGCCCTACGTTATACACCCTTTCAGCTTCTTCAGGTCTCATTCAGTTTTATTGCACACAGTAAACAACTTATCGTTTAGCAGCTTACATGACAAAAACAGGGATGTTATGGATATCCGTAAACGAAACCGAAACTTTCGGATATCCGAAATAAAAAAATATCCGTAACCGTAACCGATTCAACAGTTTCGGATGTAGGCAGTTTAATTATTTTTTGTATAGCATTATATTATGTAAAGGCATAACAGCCTGATTTACCTTTATAATGCCATCTAGTATCAATTTTTATTTTTTAATTATTTTTTATTCGATGTTTATTTTGCGCAGCCATGAATGAACCGTGTTGGAAAGCTATTGCAAATTGCACTCTAAAGCACAGGTATCCGTAACCGTTACCGAAACGTTCGGATATCTGAAATAAAAAAATATCCATAACCGTAACCGAAACCGGTACAATATTATTCCTATATTCGTAACCATATCCATACCATAACCGAAACTACATATCCAATTACTTAGGTAAGTAGGTACTAGTTTTTGATAGATATTCCGGATATCATCATCTCTTACTTCATAGCATGTCTAAGTACTGCAGTTATGAACCACCCGGCTACTCGCAGTTGGTTCGGTTCGGTCCTAGAGACAAAGATCTGTAACCAAAGTAGTAAATAGGTAGCTACTAGGACTACAAGAGGTACGAACAGAGCGATTTCAGAAATGCTAGCTTCATAAAGCGAAGCTATATCGAAATAGACACTGTCGCGAGTAATTTTGTACAGTTGCAGCACTTAGTTAATCCACCAATAAAACTAAGAAGGCCACCTTCCAGTTTGGTCTGGAACACCGTGATGTCAGTGCTAAACATCGCGCACATGGTGCTATCAAGCCTGCGCCTGTGCTTCGTGCTGCACGCGGCCGGCCCGACGCGGCTCCACCCCGTCGACCACGCTCTCCTCGCGCTACACATCTGCTGCTTGGCCGATATTGTCGTGATGTTCCACGTTGGGTACTTGGAAGGAAGGGGCAACGTCATTTTGGATAGATCCCTAATTGCTTGGTGAGCAAGATTTGAAGTGTGAATTTTTCTTTTGTTTAGTGTCTTGTGATCTCGCATACTTTGCTCGACAATACTAAACTANAAATGTAACAACAGCGCGGGCGACACAGTGCGAATCGTATTTTGACTACGAAAATAAATATAAATAAATCATGCAGTGAGTTCCATAGTTATCTAAAAACAAGATACGATATTCTAAAACAAAAATACGACTTAGTAGTCACCCCGCTACTTAACTGTTTTGTGTTTAGTGCTTTGATTTGTGTTATTCAATCCTACTTAATATTATAAATGCGAAAGTTTGGATGTCTGGATGTCTGTATGTTTGTTACTCTTTGTAGCAAAAACTACTAAACGGATTTTGATGAAACTTTACAGTATTATTGTTCATAACCCAGCATAAAACATAGGCTATAATTTATGACGATATGTGACAAACTAAATTTCACGCGGGTGAAGCCGCGGGCAAAAGCTAGTTTTCTATAAACTTGTAAAACTCCCAAAACTTTGTTTTATTTTATAATCGGCCGTTTGGTGTAGTGTTTCAGAACGGACTACTATGCCGAGAGGTCCCGGGTTCGATTCCCGGCCGGGCAGAAATTGAAATGATGAATTTTAATTTCTGTGACGGGTCTGGGTGTGACTATGTATAATATTTATGTATTTAAAAAAAAAGTATATAAGTAGTATATCCATTAAGCTAGCACCCATAACACAAGCATTAAGTTGCTTACTTTGGGGCTAGCTGGCGCTGTGTGAAAATTGTCCAAAGATTAATTATTAATTATTATTATTATAATTCCGCAGGTTTTTTTAGAACTATTCCTCAGTTGTCCCGCTCTGGCACATATAATAAATGGTCACGTTAACCATGGTGGACTCAGTGGCCTTTGTGTATTAAGTGTAACAAATTACTAATAATTTTTTCAGCCTAAACCGGCAGCTGCAAGCACTCTCCATGACGAAGTACGGCTCGGTGGACTCCGGGCTGAACCGCGCGGGGCTGGCGCCGGGCACCAACAAGCACGCCGTCGAGGGCTCCAACCCCATGTGGAACGAGGCCATCCGCGCGCCCGACTTCGACGCCATCAGGTAACATCATAGCTCTCTTCCAATGAATATTTTATTCAACGACATAAAACAACATCCAAGAAATAAAACAAAACTAAAACTAAATAGAGTGGGTAATGTGCGTGTCACTGAAACCGTATCCACTCAGCATCATGCCGAGGTGTCGTAAGAGACACCACGACGCTGGTCTTCTGTGGATACTCGAAGAGCAAGAGGCACTGCTATGACGCAGCAATACCTACTACTCCGGTTGCAGTAGGTACAAGTAACTAATTCGTATTCAGTCCAATCTTTGGAGTCCAAAGGACCAGTGCCGTACCTAGCCTTTCATACTCCCGGTGTATAAACTTCTATAACTTCGTGTTTGTACAGTCAGATCTTGAAATGATGAATTTTAATTTCTGTGACGGGTCTGGATGTTACTATGTATAATATGTATGTATTTAAAAAAAAAAAAGTATATAAGTAGTATATCCGTTAAGCTAGCACCCATAACACAAGCATTAAGTTGCTTACTTTAGGGCTAGCTGGCGATGTGTGAAATTGTCTAAAGATTTATTATTATTATGTTTGTACGCTTTGGAGCTCACGGGTCAAAAGTGGCCCGGTCCTTTATAAGGCTTGCGTGGGGATACAGATCCAACACGTAGAGGCCGTTTATAATTATTATCTATATTTTCTTCTTAAAGATTCTCGGAACTGGTTGTTCCGGTATTGCAAGAGAACCTTAATTATTATTATTATTATCTTTTCTGTGCGGTAGCACTAATTGCAGACGAGGCCACACTCGTTCCTTAACATTATTACGGCACTGGCGTCAGTCTCCTCCTTCATAGACCTCTCGCAAACGCAATGTACCTAATACGTCACTAAGTAAGGCCGATTATTATGCCATTAAGTTAGCTTTATTATTCTTCGTACAGTCGACACATTAGCCAACCTACCTATATTTTTGTTGAAAAGTTGCACCTAATTTATAACATGCCACTGGCGAATGACAAGACTCAACAGTTGCAATTGGAGCAAGAGTTCGATATAGTGGCTAAAAGAACACCAGCAGGAGAGCGCAAATACAGTAGCTCATTCCGGCCATCTAACTTCTGCATCTTCTGCTTTGACAACGTGACAATGTTGTTTGTTTTCCATGCAGTGACGCGAGTGGCGACTCCGACCTGATCGGCATCGAGGACATGCCGCAGTTCCGCGACGACTACTTCCCGCCCGGCGACACAGACTCAAGCAGCGGCATCATCTTGCACATGGGCGAAGCCACGGTAGGGCACGTAATGGAACCAATAACATAATAAAAAAATATGTACCTAAACGTTATTGAATTGATTTGAACTTCGATGTAACTTTTATGAGACAATAAATAAATTAAAAAAAGAACCTGCCGGCGTGCACGATGGCGATGACGATCAGACAAACGTATTGATCGCACGCAAGCTGGTCGCGTTGGTTAGCCCAAGCGGACGTGAGAGACGCAAACGCATGGGTAACCCCTCAAAAAAACTGTGTCTACTTAGCTAGAGTAATTCCAAAACAGCACCATCCATTGAAACTTGCCGCTATCGACTACGGCTGTTAGCGTCAGCATTATTTAAGTAATTTTCATATAGTTCCAAAATAGTGAACTGTCCTATCGATGACATTGACAGTGGGGCGCCACCGTCAATACCGGATCGCTGGTTCCGATTTTTGCCATGTTGGAAACCACAGAGAGCTCTGCTCTCTGTGGAAACCATAATAGTTGAACGATGGTAGCGCCCCCCTGTCATTGAGTTTGGCGGGACAGTTCAGCGTGGGTCATCTATATCTACCTGTCTTTCCTGTCTTGTAACTTAATTTCTTATCTCTGCAGGACAACAAGCCCGTGACCACGCATGGCAACAACTTCGGGTTCAAGTCCACCCCGTACCTGCCACAGCCGCACCCAAAGTAACTGCCAGGGTATAACCTGTCCAGGGTGCCTACGCCGCGCGAAGTGCGCACACGCGTTTATCATCGGGAAACATTAGCATGATATTATTAGTAAAGATACCTATGTACATATTGTAAATTGTAACATAATTATCTATTTTTATACAAATATATTTTATTTTTATTTGCTACTATTTTGTTTTAATGTTTCAATAAGTTTATTTTGCCCAAGTGCGTAAGTATCGTAAGCCAAAGAATAAATGCAACTCCAATCTCCAATGCAACTTAAAACTCAAAGACAAGGTCTATCATCTGTGATTCTTTGATTGTAAATGTCATAACTGTCTGTTAAAACTGAAAGATTACAATTTAATTAATTTTTACACTCACCTTTGAACTCGGAAAACAAAATCATGACTCGCAAAAAGCATTACTGTTCATTAGACTTAGGTAAGTACCAATTAAGATCATTTCCAAGCTAGTTAACGAAATAAAAGGTTCAAAGATGTAGCAGAACCACCTGGTTTCTTTTATCGACTTATGCCCAGAGAATCCCAAGATTCTAGACCACCACCACGTGGGGTCAATCTATGCTTTTGTCACAGGCATGAAATAATCATCACCAAGGCAATGTAGGTACGCCCTTTTAAGGGCACATTTACCTACCTACAAGTCCCAATATAGCTTGCTCTGCCACCATATCCGCTGGTGCTGAAAAGAAGTGGCGGAGGTAACTCAAAAGTCACCTTTGTCAGCCTCTTTTTCAGAAAAGACCATTTACAAGTTATGTATTAAGTGCGAGCTAGGCAGGTTAAGTCAACGCACTTGTCATTGTCACGTCCGAAATACCGCAGTGTCTCAAGACAAAAGTCTTTGACCAGTGTGTGATGGTATCATGGTATACGGATCTGAGACGTGCGTGGTCACTTACTATGGGCCTCATAAGAAGGCTCAAGGTCACCCAAAGGGCGATGAAGCGTGCTATGCTCGGAGGTCGCGGGAGGTGCCTGGATGCGAGCGGCGCAAGACCGGTCTTTGTGGAAATCCTTGGGGGAGGCCTTTGTCCAGCAGTGGACGTCTTTCGGCTGAACGAACGAACTTGTCATTAGGGTCGGACAGCATGCTGCCGCCGCAGCCGGCGTGGTCGGCGGGCTGCCGCGCGCTGCGCAAGGCCTGCCTGATCTCCGAGAAGCACCCCGCCACGTACCTGCACTTCCGCAGCTACCCGACCGTCATCGCCGAGCGCCAGCGCCAGCTCAACGAGGGCGGGCCCTACGTCATACACCCTTTCAGCTTCTTCAGGTTTCATTCAATTTATTGCGGAGCACCTAATAGACAACTTATCATTTAGCAGCTTACACGTCCAAAACCACATATACGTCGGTAATATGGATAGCTTTTCTGTGATAACTTAGGTAAGTAAGTAGGTACTAGTTTTTACCCGTGACTTCGTCCGGATAGATTATAAACATCATCTTCTCTTACTTCCTGAAGTTTCATGTCTAGGTACTACAGTTGTGGACTACCCGGCTATCCGCAGTTGGACCGCTCCTAGAGACAAAATCAGTAACAAAAGTAGTAAATAGGTAGCTACTAGGACTACAAGAGGTAACAGCGATTTGAGCAATGCCTTCATAAAGGGAAGTTATTTCGAAATAGACACTGTTGCGGATGTAATTTTGTGTAGTTGCAGTACTTAGTTAATCCACCATTAAAACTAAGAGGGCCACCTTCCAGTTTGGTCTGGAACACCGTGATGTCAGTGCTAAACATCGCGCACATGGTGCTATCAAGCCTGCGCCTGTGCTTCGTGCTGCACGCGGCCGGCCCGACGCGGCTTCACCCCGTCGACCACGCTCTCCTCGCGCTACACATCTGCTGCTTGGCCGATATTGTCGTGATGTTCCACGTTGGGTACTTGGAAGGAAGGGGCAACGTCATTTTGGATAGATCCCTAATTGCTTGGTGAGCAAGATTTGAAGTGTGAATTTTTCTTTTGTTTAGTGTCTTGTGATCTCGCATACTTTGCTCGACAATACTAAACTGNGAAATTAGTTTTATTTCCATTTAAATTAAGTAGGTACTTTTTTTTATGAAATCAACATTATATCAAATATTTGAAACAATTGAAATGTGATGTCACGAAACTTAGGACCCCTCCCACCCCTTGTCACACCATGTCACACTTTGTCAACCCCCTCCCCCCCCTCTTTACGTGTGACGTACTTTATGGATGACCCCTTACTCACATGTATTCGAAAATCTATTTAATTCATGTACTTAAATCTGTTTCAGCCGTTATGTTCGATCTTGGTTCTTCGTCGATTTGATATCAAGCCTGCCCGTAAGTTACGTGCTATTGTACCATCGTCCAACCACCAAGAAATATGTTTTGATAGGCCATATTCTGGCCGTTTTGAAATCAGTCAGAATTTGCCGGGATATGAACCACATTGTAACATTTATGAAGGTAAGTATTCGTTTATTCACCTAGTTCTGTTTCCATTAAATTATGCGTCATAAGCAACAGATTTTTATAATTTTTAACAGATATTTCGGAAGTCTTACATTTGCTACGGCACCATACGCAACCTGATTCTGTTCCTCCTGTCGGCACATTGGTGCAGCTGCTGCATATACGTCCCCCCGGTTCTCAACTACTACTGTAAGTCCTCACGTTAATCCTTCTAAACTTCATTTTGTAAAACTGAATTCACTACACAAGGATTTAACATTTCACCAGGGACGGGGAAAATGGTTAGAGGCTATAATTCATTTCTGAATTCGACGAATCTGAACGGTTACCCTATCGGTTATAGATACCAAAGAAGCATATTTATTTGTCTGTCTGCTTTTATGGGTAAGTTTACTTAGTACTTAATTATTTTATCAATTTAATGAAATTAGCAACTCTACTAATGGCATCACACTACTATATTACTTTAATCTTTACCCAGGTGCTGGATTCTCTATGTACAGAGTGTACGAGCCATTTGAAGTCATGATAAACGCTTCGCTCATATTGTACGCTGCACTCTTCATGATCTATACGTTAGGTAAAGTTCCTAAATAATCTTATTTATCTATCTAGTCTAGGTATGATAAATCTCTAACCGCATCAATTAATTTTGTAGTGTATCTCATAAAAGTCTACATCACGAGTTACCATTCTGTAATACGCTATCATGAGCTGATGAATCAATTGGAGGCAAGTATCAAAGTTGATTGATTGATTAAAACGTGATTTTCCCTGTTTACTGTACCATTAAACCTGATCCAGGAATATATGCGACACAAGCAGTTCCCCGCGCAACTGAAGAAGAGAGTCTTCGCCTTCTATTACTACCAGTACCAGGGCAACTACTTCAGGGAAGACTTGGCATTCGACACTCTGTCCGGTAACATTGCTGTAGACAATACCCATCCATTACTACATCACTCTCACCTACTAGGTAGTCGATGATTCGACAGCATAAAGGTCTCCAAAGACTTAGACTCCAACAAAGCCGAATAAGGTTCTATTATGCAACCAAGAAGACACTCCTGAACCCATTCAGTGTAGAGATGTAGGCCAAATTCTCGATTTGCCCCTAGTAAATAGTGTCGTGCTCCTGCAACGGAGTGGAGACCAAATGACGTGATGATGGACGACGACTTTCTCACGCAAGTTTCGAGGTTTACGTCACTAATTCCATAGGCAACTAAAATCGCTGACATAACTATGAACAGGGCATTTATAGCACGCAGTGCTGAGGGCCGATGGGGCAGCAGGGTTCTGGAAAAGGGTCACGCGGCAAGCGCAACGTGGGACCACCACAAGGTGGATAAATGACCTCATAAAGGTTGTCGCCACCAACCAGCCAATCTGGAAATCATTAAGGGTGGTCTATGTAGTGGTCCTGTCCTGTGGTTGAAACAATAATGTTGAATTGTTGATGATGAATCCTGCAGAGCAACTGCGCAACGAGATCGTCCTGCACACGTGCCACAAGTTAGTCGACAAGGTGGAGNAGGTGGAACTGTTCGATGGGCTACCAGCCAGCGTGGTAGGCTCCGTCCTGGGCTGCCTCCGAGCTGAAGTCTACTTGCCTAATGACCTGGTGGTGCGCGCGGGGGACATCGGAGACTGCATGTACTTCATCGCCAGCGGAACTGTGGCCGTGTACTCGCTGAAGGGAGTCGAGGTATTTTTTCTTGGAAGGTGCAGAGATTATTCTGCCAAGGGAAGGCAACCATTCTTTATTTATATTAACTGGTACCCATAGTAGTCTTTTCAGAGAACTTATCACTTCACAAACATAGGTTACCACTTTTTAGACTTTCCGCCACAGAAAAGTAACGCGAAAAATGAGATCAGCCTTTTGTTTTGACAATTAAAATTTTGGCTGACCCTCACATCCACATGTTTTCCTCCACTAAAGTGGATACTATGACTGTCGTCTTTTATCGAAGCTCCTATTGCAGCTGTATACCTATCTACCGGCTTATTGAGTCCGAGACAAGGGCTGTCTCAAGTGTCTTATTCTACTGCATACGTGAGTACGTATGCAGTAGAATAAGACCATAATGATGTTATGGTCATGATCATGATAAACTTTATGAACTTGTACATAGGTATGCCACCTGGTGGACGGCGCGCACTTCGGCGAGGTGGCGTTGCTGATGAAAGACAGCAAGCGCGTGGCCACCGTCGTCGCCGTCGAAATCACGCAAGTCTACCGCCTCGACGCTGAAGACTTTCGGTAACTTTTATGTTAATTCAATCACATGATAAACATACCCATTCTTATGTGGACACATTAAATGGGTACACCTTTTTCTGGTGCAGTCCTTTGTGACCCTGCACCATTTTCTCTTTAGAAAATCAATTTGAATGACGACTGAACTATGCCTCCTAGAAAGAAATTATATAGCTGCTGCAATTGACAGCTGTAATAAAATTAAATTCTTTGGCTTCAGGGTTTTCTACTTTGAAATATTAGCTAATGAAAAATAGCATGAATTCCAATACCATTCAACTATTCCAACTTCAGATCCAAAATATGTAGCTAAATATGATTCAATTATTCTTATTTGCAGGCACTTCATCGTCTCATACCAAGTACTGTTTGAGCGCATAGAAGCCCTTGCATCACAGAGAATGCACGAGACTGTTCTACTGGACGAGGCTTTCAGGAGAAATCGTGAGAAATTCGCTGAACACACCCAGAGTTCTCAAGAGCTAAACAAGACTCCTACAAAGTAACTACTTATTTCAATTCTGAGATACATTACGATTATAATATTTTTCAATTAATAATTTTAAGTTTAAATAAACAAGCATGGATTGCTACTTTAGTTGTTAATAAACGAATTTACTGCTAATTACATGTTTTTATCGCTTTCCAAATAAAATTGCCTCTTAAAATTTAAAATTTGTGTATATTTCTTATATTACAAAATTATCTCCTTACTGCTGCATTGCACTCATACATATTCCAAGGGAATGCATTAGATAGATATAAAATAACTTACAGGCTAGACTTAATCAGTATCAGACGTAGATACCGACCCATAACAACAGGAATAGTATGCCGAAGCCCGAGAACAAGGAGGCTACCAAAGAAAGAAGGAGCTCTTTGAAAAGGTCTCGGGACAGCTTCGTGCTGGTCACCTCGTACACGAAGAACCATGCCGTGAAGAAGATACCGATACCGAGGAGCAGCAACGTCAGATGTGGGAACACCGCTGGGTTGATCGGCGACGCGTAGCGTACCATGGACTCGATTTCCAACTGAAATAAAAAGATTATATGCAGTCAATATACGTGATTAATGTAGTAATGATATGTTGTCGAATCGAATAATACTTACACTCATTTTGAATAGATATTTCTTGGATTTTGCTAAAGATTTACACGCCGCAAAACACTCCACCGGCCAATAGGAATTTGACAAATCGAACGTCAAATATTTTTTTAAATAATTTTCGGCATTGGAATATAGACCACGCTCTCAGACTATTTTCATCGAGTAGTGCAATAGGTATACGTTATATAGCCTGACCAGGAACATAAAAACCCTGGCACAGAGGCGCGTCAATTGCATTTGATAGTGCAACACTGAGTACAGTCGTACCTGTGTTAAATTAATAGGCTAACTTTATGTATCAGGATTCAGGATTACGGGCTAATTTGATATTTTCATAAATTAACGAAAAAATATTATTATAGGTAGCCTGATTTAAATAAATTAAATGAAACCATCAATCGAGCTAGTAGAATTTATTTTATTATTCATCAATAATCAAATTCAGAACTTGAATATTCAACTGCAATGTCTGCTCATGAACGCTTACTTACTTACTTCTTTCCCAATCCCATAAAATTCAACACTTAGAAAGTGACAAAAAATTTTAAAATAGGTAGTTGAAACAAACGGGTATTTCGCCAAAAATGGTCGATTTTGCCTAATTTCCTTGGCACGAAATTTTTTTTTCAAACCACAGCTAATTTTCATAGTGGACTGTACTATACGATAAACATGTCAGTCAATTTGACAACCTTTGTCGGAACATTATTCAATGAAAATATTGTCCGAACCCTTAGTATTTCTCTTCGACAAATACTTTAACACATTGTGAACCACTTTTCTTTCACGACTGTAATAATATTTTAGCAATTTAATTCATAAAACCAATTGCGCACATTTAAAATAAAGTTTGTTTACACTTTGACAGCAATAGACTGACATGCAAGGTGACATGTCAATGAAGTTTTCAGTTACTGTTGCCATTAAAAGAAATTAGTACCATTAGTTTTCCGCAACATGGCGAGGGTTTTTATGTTCCTGGTCAGGCTATAAAATCTTTCCCCTTTAATAAAACGCACGCGTATTTTTACATAACAAAATTATTTTTAATGGGGATTTAGACAGTGGGGATTCAATATATAGATGACCCACGCTGAACTGTCCCACCAAACTCAATGACAGGGGGGCGCTACCATCGTTCAACTATATGGTTTCCAACATGGCAAAAATCGAAACCAGCGATCCGGTATTGACGGTGGCGCCCCACTGTCAATGTCATCGATAGGACAGTTCAGTATTTTGGAACTATAACAGAGTAGGTATTTACGCAAATCGTCGCTGTCATTCGCATTATCAACATTTTATGGTCATGGTCAGTTACTATTAAGGAAGGGGTGCGTCTCCATATGAAAATACATAGTCAAATAAACTTTGTGTTAAAACTTTTAATTCCAAGTCTGATGCTGATGACCGAAAAAAACAACTGTCATACGTGATACGTCAAAATTTTTGTTGAAGTTCACACCAGCTGATTTCCACTAAGTTGTTGTTTTATAGTTAAAAAATCGCAATTTCTCATGATGAATTTGTTAAATCGAGCTGGTGAACTACCTAATTACTATGTAATGTAAAAGTAAAAGCTAAAATCAAATGTAAAAAACAAGGGAAACAATGAATCCGCAATGTTTCTTAATAAACTTGAACAGGGCTACAATGCACAATGCCAACATGAACATCGAACAAAAACCTACTGCAGCGAAGGAGAAGCTCATGTCCTACGAGGAGAAATCGGTAGGGTCCACCCCATTTTTCAAATGTGAAGCCTGTCCTTACATGGCGCTCGCCGAGGACGATATAAAGTTTCACCTGTTCACTGTGCACCCAGACCTAGCCAAGAGCAACGGGCTCGCAGACAACATACAGATCCCATGCCCGGGCTGCACCAGCATCTTCGACGCCGAGGAAACTCTGAGAACTCACTTGCGGAACCATCACAAAATGGGTATCAAAGACATAAAGAAAATGGTAAAGAGTCTAGTCCAAATCGCTCTGAAAAACGCCAAATTAAAAAAAGAAGAAAAGACTAATGATACCCCTCCCCCTCTGCCCATACAGCAGGTAGTAACAGACATGAAGATTCCCCAAGTGATTGAGATTATCCCTGATGCAGTTAATGCTAACAACCAATTGCCTGAAGGTGTTGCTTTCATATCAGTTGATGAGCTGAACAAAATGAGCACTCCAAACTTTGAGAAAGTTGACCCGAAGAATTTAATTCAAGAAGCCAGTATAAATATTGTGTACACAAATGAAGTATCAACTCAGTATGTTAATGTGAGTGAAGCAGGGGCCTCCAGTGCTAGCCATAATGTTGTCCAGGTGTCTAACATTCCCCCAGATCTGATATCATCAGTGCAGCCAAGGATAGCAGCTTTGCCATCTACAAACGCAAATCCTGCAAACTTGCCATCTCCTATCTCGAAAACAAAGGAAGATGGATTAATTTCAGATAGATCTGCTGAAGTGAATGACAATAGCATAGAAGAGGTAAAAGAAACTGGCGAGGCATGTCCACTTTGTCCTGTACATCTTGCAGATGAGAAGAATCAAGCGTACCACAGGAAGTGCCATCAAAACGGTCACTTGGTGTGTCCAGAATGTAAGANTTCGTTGGCGGTAGAGCTTTCTACGTCGCGCTGGGTCGGCATTATTGGCTAAATGCACAATTGCATTTATAGCATTCATTTTCACAAGCAAGGATCACAGCAAGGATATTTTGAATAAATAAACCATCGCGCGAGCCATTAAAAAAAAAAAAAAAAAAAAAAAAAAAAAAAAAAAAACAAGAAATAAAAAATAATAAAAAAAAAAAAAAAAAAAAAAAAAAAAAAAATAAATAAACCAACGAAGTGACATTCATATGAAATGACATTTATAAAAGTTAGGTTAAAATAGGTTTATTAGAGCTTTAAACAAGGCCCGAGCTCTCGATAACTTATCACACAGATAAAAGAGGATTTTAGCGCTAAATGACGATTATGAATAACAATTTTTATCAAACGTTTTATAAACCTCTATTAAGCATTTGATAAAATGTGAAAAATGATTATGAATAAGACCGTAAGTATTCACTGCAATCGATTAATGAACCGCGGAAATAATCAATTTTATCATACAAGAAATACCCCAGCACTAAATCTATTCCGTTTCACACATTGCGTACATTAAATNATGTAAGAGAGCTTTTGTGGCGGTTGATGCTCTTCATAACCATTTATGGAAAATACATAACATAGATCTGGAACTGCCGACGTGTGAAGTGTGTGGATTCAAAACATACAAAAAATATAGACTCTTCAATGTCCATATGAAATGCCATGGGAATGTGAAAAACTATATTTGTGAGTATCATCAATAATCTTTTATATTATTGGCCTTTTATGTAAAACAATGGTATATTTTTTGCCAACTGGTCTGGTGGTTCACATAGCAAATAGCCAGCTTAAGTTGCAGGTTTTGCAAATAATAAAATCGCTGTAGGGGGAAAAATTGCTGTGATAACAAGCATCTTCATCGGCAGTCCATGAATGCTTACAGAATATAACTACGTCTATGGACAAAAATCAGGCTGTCTATTTTTTTAAATTAATTTAAACTTCTTGCACATAATCATTGTAACGTGGAGGACTTACCTATCAACCAGTATCTGTACCAAGTAATTGGGATAGTCAAGCAATTTATTTTTAAGTACATTATTGTTGCTCTCCAGGCTCAATATGTTCAAAACCGTTCAAGAACGCCAACCAACTGTCGAAGCACAAGCAGATCCATCGGAAAGAGAAGAAGCAATGCTCCGTCTGCAAACTTGAGTTCAGTACTCCGCGGCGCATGGAGCTACACATGGCGGCCGTGCACGACAAGCTGCGGCCCTTCAAGTGCTGCCACTGCGACTACACCGCCGCCAGGAAGGCCGAGATGGCGCTGCACTTGCGCTCGCATACCGGTCAGTGGACTAGACCAGGGTTTCCCAATTTTTTTTTGCCAAAGAACCCTAATTGATTATACTTTTCCTAGCGGAACCCCCGTACTACTCCGCCCGCACGCCCTGCCCCTCCCTTGTGCGTAAACAAGTCGGTGCGAGCGAACAACGTCGGTCACGAAACGTGGGATAATATTTTTTACGGAACCCTTGCGGCCTTTCCACGGAACCCCAGGGTTCCGCGAACCACCATTCGGGAACCGCTGGACTAGACTTTAGTTACAGCGATAGGACGTCCACTGCTATTCAAAGACAACGGCTTCTAAGCAGATCCACTGGAAAGACAGAGCATTGCTCAGTCTGCAAGCGCATGAAGCTGCATATGCGGCCCTTCAAGTGCTGCCACTGCGACTACACCGCCGCCAGGAAGGCCGAGATGGCGCTGCACCTACGCTCCCATACAGGTCAGTGGACTAGGCTTTAGTTACAGCCATAGGACATCCACTGCTATTCAAAGACAACGGCCTCTAAGCAGATCCACTGGAAATGCAGAGCATTGCTCAGTTTGCAAGCGCTGAAGCTGCATATTGCTGCGGCCCTTCAAGTGCTGCCACTGCGACTACACCGCCGCCAGGAACATATTCTTATCTATGGCCAGGAAGGCCGAGATGGCGCTGCCACATGCGCTCGCATACCGGTCAGTGGTCTGGACTTTCTTTACAGCAGGACGTCCATTGCCATTGCACTGGACAAAGGCTTCTAAGCAGATCCGCAAAGAGAATGAGCTGTGGGATTTAGATGATCAACCACATAATGCTTCCTTTGTTTTGTGCTCGAGGACCAAGGTCCAGTTGGAACCATCACGGTTTTCCTATTTATACTAGGCAGGGTAAAAAACTTCGATACCGCGATGCAGGATTGTAGGCGCGGTGGTGTATGCCATAGTAAGTCATGTGTCAGCGCCATCTGTTGGTTGATGACACCACTAATCTGTAGTGGCATCATAGATGCCGCCACAAGCAGCGCTCGGTCTGTAAGTTAGAGGTCAGCACGGCGCGCCGCATGGAGCTGTACATGGCGTTCACGACAAGCTGCGGCCCTTCAAGTGCTGCCACTGTCAGTCTGGTCAGTGGACTAGACTTTAGTTACAGTGATAGGATGTACTGGACANACTGGACTACGGCCTCTAAGCAGATCCACTGAAAAGACAGAGCATTGCTCAGTCTGCAAGCGCATGAAGCTGCATATGCGGCCCTTCAAGTACTGCCACGCGTGGAAGGCCGAGATGACTTTACACCTGCGCTTACATACTGGTCAGTGGTATGGACTTTCGTTACAGCCTTCTTCTTAGTCGGACACTTGTCAGAGTGGTCGTGGTTGCGCTGATGAGGTATGCTGTGGGCTCCTGGCAATGGGCTTCCATTTTCTGGACGAAGGCCTCTCTCAAGGGTTTTCACAATGACTGGTCCTGCCGCGTATATACAGGTATTTCCCGTGATCACCAATAAACTTTTTTGTCTTACGGATAGTTTATTACTTTTGTTTTTTTTTTATAATACCTCAAATTACTTTAGACATTGACCAATGCTGTTTAACTATTGTTTCTGCGCTCATAGCGGCTAGACGCTCATAATGTAGGCACTTAGTACCTATACCTCTAAAAATAATTTCTCGATATTCCAGGTGTGAAGCCCTACGCGTGTAATCATGGCGACTGCACCTACAGATCCGCCGATCACAACGCAATGCGACGCCACAAGAAAACGCACTCCAAAGAGAGCGTCTACCAGTGCAAGTACTGCCCATACACCGCCATCCAATCAACCGTGTTCGCGGCGCATATGCTCTCGAAACACCCCAACGTTAGCTCAAACCAACTCCACCAGTGCCCCTACTGCCCCTTCAAAACAGTCAACAAAGACAAATTCCTCGTCCACCTCTCCACTCACTCGGACAAAAAGGAAATCCAGCTCCTACTCGAAATGAACGCCAAATCAAATAAACCGAGCTGGACGATACCGAGCAATGCGGAGCCAGAGAAAAACCCGACACAAGACTCCACTCCCAATAAACAGAGTGACGAAACTAACGCCATAGAAGTGTTCGATTGCGACAGCATATCCGAGAGCTTGCCGCAAAACTACTCAAAAAGCTACTGTAACACATCCAGCGGCGACGTCCCCCAACCCGACTATAACTCACAAGTGATCGTGACGGATCTCAGCAAAGATGACAACAATTCAGACTGCTTAATCTCCGAGAGCTCAAACGACACCATGATGGAAAGGCACCAGTATCCCTCGCAACACACCTTGCAGTTGCCTTACGATAACACGCAGTCGAATCTCCACGGGTTCCTGAATACATCGGTATCAATGAAACCGACATTCCTCCAAAATAATGACGTGAATTCTCTCGCTGCCAGTCACACCTCGATGGGGAATAATTGCAATAAAATCATGGGAAATTTCCCCATTAGGTTACCCCCAGTGCCGCAAATATCCGTTCGAAACAATATAATGCTGAAGCCCGTAGATAAGCTCTCTTTGCCTATTACAAAAGTGACAGGCCCCATAATAACGCCAACCCAGATATTACCCGTTCCATCTTCGAGTAACTCGCCAGTAAGCATCCAACTAGAACCTGACGGAATGCCAAGAAAAAAGCCGAAGATATCCGTGAAAAGCAACTTGATATTGAAAGGTCCAGATCAAGAAAATATGTTCCATTCGCAGCAAAAGATGGCGTTCAAAAGGCTGGAGGATAACGAGAGGTTCGGGTTAGGAAGCCCCATGACCTTCAACAATCTCATCACCACTCATACCATGATGGCGTATTCGGAAGACAATATGCTAGGGGATTCGGCGTCCACTCCCGTTGGCAATGAAATGAATGACAACTCCCAAATATTTACATTCAACCAGCAAATGAATGTTAATTCCATTACTATGCTCCCTCCGCCGGAGAAAATTCAAACAAACGATCCCAGTTACATCAAGCTGGAGGCGACTATAAAGCAGAACACCCAGTCGCCGAGTCTCGAGCGCATGTGCAACGCCAACATCCTCGGCAGCCAGGCCATCAGCCACGAGTACAAAGCCTCCCCGCCCCTTGAAGACATACACAAAAATATGAGCGAAATAAAAAACGAGGTGAAATCCGACGCTTTTTACAACCTACCGCTGAACAATACCGCGACGAACCCGTCTATATTAGACCAGTATTTGTTGGACAACATCATAGGTGGGCATATGGATTTGTCTTCGGTGGTTCTTCCCGAAGTCTCTGATGAACAGACTGACGTCATCGAGATCGATGATAATTCGGACGACAACAAGTTGCTGCCGCGATTCGACATGAACTTCCCTCTCGAGTCTTTGTATGTGATGCACAATGATTTCCACTTCTTAGAAAATGATGTTCCCGCAAATAACATGCCTGAAGTTGCTGTGAGCGAAATGAACAGAATAGTAACGGAGATGCCTATTATCAACCAAAAAGACAATTTAGATATCGTTCCTCCCGATAACTCGAATAACGACTTCCAAAACTTTATACAGGGCAAAAAGGATCCTATGATGAATACGTCAGTGAGACCGTCTACTAATAAAATAAATGTTAAAAATATTGAATTAATGAAAAATTGATTATTGTAAGTTGTTTAATGTAGAAATATGTAAATATTACATAACTTTGTATGTGTATATGCATTTAAAAGACTGTTATCTATAAATACAATATTATGTTGAACATTTTATTGGAATGATGCCTTGTTATTTATAAACAATTTCTGGAATATATTGCGATGAAATCTTTGCTATCCCTGACTTCTTGGCTGTGGTACAGTATCCATTCTTCGCTGATCCCGCCGAATGGTCTGGGGTCGGTATGGACGCCTTTTCCATTTGCAGGCCCAATAATAACTACGACTTTTCCCGAGAAGTACTTCAAATACTCCTTAAATGCCTCTCTATTGTTGAAGTAACAAAACAAGAGGGCTGTATTGTGTGATTCTTGAAGTAGCGTTATGATGTCTCTTTCTAACTTGTTGGCAGTGAAGAGGAGGGGTATAAACGTGGGTGGGGCGTACTTGCAGTGCCACCACGCCCCGTCTATCTCTACTCCTGATACCGGTATACCTGTGGAGAAAAGACACATTTGAAATTATTTTTTTATGCAAACTACCTACTTCTGAAGATTTTTCTTGGCAAAAGCCTCCTCCTCTAGAGAGCGTCAAGAAATATCCCGCACAAAAGGAAACACGGAAAATAAAAGAATTATAAAAGGAGTGATTCATGAGGCAACAACTAACTACCTGGGGTGCCTACATCATAGCGTGATTTAACTTACCCGTAGCCTCCGTAATTATCCACTCCAGCAGCCCACTCCCGCAGCCAATACTCAGCACTTTATCACAACGCAACCGCTGCAAGTGTTTCCGAAGAAAACTCAAATTCTCCTCAGAGGGAAACACCCACAGTAACTTGTTCCTATCTGGATGATCGTGATACTTCTCCACTATGTCCTTCCATTTCTTCTCTTTATAGAGCTCCACAATATCGTTCACTAAGTTCTCCTGCATATCACTGTTTTTAATTAAAATACAAACCACAATACAAACTTGCTACATAGACAAAATAGATAGACTAGATAAAAATGCGGATGAGAAACCTAGCATTGACAATGAGGGAGCGAGATATAGCCCAACGTACCTTCACTGGGATCGATCCATAAATCACCATACAGGGCCGAACTAGGTAATAACTTTTTCAATTATTTTCTAGAGAATCGGGTGTGTCTCACTTTAGAGAGTGATCTCCACTACCCTATCTATTAATAGCTATAAGAGTTAATAGGCACTTTCCCGAACTTGAATGGACATGCAAATAACTTAATAAGTACATCATATAAAATATCGAGAGACGATTTTTTTTTCTCCTCAATATTAGTGTAATGTCCGCCTCAAAGATCATGGAACCTGCCAACATTTAATAATAGGTTAAATCAGTTTCCCTTTCTATAAAAAAGCTTTTATCGGATTTGAACACTAAAATGTCTTAATAACTACACTTATATTTTAACAATCCGGCCCTGTAATAGCTCATCAGCAGTCAAGAAAAATTGGCCGTAACCCAAACATTATATTCTACTGGCACTAAATATAAATCAAATATTACATAAACTACACGCTAATAAATAAAAGATAAATGTTCAGAGTTCATTTTATTCGTATAAAATTGTTGGGTACAGTTACAAACAATGTTATATAAAATATTAGTAAAATACACAAACCAATAACAGTATGCATGTTTAATGAATAACTAAATTAGGATTTGCTTCCTAATTATAAGAGCTATCGTAATTTCGATAATTTTCTCCGCATGAGTTAACGCCCCCGTCTAAAGTTCAAACCACACTACGATTAGCTCGTAGCTATCTTAGCCAATATTCATCACCCACGTGATTTCGTAAATTAGCCTCGGTTTAAAATATTAACCTCTGCTTAGTTGCTCCGAAAACAACCAAGCTCATAAGAATCTACTTTCAGATTATAATGAAGATTTAACTTTCGTTTGCGCTAAGTGACAAAAAATAACAGTTTATTACGATGTTAACTTTTACATAAACTTAAAAGCCAATTAGAAGGCCCAATGAGCGTGGCAAAAGTTAAGCCACGCCCTCATCATGTTATGAATATTAAATAATTATGCAGATTATTACGTCAGTTCGCACCATTCATTGTAGTTTGTTTCATACTACACTGAATGATTGAACGGATATTTTATAATTTATTTTATAAAACAGATCAAACTACGATATTATCAAGGCCGTACTTTGCCAAATTTAGATCCAAATGGTTCTCACTCCAATCAGAATACCAAAATTGTGTAAGAAACTTTTTTTAAGTCAGTTCTCGGAGTAGATCATTGATTAATTAATGAAGTACATTATTATAAGATTGCCTCTCTTAATTAAGCAATTAATTTACATATTTTATGCTACCTTCCTCCACTCTGAACTAGCGCAGTAAAAAAATACATATTTTATGTTTAATATTATTAAGTTATCTGTGATATTACTAAGTTGTAACAAGCGTGTACATTATCATACACATGAAAAATAAGGTAAGATATTAATACCACAGTATAAATATGTTTGTATAGCGGCTTGTTTATTATTTCAGACTTAAATCTATTCTTGACGAGTACAGACAACAACACATCTGGCTTAAGGTAATTTTTTGTTGCAAAATAGCACCTATTGCAACAACAAAAGATGCCCCAGTATTTACCTTGATGTACTGTTGTGTATTAAAGTTCGGTCGCCTAGCAGATAGAATTTCGTACAATGACCCCAAGCTACCCATCCTAATCGCTCGCATGTAATTACTCGTATATTGCTCGTACAGTCACTGCGGCCGCCCGTTTCACAGTCGCGACAGCAATATAATTACGCGCGAGCGATAAGGTAAGGTAGCTTGGGGTCATTGTACGAAATTCTATCTGCACGGCGACCGGACTTTAGTCGTAGTATGGATATATGTGGAAACAGTGGCTGTTTTATTGTCTGTCAACGATGCCGTTTCGCAAAAACTAAGTATGTACACTTATATTTATTTACACTGTGATAATTATTGCGTCCTGTAATAAAAAATACGTCAACCATTACAATTCATCTATCTCTTTAAAATATGTTTATAATGGAAACACCATTTTGGGCTATTTGTTTTTCAGGCCGATGATGTTCTGGACTCAACAGTATGCTTAGTGCGAGTTTTACTTTATCTACTACCTATACAAAAATAAGTCGAGTTTTCTTCCCTGACGCTATAACTCCAGAACGCACGAACCGATTCCCACGGTTTTGCATTCGTTGGAAAGGTCTCGGGCTCCGTGAGGTTTATAGCAAAGAAATGTAGTCCACGCGCGCGAAGCCGCGGGCGGAAAGCTAGTTAGTTATAAGAACGAAAAATGCAATTACGTAAATCTTAAATACCTACTGTACCTGAGAACTTCAAACAACAGTGTTTTTCGTAAAACACTTAACTTTTGTGAATCAAATATGTAAGAACATTTTATTATGGGCTATGCCTGAATTAAATACCTTTTATTTTATTAAGGGCTGATTTTTCAATCCTCAGATATCTTTTATCTGAAGAATAATCTTGTCATTTTGACATATTTCCCATACTGAAACTGTCAATGTGCCAAACTTATTCTTCAGTTAAAAGTATCTGACGATTGAAAAATCTGCCCNTTATTTTATTAAAAAGTAGTTGGAGTGGCGCCGTCTAGCGGTATGAATATTAACTGTAACTTTTTTGATCAAAAAGCGTTCGTGAGTAAAACTCGGACTATGCACACGGATACTGTAAAATCTCTTATTTTAATATTTATTTAAATAATATGCACGTACGCTTATGGTACAAAGCGATTCCTTCCTACATGTTAAAATACATACACCCATTTATGTGTGCGTTAAGTCATTATTTGTTTATATTTGATTAAACTTCTGAAATGTATATTTACAAATGTTTTCGCACGAGGCAAAGTAAGACTTAGGGTTATTTTCATTATCTTATTATTAACATTGTATTATTATTACGTTTGCATTTAATTTCTCAAAAATTCATTCATACTTTTGTTTGGAATAATGTTGGCATTGGCAAACTACTATATAAATTGACTTTTATCTTATAGCGCGCGGGTCGCGCCGCAATGTACTTAAATAATTACTTGAGATCAACGTATGGTAGAGATCAAGTTTTCAGTCAAAATTATCATAACTACTAAGGATTTTTATGTTCCTACGAACCTCAAGTTGGACAAGTTATGCTATCACATTTCTTTTTGGCAAAAAAGAGCAATTCAACAAAAACAAGACCCAATAAAATTTCAATGAAACTATCAATTTTAAAAACTTCAATTCTTTAGCAGAATACTAATTTGTAAAGTAGTTCAAAATAACGAAGTTTCTACCCAGTCGCAGACTGCCAAGTAATCGAATACTTTGACTTCGCAAGTCTTCTTGAAAATTATAAACTTAATTTCAATAAAATAGACTCGGAAACATTATTATTACGGCACTTGTTTTGTTATTTTTACGCGTAAAATCCGTTAAAACGTGAAACATTTGAGATCAATTTGAATCGTTTTGGTTATTCGAGCTGGTGCCAAGATATTTAATTAAAAATAGTATATCGCATAACGTTTCTAAATCTTCTATGTAAATAAACATCAATAAAGTAAAATGAATAAGAAAACAGCTTACAATTAACCGTCTTGGACGCACTTATTGACTATTTTTAACCATTTTCCCTCTTTTGTTATGTCTACATAACTCGGTATTCGTTAACATTTCATTTTCATATCCAATTTCATAGTTAAAACGTAATTTACTTACATTAAAAGTTATAAATGACTAATGACTTAAAAATGTCTAAAAATCGCATACCAAATTGCGCGCCTCCACGTTTTGGAAAATTACACGACATAACTCTCAATAGTAAAAATATAAAAATAATGGTAGATTTTCCAATTGTACAAAATACCTGCTCCAAATACATAATCACCCATTTCAGCCTTCCGTTCCGTAATATCTGAAACAACGAAAAAACGTATATTGTTAACACCATTGTAACTGCTCAAAAGTGTGTAGTTTTTAATTCAAATAGGAAATTATAAAGATTGAATTGGACCACCTAACTTTAACCGTAACCATAAGGAATACCGGTGCTTTTTGTATGAGGTTTGACAGATTTTGACGTTTGTTAAAGTTAAAGTAAGATAGTGCAACCCAGCTTTAGTTTATCAACGAAACTCACCAGTTAATATTTAGCTTCATTTTCTGCCTCCAGTGCATTTTGGAGCTCAGCTTGGTGTCGTCTTCGCACGCAGCGCCATCCAGCTCCGACTTCCCATACAATATCTTCTTGTACAGCTCCATGTCTTTCGGAGGAGCGCCCACGTCCAAGTTATTGGCACTCGTTTTCTGTTCCAACTCCAGAATCTTCTTCTCATCTATCGGCGGAAGAGGAATGTTCTTCTGGCTGGCCATAGAGTTCGCTTTTCGGATTTTGTGCACGTACTCGTTGCCTTGCGGGCTCGGCGGTTTACGGTCAAAAGTGCACTTGCCGACTATGACGCTCTGCCGGGCGTGGTTCGCTTCTAGAATGTACGATTTGTCGATGACGTCTTTTTCTTGAGTGTTGTCGACGCTCATGTGTTTTTGGATGACTTCTTGGGGAAGAGGGGGGAGGGGGTTGAGGATTTTGAGGATGGATTTGTCGTTATTCTGTGGGGGAGCATCGGGAGTGTCTTGGGGAGGGTCTGAGCGCCCGTTGGCTGCGAGTTGCTTCAGGGCTCCTACGTCACAGTCCACGGCGGTCGCGGGCGATTGGTCGGGGTGCGTGTTGCGAATGTGACGTTCTNGACGTTCTAAGTTGTCTTTACGCCTGAAGCGCCTGTTGCATACCTTGCAGCGGAAGGGTTTTGAATCTGTAAGAAGATAGTCAATTTTATTTTTCAAGTAATGCACTTCTTAACTATAGGCACCCTACATCCCCTCGCTCGGCAAAAGTGAGGTAATATTATGTGTGTAGCAACTGAGTTTCTTCCGCCACTTCTTCTCAGCACCAGCCCATTATGTTGTCCCTAAGTGGTGGTGGCAAGCCAAGGATATCTTTTGGGACGTGTATAAGTGCCCTGGAAAGGGCCTATGTACTGAATAAATTGTTTCATTTCATTTAAGTCGACATAGCCCGACGGACGAAGTGGCAATAGGCAGGGCGCATAGTACGCAGAACTGACGGCCTGACTGATGGGGCAGAAATGTTCTGGAGCGGAGGCCGCGTACCGGAAAATGCAGCGTGGGACGTCCACCCACAAGGTGAACCGACGACATCATAAAGGTAGCAGGAAGCAGGACGCGGGCCACTACCAATCGATCAATATGGAAATCATTGGGGGAGGCCTATGTTCAGCAGTGGACGTCTTATGGCTGAAAATGATGATGATGATGAATGTTTATGTGCTATTTCTACCTTTGATGATGACGATGCTCATCTTAATGTTTCTTTCTTTAAATTTTTTTTCGCTCCAGCACTTGTCTGTGGACAAAGGACACTGACCGGTGTGAACACTGACGGACGATGGGGCAGCAAGGTTCTGGAGTGGAGGCCGCGTACCGGAAAACGCAGCGTGGTACGTCCATCCACAAGGTGAACCGACGACATCATAAAGGTAGCAGGATGGCGCTGGACGCAGGCCGCTGCCAATCGATCAACATGGAAATCATTGGGGGGAGGCCGATGTTCAGCAGTGGACGTCCTATGACTAAAAATGATGATGATGACGAAAGTTTATGTGCTATTTCTGTCTTTGATGATGACGATGTTCATCATCAACAGCCCTTTACAGTCCACTGCTGGACTATGAGCCTCCTCCACTATAGTGGAGGGTTTTGCCATAATCTCCACGCTAGGCAGGCGGGTTGGAGATCGCAGTTTAAAAGATTGATGTTTTTCAGAGAGCGCTGCTGCCCATTCTCTGTTTGATGTGTAGTCCCTAAGTCGCCTCTTACGACACCCGCGGGAAGAGTAGGGGTTGGTGACAAATGTATTCTACTCTGCCGTCACCACACGGCTTGTGTGCACGGCCTGGTGGCGGCGCATGTCCTTGCGCGAGTGGAAGGCACGCGGGCAGCGCGGGCACTGGTGCGCGCCCCGCTCGGCACCTGTCTGTAGACGGAGGACACTGACCGGTGTGCACGGCCTGGTGGCGGCGCATGTCCTTGCGCGAGTGGAAGGCGCGCGGGCAGCGCGGGCACTGGTGCGCGCGCCGCTCCGGCACCGGCGCCGCGCACAGCGCACAGCCGCGTCCGCAACCGCATTTCTTGTCTGTGGAAAAAGACCATAGTCTTTTTACAACTACTTTTTACTGTGGGCGGGGCGGCGGAGACAGTTAATTGTTTTCACTAGCTTTTATGCCCCTGTTGAGGCACGGACTTATCAGGTACACCAACAAAATCACATACATAATACAGTTCATACGTTTTAACATGGACTTGGGGTAAATGCATCGGACGGCAGTCTCAGGAGGGCGCCATATGGAAAGAAGGAGGCGCTTTATGAAAAAAGTGATAAAGTTTTATATTCCCTCCCGCTTCGTCCATAAAGTCGCTTCTGACTTCTTCGACATCTATGGAGAGTTGGGGGGATATCGCTCAATTTTTTATTATTATTGTTTTCTGTTCAGCTGTGCGTGAGCTCGTGCCAGTCAGTGACTCACCGTCGTGCTTGGCCACGTGCTTCCTGTAGTTGGAGCTGTCACGGAAGCGACGCGCGCAGATGGCGCACGCATAGGGCCGCGCCTCGCTGTGCGTGAGCTCGTGCTTGCGCAGCGATGACAGGTTATTGAAACCCTTGCTGCACTGCACACATACGAACTTTTTCTCTTCTGCTGACGGAAATGTACAGAATTTTATTTAAATTGGTCTTACTTTAAAGTAAGACGCACAAACACAGTGCAAACAACATAATATTATTATGTGGTGGTACAAATGCGTTTATCTCTAAATTAAATTGCTAACATTCACAGAAGAATGTTGTGGAGGAGGAATTCTAAGTTACATATTATAAAAAAATCCCAAATCACTATAAAAACATCTGATAGCAGGATAGTAAACAATGTCAATTGTGCCAGTTTCCATACTCTTAAAAGTTATGGTTTTTAATTAATAACCATGTTAATTAAAATGTAACAACTTACTTGAATGCTTGAGCTTGTGCCGCTGCAGTTTGGACATCTGAAAGAAGCTGTCCCCACAAACGTCACAGGCGTATGTGCGCTCATTCCGATGAACCCTCATGTGGTACTTGAAGTGAGAGTGCGTGGCAAAGCTCTGGTGAAAAATTCATTCATATTAAGATTTTATTACATTTTTAGATTAATGTTTAGTGTAGATTTATGAACAGAATAAGTTATTTTTTTAATACATATAAATGTATTTTTACTAAAACAAACCTTGGTACACTCCGGACATTGAAACGGTTTCCGCTGTCCATTGCAATAAGCATGATATGCAACCTGGCTCCTGGCATGGAACCTCTTATTACAAACAGTACACACATAGCATCTTCCATTTGCATCTGAAATAAAACAATCAAGTTTTTAGCATTCATACGACACTAAAGGCTTTTATACAATAAATCAACACAACTATGTGTATGTTATTGAAGAAATGGACTAATTATGAGGAATACACATTGGGAAATAATTTATGTTGTAGATATTTCATATCTAGAAGTGCATTCAAAAAACACAAACCAGTTTCTATTCTAATATGAGACGTCTCCGGCTTTTTCTTTTTTTCATAATCATTATAAACTTCCGATACGATTTCCTTCTCCTTTTCGTATACCAAAGGCACCTCGGGGGGTTCGGGGCTGTCATCTCCACACACTTCGTCGTCAGGTTCGGTGCACTCTTGAATAGACGCTAAACAAGCGCTGCATCCAGACTTCTCGTGCAGCAAGCAGTCCATACACTTGACATGCCCACAGCTCTCCGTCACTAGCCGGTTATCCGTCAGGTTCACCACCTTCTCATTGCGACAAGTAACACAAACTTGGGAATTCATAATGGCATAATCACAGGCATAACAAACAACTGAGAGGTTATGTGTCAAAACCTTGAAGTTCAAAATTAAGTTTCATATAATCTAACATTTCCGCAGTGAAGTTACGAATACTTAGGTTTAGGCCAGCCTTTTAATCATTAATATTGTGGAAAAACATAGCAAATACATTATTTTTAAAATGAAAAGCTTGACAGTTCGTCGCTTCGCTAGACAAACTTTGACATCATTCATTTACAAATGTTCGAATACATCTCAAAAATACATTGATTTTAAAGTAAATAAATTATAACTTTTCATTGATTTGTTTAAGATAACTATGTGATTTTCTTATCTCTTCATCAATTTTGCTTTTGTCCACATAATCAAAAACTTTTAACAATAAAATTGCTAAGTTTTATTTTCTTATTTTTTCATATTGCACTTGTATCTTGTATGTGTATCCGACTGTTTTATTTTTTTTCTTTAGCATCAGGAAAGCTGTGCTAATCTGTGGTTGGCCAGCGAGCTGTCATTCAATATTTAATTTCGTTTCGTACGCCTTGAAGCGTTTTTTTACATAAAATAAATAGATAATAATTTAAATAATAAACTCAAAATGGTAAGTTTAATATTATTTAAGTGTTTCTAAAGTCTTGTTCAATGCAAATATAGTGAATCTCCTGTCGACGTATGACTACTGTGGGCTTGTAACCTCAAAAATGAAATTTGTTTTCAGGACGTCTTTCTAATGATTAGGCGAAAAAAGTTAACCATATTCACCGATGCGAAGGACACGACGACGGTTTTAGAATTAAAGAAAATGATAGAAGGTGAGTACTGCTTGTGCGCTCGTATGAAAATCTATTTATAGTAGCGATACAATGTCGGGGAACCAGCGTAGGTTTTGTTGATATAGCGTGCTGTATTGCACTGTGTTCGTGACAAGGTGTTTCTCTATTCGAATAGGCCTTGCTATTGACCCCTAATATTATTGGGTGATGAGGTCTAAGCATTGTGAGTCACAGTGTTTTATGTTGTTTCAATGTCATTTCACATCTGTGATACTGTTGTTGTTGTCATGCAAAAAACTAAACAAAAAACATGGAAAAAAACAACCTACCTAATATAATAAGAATAAATGATCCCATATAAATGCAAATGTAAAATATCTGGTCCTTTTACATTAATTAAATTAAGTATCAGATGAATAAACTTGAATGACTGTAAACATGTCATGCTTTTATAGGAATTCTGAAGGTGCCTCCCCCTAGCCAGATGCTCTTCAACAAAGACAGTCAGCTGATGGAAGACGAAAAGACCCTGGCTGAGTACGGTTTGACATCCAACACTGCTAAAGCACAATGCCCTGCGCCCATCGGACTTGCACTTCGGTAAGCAGTTAATGCAATGTTGTTAGTTGTTATTGATGAGTTAGAAAACTTTTAAAAGGATTGGTGCTTATAAATACTTTACTTCCCATGAATATATTTGAAAGGATTTCACTCAATTTTGTGTTATTTACAGGAAGGAAAATGGTGAATTTGAAGCTTTGGATCTGACTGCATACTCATCCCCACCAGACTTGCCCGATGTCATGAAGTCTCAGGAAACCAACGGCCAGGAACAGGTAAAGTCTAAATTCTTATTACACCCTTTAAACTTATAATATACCTTTGTCTTATGATCCTAAAACAATAAAAAATTATAATATGCTTTGCACAATTAAGGGTTAATTTAACCTCCTAACATCTTTGATCATTGAATCAGTTCAAATATTGTAATTGAAATAAGAGGTAATTCTAATTTATAACTAAATTAAATTTTCTTCAAATCAAATCAAATCAAATCAAATCAAATAATCATTTATTGTGTTAGTTATAGGTAATACAATAACACAGATCTTAAATGTTTACATACAACCGCTATAACCTGCCGATTGGGCGTACAATATTATATTCATATGAATTCAGTTACGTAGTTGTAACATAATTATAACTACATAACAAACAATAAACACTTAACAAACTTCAGAACAAATAACAATCTTACATTTTAAAATCTTGTAACTTAAGGTAGGCTAGTTAGACTAATTAAATAATATAACATCAGTAACTAATTTTATCTCGTAAATATTCATTTAAGGAGTAATAACATTTTTTGACTAAAATTTCATACAGTGCTGTCTTGAAGTTTTTATAATTTAACTCTTTTAGNTTTTATGTTGTTTCAATGTCACATCTGTGATACTGTTGTTGTTGTCATGCAAAAAACTAAACAAAAAACATGGAAAAAACAACTTACCTAATATAATAAGAATAAATGATCCCTTAAAAATGCAAATGTAAACTATCTGGTCCTTTTACATTAATTAAATTAAGTATCAGATGAATAAACTTGAATGATTGTAAACATGTCATGCTTTTACAGGAATTCTGAAGGTGCCTCCCCCTAGCCAGATGCTCTTCAACAAAGACAGTCAGCTGATGGAAGACGAAAAGACCCTGGCTGAGTACGGTTTGACATCCAACACTGCTAAAGCACAATGCCCTGCGCCCATCGGACTTGCACTTCGGTAAGCACTTAATGCAATGTTGTTACTTATTATTGATCAGTTAGAAAACTTTTAAAAGGATTGGTGCTTATAAATACTTTTCTTTCCATGAATATATTTGAAAGGATTTCACTCAATTTTGTGTTATTTACAGGAAGGAAAATGGTGAATTTGAAGCTTTGGATCTGACTGCATACTCATCCCCACCAGACTTGCCCGATGTCATGAAGTCTCAGGAAACCAACGGCCAGGAACAGGTAAATTCTAACTTATTACACCCTTTAAAATTATATATTTTTCTTAAGATCCAAAAACAGTAAAAAATTATTATGTGCTTTGCACAATAAGTGTGCTTACACATTTAGACGATTTAGCAACACGACAAAGGCGCGACAGACGCGCTGCCGAAAATTTCATACTATGTGACAGCGGATTTATTTATTTATTTAATTAAATTGCATTTTAATTAAATAAATAAATAAATCCATTATAAAAACGCCGCTACTGCGCTGTAGTCGCGCTACTAACGCAATAGTACTAATGTGAAAATGCTCTGAAGGGTTTATTTACCCTTACCCTACATCTTTGATCATTGAATCAGTTCAAATATTGTAATTGAAATAAGAGGTAATTCTATAACTAAATTAAATTTTCTTCAAAACAAAGAAGAGACCTCAAAATATTTGTAGAATTAAAAATAAAATGGTAGGTATCAACTTGAACTTATATGTCTATTTAATTCTACTTCTCACATATAACACTAACTCAAGTAACATTATTTAAGTAACATTTAACGTCATTTCAACGAGTCTGTTTCCATTATTGTATTTAGACAGAGCGGTCTGATCCTAACACAAGTTGATAAAACTTAAAAGGATTAGATCCAAAACTTTGTTATGTGACTTGTTTGTATGAATAAAATATTTTGTATTTTTGTATTTTGTATTTTGTATCTGCAGCTGGTAGAAAACCAGTTTGTTGCTTTGTTGACTCCAAAAGCAACATTGTAGCTATGAATGTTTTTGTTTGGATCTATCCATTTAGCTGTAATTTATATCATTGTAATTATAATATAGACTCCACAATCAATGGATTATACTTTACTTTCAAGATCTGTCAAAATGATACTTTTCTATTCTTCATAGAATGAAATAATGAAAGAAGACTGATTTTAAATGATTAGTAGGACCCTCCTCTCTCTGTTATTCCAATACAAAAACTGAAATAAACATGTTTAGGATGTGTTTATGTTAATGACATGCTAATATTCTTTTCAATGCTTGTGTTCCATTATTCATAAGATACTATGCATTGGAGACTAATGTTGTTGTACATACATAGTTAGTTATCTCAATTTGTCTTTCTGAGCAAGATAGTGAAATGTTGAAAATAATCCTGAGCATCAGATTAACAACTGATATGATTCTATTTTAATCTTTCTTTTGTTCTAGTGCAATGTTGATTACAGATAAAAAAATGTGGTATTATTAATTGAAATTCTAAAGTCCACTTCATGACAGCTTTTGACCAAAATATTTGTCTTTGTCTTTTATTTGTCTTTTTATTATTAAGGGTTTTGTTTAGCATTCCAAAATGTGCAGTTTGTGCACTGCTTAGTATTTCATTTGTAGCTGACACTGGACGAACGTACTCACAGCGGATATTTTTCACACAACTTTTTCTGTGTTGGAATCGCAAAATGAATGTTGCGCATTTGTGTGGGATTTTAAATTACAGCACTTTAGAAATAGTCCCCTAGGGTTCTCCTCAATGACGAATCTATACTTGTACAGCAACTTCTGTTTTGTTATATGCTGAATAAAGTTTTCTTTTCTTATTATTCCACGGTTTTANAAAAAAGGGGAAAAAGGGAAAAAAAAGAAAAAAAAAAAAACAAAAATATCTCAATAAGTGAGATTTGAAGTTCGGTACTTAGTCCACCCTACTCGCCACTCGGCTACCGGGCACTTAACTATTGTAACGAAATTTGTTCATCTGTTCTCATTTCAATGCAATGCGACAAAAAGTTCGTTATTTTTCATAAGTCGAAAGTTTATAACCTCAAACACAAATTACACAAAAGGGCCACAATAATTGTTTTGATCACTTTTAGAGTTAGTTACACTAAAATATTGTTTTGTAAATGCACTTAATTTCAGTTCGAAGGGTTTATTAAGGTTTAATTAAAACTTTTACTCACTTAAATTTTCACTATTGGATTTAATGATTAATGGTATTATTACTTGATGTTACGAATTGCAAACACTGTCACTCACTATTTGAACTTAGTTTTTTACTTTGGTTCTAATTCCAGAGGTATATTGTTATTGTGAACATTTTTAAACATTTTTATTTACGGAGCTAATGTTTACTTGGCAGTAGCGCCATCTGTGCCCAAGACAGACCAGAAAGAAGAGACCTCAAAATATTTGTAAAATTAAAAATAAAATAGTCTCAAACTTGATCTGCAGCTGGTAGAAAACCAGTTGGTTGCTTTGTTGACTCCAAAAGCAACATTTGTAGCTATGAATGTTTTTGTTTGGATCTATCCATTTAGCTGTAATTTCTATCATTGTAATTATAATACAGACTCCACCAATCAATGGATTATACTTTACTTTTAAGATCTGAAAATAAAGTATAATAAATAAGAAATAAATATAATCCAAAAGATTCAGTGATACTTTTCTATTCTCCATAGAATGAAATAATGAAAGAAGACTGATTTTAAATGATTAGTAGGACCCTCCTCTCTCTGTTATTCCAATTCAAAAACTGAAATAAACATGTTTAGGATGTGTTTATGTTAATGACATGCTAATATTATTTTCAATGCTTGTGTTCCATTATTCATAAGATACTATGCATTGGAGCCTAATGTTGTACAATAGTTATCTCAATTAGTCTTTCTGAGCAAGATAGTGATATGTTGAAAATAATCCTGATTGTTTACTGCATCAGATTAACAACTGATATGATTCTATTTTAATCTTTCTTTTGTTCTAGTGATATGTTGATTACAGATAAAAAAAACCTATTATTAATTGAAATACTAAAGTCTAATTCATGACAACATTCAATTGCTCAGACAAAATATTTAGAAGTTATGTGTTTTGTTTAAGTCTTTTTATTATTTAGGGTTTTGTTTATTAGCATTCCAAAATGTGCACTGCTTAGTATTTCATTTGTAGCTGTCACTGGATGAACATACTGATATTGTATAATAATATTTTTCACACAACTTGTTCTGTGTTGGAATTGCAAAATGAATGTTGCGCATTTGTGTGGGATTTTAAATTACAACACTTTAGAAATAGTCCCCTAGGGTTCTCCTCAATGACGAATCTATACTTGTACAGCAACTTCTGTTTTGTTATTGCTGAATAAAGTTTTTCTTTTCTTATTATAATTCCATGGTTTTCTTCCACAGATGGACCAGCACTAAGCGCCGGCGATGCTCACTCCACGCCGCCGGCCGGGCGGTACCTTAAACTATATTTTTTTGCATATGAACATATTTTGTTAATAATTTATCGACGATATGTGTTCGATTTTAACAATCTGTTATGTCTACACATTTCTTTGTAGTATTTTTGTGATGCTTTGTACGATGGAGTGTAGCGCTTTTGTAGTTTGTTGCTCTACGAAATTCGAAAAACAATAGTTATGATGGTTTGTCCTTCTCGGACGTATTAATGTATTTTGTAACGATCGATGTTGGTGTTTGAGGCCGAACACACACTAAAGTGACGATGTGCGGGTAGTCGTCGGAATAAAGTTATTATTATTTTCTCAACAACGAATAACGGGTTAGCTGCATTCGCAGATTATTAGCAGTGGGCGATGATATTTTAAAGATAGAAATGTCGCCAAAATTAAAGCCTCGCGACGTTTACTAAAAATCGCTCATTGTATCTGCGATAAGAAAACTAATTTCTGTATTAGACTGAAGAGGAATTGATATTTCCCTTCTCTTACGTTTAAGGATTAGGTTCAATGTATACTAGCTAGATCATTGGCGGGGTCGCTTTCCTGTGCAGTCATTTTAGTGTGTGCCCGGCGTAAGGTAAGGCAAGTAGCGGCGGTGTACATGGAATGAGACCGCCATAGTAATCGCTGTCATTCGGCACTTGGGACACGTGAAAACCTGAATTTTGGGCTAAGTCTCCCCGCAGACTACAGATTTTTAGTCGACCCATAGTTTGCTCGGCTTCCAATTGTATGAGGAATGCTGAAACCAAATCGGTGTAATGTGCGTACTTCCGTACACTCCGTTCCGTAACAGACCAACCAAACTATCGGCCGATAAAAAGTCTAGTCTGCGGGGTGTCTAAATGTTTGCAATAACGGCTCTGAAATAGGGTTGTACCAGCCAAAACGGGACTGATAGATTCGTACGAAAGTCGGAAATTTTATTTATTATAGAAGCGTTTTAGGCCTCAGTCGGGTGTCACGGGTCGCAAGCGCCGCTTGAGGGCAGCACAGTGCTGACTGCCCTCGTTCTCTCGGAGCGGCACACGCATTTATTATTTGTTATCCTGTGTTTACCTGACGATTTGTTGATGTGTTTATTTGTACCTGTACAAAGAAATAAAATTATGGATCAGTGTATAGCAATGTTTGATTTGTATAAATCATACGAAACCTTTCAAAATGGTGTTGGTCTTTGAACTATTGATAGTAGAGTTGCCAAATTATTCATTGTAAAGTCGTGTGTCGCCCGAGAACGCAACCTCTTGATTCCCGGCGTCGATGGAATACTACATTTGTCAATTGTATGACAACAGCTGTTTCTTTATTACCGTTTAAGAATCGAAATGCAGCTCTAAATCTAAATTTATCTGAGATCTACCCGATCGATCAATCAACGCACCAGGAATCAGAGGCTTACTTACATATTTATTGTAATAATCTTAACGTCACAATAATCTTCACTCATCGTTATTGTGGCTCATTCACTACTAAGGCCATGACATTACACCATTGGTGACTAACCAGCTATACCAGTATCTCATTTTGTGAACTATCATAATAAAGTAATATTTTTGCACTAAACGATTTGTAACGCGTTCTACTAACGCTGCGTCACGGCATTAATTTCGTTCATAGCTTTACGCTGATATCGAAAATTTTTAAATACCCTATATTTAAGGTATATTTTCGTGCATTGCGATCTTTCGCAGCAGCGTGTGATTCTGGCCCTATGGAAATGAAAAGCATTGCTTTTGGGAAGTGCGACGAACGCGCGCGGTCGCCATCTAAATCGGCGATGGACCGCAATGCATAGAAGTCCCTTCCCTTTAGGGAATCTTACCATATTATTCATTGTCGATGGTTCTGAAGACAAAGTAACAACCGATCCGCTTCAAATCGCTTCCGCCGGCAAGCCAAAATATTAAAATATTGATTGCGTTACTTCAATATGTTTTTTAATTTTAGTTATTTTACAACTTCGTGATTTTTGAAAGGTCATGCGTTTTAACTTTATTGATTGAATGTTACTTTGTCTCCGGGCCTGGGTCCGTTCTTCGTGTCTGTACCTTATTTTTCTTGTAAAAAGTGAATTCTCTGTAGTGTGCGACGCCTGTCGCGAGCGCATAAAGTCATTTCAATAGTTGTATAGTTATCCACAGACGCGGCGAGCGGACGCGAAAACCTTTTAGCAATAGAGTAGGCGACCAGCTCACCGACGGAATAACTAAGGGATTGCCGTACACACTATTTTTCAACTTTATTGCCATGCAATAGAGTTCTAATATCAGTCGCCCTTGTGATGCAAATCAGGCCAAATCAGCGCAAGAATTAGGCCACATCAATGAAATAATAACCCTTATCATTTTACATCCAATCGCGCCGACTCTCTTGCTACGAGTTTTTCTAATCTTACATTATAATGTACACATTATAAATATGATTTTATTAAATTTAATGATAACGGTATTTAACTGATGATAGTTTAGAATGAACTATAGATATTAGCTAACTTAATAGGGGTAAAATAGGGGGCTTTTTATATTCGTAAATCCAGATGATTCCCGATTCTATGACATTCGAAACATCTATGAAATCGAACATCTGTAGTTCCTCTAACGAAAGGTTGCTATTGTTTTCTTTTTCTATTTTTTATGTAATGTTTTCTAATGCACCTTTTTGATGTAAGATGTTCTGTATATTTTGGTTTGGGCTCGACTCCTCAAAGACCCACGATATACGGTGTCCTGCGTCGGCGCGGGCGCAGCGCGTGCGTCGCGCATAGTTAGTTAATATCCCTTAAATTATATTTCACAATTCAGATGTTCTACCAAATACAATTTTCCGTTTAAAATGTAATCCAAAAATAGAATAGTTGGGTATTAAGTGGTATTGCACTTATTGCACTGTAATATTATAGGATAGTGAATTAATGGGTCGCTCTAAAAGTCTGGACGGTGGGGCTTTGAATAGGATAACAGTTGTAAAGATATTTAATCAACTTTCAAGCCGCCGGCGGCTAAAGATGTGTTGTTTCATAGTCCACTCACGTGAGTGTAAACGCTAACAGGAACTTGTTAAGGTCCGATTTTCCACGCTTATCGTAATTTCGGAATCAGAGCTTGCAAAAATGAAACTTCATGGTCAGTCATAAGTATTTAAAATCCCCGTGGCCCCTATACATTAACCGTATCGCCGTATTTTCACAAACTATCATGGATTTTGTGGAACCAAATAAATGTACGAAAATGACAGTGGATAACATGCTTTGCATAGACACTAGCGCCGCAGTTGAGTGACCAACTTCGTGATAATGGCCGGGCTAATGTTGCCCACCGTCCCAGAACATGGCGCCCGTTCTACCGGCCGCAGGCAGGTGTTACTTCTCATACTCAACTTTGCTGTGATGGTCCTTATCACCAAAGAAGTCTTACGGAGTTTCGTGGAACTAAAATTATAATCAACTGAACTGTTGCTGTCAAATTAATTAAAGGCACTAGCCCATTCACTACGGGACTTCTTTCGTGAAAACGGACTACAAATCCTATAGTGGTGGAAGAACAGCGTCTATATTATATGAATTTATTGATTTAACTAATAAGCGATTCTAGAGTCTCGCTGGTTTGAATGTTTTGTATACTACAAGAACAAAAAGTCGATTCAACGCGGTGGGACCTAGGAGAGAATACTAGTGTAGTGATTCTGTGCAAGTATGGAAGTCCACAATGAACCAGCAGAAAATAAAGCTGTTTTGATTTATTTTGACTTGTATTTATTTTCCTCTATTTTCTCCATAAATTATAATATTCAAACCTTTAATAAGTAGCTATGAAAGGTCTGAATAAGATTTTTATACAAAGGACGGACTAACGATCTCTCTCTGCTGTCTGGATAGTAAAATAATAACATTTATTGCCTCCAATTAATGGTGGTGGTGGATGGTTGTTAGGCCCGGTTTCCGCCAAGACGGAGCGCAGAGACTAATCAGATAGTGCCGTCTAGGGTGTGTTAAATAAACTAATAGTCGTAAAGCTTTATTAATCTGATCGTTCGATTGACTTGTCTTTTCGATTAATCGTTTCCGAAATATTTATTTTCGATTAATTAGTATTCGATTCGATATGGGCCTTGGTAAACAGAATCGTATCTCGCTAAGAACTTCGATGAAGAATCGATGAGATTTGAACAATCGTTAATTTAGGCATCCCTACTACTGTCATACCTGTCAAGTCAAGTGTCAACAAATGTCAAAATAAATGGTGTTTGTTGCCGAGCGTGGTCTTCTAACCTATAAAATAAACTAAAATAGCACAATTTTTGCTTTATTGCTGGAATAATTGGTTGCTTTATAATCACACACGTGGGAAGTGAACAAACAAAATGGGAAAACGTAAAGGGAAGTGTGTCAAAAAGAATCCGGCTACCAAGGAGGCTTTGGAACCAGAACACCTTGTGAAAGCACCGCACTCGTTCGTAATTCACCGCGGGCAATGCAGCAGGCACCTCATTGATCTGACCAAGGACTTCAGGAAGATTATGGAACCTTTCACAGCTTCGCAATTGAAGGTAAGCATTTAAGTTCGCACATTCACTCGAAGTACGCAGAACTGACGGCCGATGGGGCAGCAAGGTTCTGGAGTGGAGGCCGCGTACCGGAAAACGCAGCGTGGACCGACGACTTCATAAAGGTAGCAGGAGCCAGGAAGGCTTTGGTCGCAGGCCGCTACCAACTGGGCAGCATGGAAAGCATTGGGGGAGGCCTATGTTCAGTAGTAACATCCTATGGTTGAAATGATGACAAAGTTTGAAGTTTTACATTTATCTAATATCGATAATACACTTTTAAACCTTACTCTTAAAATTTGTAGTAGTAAAATTATTGGAGCAAGACATTTAATTTCAGGAAAGAAAAAATAATACTCTTAAGGACTTCCTCTCAGTGTCGGGATACCTGCATGTGTCCCACATGATACTGTTCACGGAGACAGAGCTAGGAACATACATGAGGCTGGCTCGGCTGCCTCGAGGACCCACACTTACTTTCAGAATACACAGTGTAAGTATTCAAGTTAATTTAAGATGTTTTGATAAGACTCAGCCTTTTTTTTCTAATTAAAGAAAGAATTTTTTTATCTAGTCCAAAATCCTTAATTTTGGTTTTTCCACTAATCTATCTTGCTTCTGTTTGCTTAAAACAAATAAAGGAAATTCAATTTAAATAATGCAACTTAGGGCTGTTTATTTCATGTAACTAAATTGCAGTACAGCTGCTGGATTCTATAAAACTTTGTTATTATTTTCAGTACAGCCTTGCCCGAGATGTGATTTCCTCCCTAAAGAAACAGTACGTAATAATGAAGGCGTTCCAGAATGCACCACTGATTGTGCTCAACAGTTTCTCCGGAGAAGGCATGCACATGAAGCTCATGGCTACCATGTTCCAGAACATGTTTCCCACCATCAACATTACCACTGTAAGGCTTTATTATAAATACATTTTTAATATAGAAAATAATATGTATGCACTCAAAATTACTGGTAACAATTTTATTCCAATCATAAATTCCTGTTATGGAATCATATGCACCATTGAAGCCATTTGTATTTTAAAACCCAGCCACATAATTTACTTTCTATTATGATGATAATGTTTTTAGGTGACTAGTGCAGCTAGAGAAGTCAAGTTAACAAAGAGTCAACCATTAACCTTCAATACTATTTCAGGTAAAACTTAAGAACATCCGTCGCTGTGTGCTCATGAACTACAACCCGTCCACAAAACTCATTGACCTCAGACATTATGTTATCAGAGCTACCCCAGTAGGACTCAACAAGGGAACTAAAAAGGTTAGTAATTTTTTAACTTATTCTATGACATTTTGCAAGTAACACTAATTATAAAGGTACAGTACAAGTAGTACAACCTAGTTTATGATAAAAAACTAAAACTCAGTAAAACTCATTTATTTCTGTAAGTAACTAAGTAGGCTTTAAAAAAGCACTTTTACACGTCCCAGTATTAACCCTACCACTGCTTCAGGACAATAAATGGGCCAGTGCTGAGAAGAAGCAGCGCAAGAAACTCAGACACTATAACCTATATTATTGTACTTTAATATTGTTATTTTTAAAGATATATTATTTTATTCATTTAATTTGATTGCAGATGGTGCAAGGGAAGATACCTAATTTAAATAGATGTCGTGATATGTCTGAATTTTTCGATAAGTAAGTAATAATATGTAGTTCTATTCCTTAGATAAGTACCAGACAAACACCAGTGTGAAAGTAAATGTTCTTTTTCCAAATAATATTACAACTTTACCAATTACAGGGCTGGACTTCTATCAGAAAGTGAGTTTGAAGATGACCCAAACTCCCAGGTTGTGTTACCACAGAATTTGGCATCCAGGGGTGCAACAGCAGAATCAAAATCAGCTATCAGACTAGTTGAGCTTGGACCCAGGATATCATTTCAACTAATAAAGGTATTGTATGAAATTTTTTAAGAGTATTCAATGATTTCTAATTAAAAACCAAAAGTACCAAGAATCAAAAATATTGTTGACAATTCTACTAATTTTAGATTGAAGATGGCCTGATGGACGGCGAAGTATTGTTCCACGAATTAGTCGAGAAAACGGAAGAAGATAAATTACTGATAAAGAAGAAAAGAGAAGAAAAAAGGCAAGTATCTCTGAGTAGCATTCTATTAAATATGCGGTATAATGTGTCAGTCAGAATACCAAAATATTTCTGAAATTAATACACTAAAGGAAAATATTATATTTTAATTATGTTCGTATTTTTACAGGCGTCTGAAAGAAAAACGCAAGAGCCAACAAGAAGAAAATGTGAAGCGCAAGCAACAGGAAAAGGAGGAGCTGAAACAAAAAGCAATGGAAGGCATAAAGAAGAAAAAGGAAATGACTGAAAGTCAAAGGTATGTTTGTTACATCGGCACCACACGTTTCTGCCAACATTCGTACCAACACTACCAACGTTGGTCGATAATTTAGTGAGGCGTTCAAACGTTGGCTTTCCTGTGCCGCCAAAGCCAACGTGAAGAAAGATGGCCCAACGTTTGAAGGCGCCAATACTATTTTCTAGATCCAAACGTTGGACGATTGCCGTTGTGACTTGGGACCAACGTGTGGAGCCGGACTATATGCGATAATATTAGGCGAGGTTTCCATCAAGGCGGAGCGGAGCGGATAAGTGTCGGGCGGAATATTTTTTCTATAGAATTTGACAACAGCGGCGGCGCGGCGCGGAGCGAATCTGTGCGTAGCGGAGAAGTGAAAAGCCCTCTACCCGCCTTGGTAGAAACTAGGCCTAACTTGAATTTATGATGTATCTATTTGACACTAACAAAAACGAATGCCATATTTCAGGCTGATGGAATTGGCAGCAGCCGAGTCTCAAAACGCAGACATGGAACAAGACGAAGAGAACGACGCGGACTATTACAGGGAAGAAGTTGGCGCGGAACCTGAAAAAGGTAAAAAAAAATACCTATTTTAATAATTATTTTAGTCAATCTTTGCTATATTGTTTTGCTATGGTTTATCCACAGACAGACACAGTGAGTGGATAATAACAACCTCATCATCATCCACCATCCACAATAACAACCTATGATGTAATAAATAAAACTTGCTTCCAGATCTTTTCACTGAAAACAAGAGGAAGCGGAAAGCCGACGACAACTCAGTTCGAGGATTCAAGAAGATGAGGCTAGATAAGAAAATAAAAAAGAAGTTTCATAAAAGCCAAGACACGGGTGATAAAGTCCAAAATCAACACAATAAAAAGGACGGTAGGAATAGAAAATTCCAGGACCAACAAGATGGTAGGAAGAAACCTTTCCACAGGAGACAGGATGATGGTAAAAGGAATAAACAGAATAATCAGAGAGGTGACAAACCATTCAACAAACAAAAAGTTTTTGGAGGGAAATTCAACAAGAATAAAATGGGCAAAAGCAGGGAAGGCAAAAGTAAAGGGAAAGGAAAAGGTAAAGGTAGGAAGTGAATGATACCTATAAGTTTATATTTTAAAATAAAAATAATTTATAATTACAAAACTATTTTATTTAATCAGGTTTTCCTTAAACTAAAAACATTGATTGAATAACATAATCATGAGATTTTATAAGATTTTCAAAATAGAGACAAAATACCAAATTGCTCAAGAGTTTAATTTACCACATACATAGCAAAGTTAATTGACCAAACTTAACTTTCTTTAACCAATTATGGAATTCGTGGTAGATATGTGGTTGCTTCATACAACGTTACATTATTTTGTACATATTTATAAGGCAGAAATGTAATCGGTGAGGATATTATAATTAAACATTAACATACGTTTTAGTTCTGAATGTGATCTTCTAACACCAGGTTCGTAGGGATGCGCAGTAGCCGATAGGGCTTCCTGCTGAAAATCAGTGTTGGGACATCCTACAAGGTGTCCCAAGTAAAACTGAGCGGGCGCCCTATTAACATGCATTTGTCTTTTTCGTTTTATTTTAACCATTGTATTGTATTGTCATAATGTGTGTTAATAAAGTTATTTATTATTATTATTATATTAATTAAAAGTTAGTTATCAGAATCAATAAGAAAGATTTTGATTTACCACAATTCGGAAAATAGACGTAGCTTCGTATTTACCAAGCACATAGTATAGTTTAATGTCACACAATCTCAAGTGAAAATAACGCGACAGCCGAGTACCCATTACCTGGGAGTTGTACGTGATTATTCTCAAAACATCTCGGTTTAGAATTAGATCAAGAAAACAATATCGTCCGCCATCATGACCTGGTTGTCCTGAGTCATCTTGTCGAGCGCGGCGTGTATCTCGCCTTCGGAGAACGTCTCGTGCGCATACGCCTCGTTGACGTGCGCCGTGATACGGTCAAGTGGCAAGGAGTTGGCGCGCTCGTCCCGGAATAGTTGTTGTAGCGCGGTCTTGAATTGACTCAACCTGGGGAGATTGATAGATGGAACAAGTTTAATTTGACTTATGCTTGGTTCAGATACAGCTATAATCGCGCGGTTGCTGGGCGGGCTGTTCTCTTACACTTGCATCAAGCCGTCCAGAAACCGCCTATAGCGGTTGTCTAAACAAGGCCAAGTTTGCGGGCACGAAACTAGCGATGGCGGGGCGACGCGACGGCGATGAGGAGTATTATTGCGATCGCCTCGCTCGGCCGTCGCCAGTTTCGTGCCCGCAGACTAAAGGGCGAATGTTGACGAGCCGGTTTCTACCCGGTCCAGTCTAGCGTCGCACAGTGGTCCCGATTTAATAAAACATGGACATTGATGCTAGAGGCACGAAAATTTTTTTGATGGTTACTGCTATGATAACTAATAAGGCAAAAAAATATTACAATCCTACGACGTCTATTTCGTAGTAAAAAAAAATATATACATATTTTTTGTATGGAAGAAATTACGTTTCTGTCAATTTTTCGNTAAGGGAGCAAACCAAGACGCTTGCAGTGTAAGCCATTTTTGAAAAAAGGGGGCGCCTTGAAAGGATACACGATTAACTTGATTTGAAACTCACACGTTAATTTTCTTTCTGTTCTTATCTTTGGTGTGCAATAAAGTGTATTTATTATTATTATTATTATAAACTCGTGAACGCGTCGACCTTTTTTTTGTTATCTACCTCTAAGAGGGGCGGCGCCACAGTAAAATTTTGGCCTGGTTAGAAAAAATCGTAGATCTTTGTCTGCTCATACAGTTGTATAATAGGTGCGGTTTTACAAGTATAAAATTATACACACCTTTTTTGGTAGGTATCTCTAACGCTCCCTAGTCACAATTATCTGGTCCACTCGGTTAGAAAATAATGAGGGCTATGGTTTTTATACTTAACAGTTGGCACCCCTGGCGATTGACAGGACCTTACTCTACAGTGGCGCCATCTTGATGAGTGCAAATGCGATAGTCCTCCTACCACTTTAGCGCTCACGAGTTGGCGCCACTGTCATCGCTACTAGCAAGTGACAGGACCTTACTCTACAGTGGCGCTAACTGGTGAGCGCTAAAACGATAGCCCTCATTGGTAGATCCCTGGTCGCTAATAACACCGGTCAACAAAAAAAAAATTTTTTTTTGCGCATAGATTTTACTTATTATATTCTGATTATATAAGCAAATTTATATAAAAAAGTGCGATTACAAATCGAAAATATTTGCTTTTTAAAGAGTTACAGCGATTTGAATTTTCCATCTTCATAGTAAAATGTCTCTAAAGATGCACGTCACATTCTCATTGGGATATATTTCTAGATAATTATGGGGGCTTATTCGCAAGAACAAGGGGCACGCTTTCATCAAAATATAGTGGGATTTGAGAGACGACGTTACCAAGGCCAGTAAACTGAAATCATGAGAGGGTTAGATTTTTATGAGAAAAATCTTGTATGGAACATGACATTAAATTACAACTTTTCATTTTTAATAAATATTTGGACTCTATTTTAAATTTTCTCTTGTGAGAATGAATCTTAAATGGATGTTTGGTATGTTTAAATAATTAGAAAGAATGTAAGAAAGAAAGAAAAAAATATATTTGGCAACAAATTAAATCATCTCTATGTTCATGTTTCATACATTCATTGATATGAATTTTTCTATTTTTTACACATAAAAGCAAATTCAGAACAATTTTTTGTTGTTATTCTTATTTCTAGGTATTAAAGCAATAAAAATAAGCTATGCATAACCCGTGCGCAAAAATGCTGTAGACAGTTGTAATAGGTGCGGTGCCAACAAAACAAAGTTGTAGTTACCTATTGGAGTCTATGGTCTTCTGTGAGGCCCGGGTGGAGCGCTGAGCTGGCTCGGGCTGCTCGGCGCGCGCGGCTCGCAGCACGGGCTCCGCCTCCTCGTCTGATGAGAACTGGTACGGGTCCTCGCTTGCGCCCGCGCCGCCCTGCGTACAAGGATTTAAGTATTTTGAACCTTATGGGCTTGGAATAAAGTTTATTTGAATGAGAGAGAAGTTATGACGTAGCGTAGAAACTTAATGTGATGTCAACTGTATACACCTTAGGCTGAGTTGTACCACCTAACTTTAACGGTAACTATAACGATAACCGGTGCTTTTTGTATGGAGTTTGACAGATTTTTTACGTTTATCAAAGTGAAGGTAAGATGGTGCAACCCAGCCTTAGAGCCGTTTTCGAAGCGCGCCACGTCGACACGCGTTTGTAGCGATACTGACGCGATACACAAACAAAAGTCGAACCCGATAACGCCGTCTGCATAGGCCCTTACTTCTACTGTTCTATCTAGCCATTATTCGCATCTTAGATGACTCTCACCAAGGGCGTCTCTCCCACTAAACCATGACAAATGACATAAAGAAACCCAATGACCATTAGTACAGTACGAGTAGCAACTATAAATAAATAAATATCTTTGGACAATCTCACACAGCGCCATTTAGCCCCAAAGTAAGCAATTAATATGCTTGTGTTATGGGTGCTAGCTTAACGGATATACTACTTATATACTCTTTTTTTTTTAAATACATACATAATTATACATAGTAACACCCAGACCCGTCACAGAAATTAAAATTCATCATTTCAATTTCTGCCCGGCCGGGAATCGAACCCGGGACCTCTCGGCATAGTAGTCCGTTCTGAACCACTACACCAAACGGCCGACCAACTAGTGTTCATTTCATTTACAGTAAAATATTGTCCTTACCGTCCTTCGCGACCTCTTGGCCTTCGGCTGCTCGGCCTGCTCGGCGTCCGAGCCCGCGGCCTCCTCGTCGGACGACGCGCGCCGCTTGCGACGTTTCTCTTTCGTCAGCACCTGGGGAAACCATACAAAGTGTTTGATTCCAGCTTTACTTCCCACTTCTTCTTCTTCCTCGGTCCCTCACTGATGAGGATCGCGACCACAGATAGTGTTCCTCCACAGACTGCGGTCATAAGCTGTGTGGACCGCACGATGAAAACTCCCGCCCACCGTCTTCCTCACCGCGTCCGACCGTCTCGTCGGTGCCCTGCCCCGAGCGCGTTTGCCTTCCATTTGTCCCAAGATAATTTGTTTCTCCAGACAATGCCTTGGATAATGTGTCCAAAGAAACAGAGGGTACACTTTAGGCATATAGTGGAGAGCCGCGCGTTTACTTCCTTAGACTTGAGCAAATGTAACTGTTGTTACATTCTCTCGGGAAAACTGCCACATCTAAATCTATACTGTAACTCAAGATATTATGTCTTTCATCAAATGAATTCATTGCTAAGCGCGCGCGCACTAGTGACTTATCATCGTGCAGTACTTATGTCTCTCCTGTACAGAGTACAAAGTAATTTGTGTGCGCCTCATTAAACCGTGTGTATTACCTCCGAATTTACTTGTCAATACTCAATCGTTTTATTGCATAACTACATTAGACATTCACATTAGGTCTTACAATTTAAGCAGTTAAACAATGTCGACCCAGTTAGGGCACAGCAACTTTAGGAACTGTCATAACATGTGCACACCACATGTTCCAAACCCATACATATATTTAGTGCGATCTATGATTCTTCTCACCTTTACCGAACTAACAGGAGTACCGAACTAATTCACTTAATCCTTCAAGGCCCGCGAATCTAGATACAATAGATAATCAATTGTTATGACATTAATGAATGCCGTCTGGGACTCAAGCTGTTAAAGCCAAATCAGCGTTAATCCTTTCGTTGCTAACAGACGGTATAAAAAATCACTGAAACACTGAATATAGATGGCGCTGCACTACGTCCGTGCCGTGCTGTTTCCACGACCACTTTTTTTTACACTTTTCCTCGAACCATTGTCTGTTCAACATCTACTGCGTGTAACAATACAAACTTTACCAAATAACGTCTCCTGAGTTTCTCTTCAACACCACTCGTAGTCCCACTTTAGGCCTCAGCCTCGAGTTTAGCGGGCAGCGGGGCGGGAGCGGCGGCGGCGCGGGAGCGGCAAGATCNAAATACTTAATACAACGTTGTATGTATAGGTCCGCTGGCCGTCAAAAAGTAGCTTATATGAGAGGTTGCCCAATTTACAATATGTTCATCATTGATAACTCACACAAATATCGTCTCTCTCTGAAGGATAAAAAGTTTTTTTTGTTTCCAGAAGCTCTTGATAGGATGGAAGCCCATAAATACTCTCTGAAGCGAGAATGAATCTCAAATTGCGATATTGCCATTTTGACAAATTACATGATGTAACTAGCGCTAACGTTTATCTTCAGGTAGACATAGTTTTAAGTTAAAAGATTGTCTACTATTACACACTGTTCTTCGTTTTGGAACAGTTCTTTGATTATAGGTAGTCGCTAATTTCGTTTTGTTAGACTCTTTCAGTTTAGCACATAAAGCGTAAACTAATTCCTCCTCAGAATGATCTAAAAGTGTTATTGAGCGCCTCTTCTTCTGAAGAAGAAGTATTTTGCATAAATCTTCAAAAGGTTTTTTATTTATACTAAAAGTCGATGGTTGCACATCTACTTCCGCAGTCTCATCAACTGGAGCGTCTTCCTCAGTATTAACGTTGTCTATGCGTTGTGTTAACTCTGTAAAAAACATTGTTTAAATCTATAGTTTTACAATTCGGCCAGACAATTTCAGAGTCTAGCCAATGCGAATTCTGGTGCAAAAATGTCTTTTGGGCTCTGCTGGAAGCAGACCATATCTTCTTTGATATATTTCTTGTAAAATTACGACTTAATGATTTGATAATTACTCAAATCTTCGGAAGACAATTCAATGCCAATACGTTCGTCATTTTAGTCTGAAATGGTCTGGCCGAAATGTAAAAATATAGGTTTAAAAAATGTTTTTTACCGAGTTAACACAATGCATAGACAACGTTAACACCGAGGAAGACGCTCCAGTTGATGAGACTGCGGAAGTAGATGTGCAACCATCGACTTCTGGTATAAATAAAAAACCTTTTGAAGATTTATGCAAAATTCTTCTTCTGCAGAAGAAGAGGCGCTCTCTAACACTTTTAGATCATTCTGAAGAGGAATTAGTTTACGCTTTATGTGCTAAACTGAAAGAGTCTAACAAAACGAAATTAGCGACTACCTATAATCAAAGAACTGTTCCAAAACGAAAAACAGTGTGAAATAGTAGACAACCTTTTAACTTAAAACTGTGTCTACCTGAAGATAAACGTTAGCGCTAGTTACATCATGTAATTTGTCAAAATGGCAATATCGCAATTTGAGATTCATTCTCACTTCAGAGAGTATTTATGAGCTTCCATCCTATTAAAAGCTTCTGGAAACAAAAAAAAACTTGTTATCCTTCAGAGAGAGATGATTTTTGTGTGAGTTATCAATGATAGACATATTGTAAATTGGGCAACCTCTCGTATAAGCTACTTTTTGACGGCCAGCGGACCTATACATACAACGTTGTATTAAGTATTTCCCTTAATTTTTTATTTTATTTTATTAAAAGCTGATGCGCGCGAGTGCGAGTCGTTGTTATGTGTCATCAAAGGTGTCCCTTATACACCATATTGTAATTTTGGCAATTTTTCGTGGAAATATTTAATATAAAAAAATCGATTTTTCAACCCTCGATAACTCAAAAGTACGCAGCGATAAGTGACAAGTATCTTCGCATGAAATACTCAAAATCACTTGTTTTATAACATGTGTGATCGGCATCTTGACATCGTTTAAGAATTTCGAAAAATTTACAGAAACGTAATTTCTTCCATACAAAAAATATCTACATATTTTTTTTTACTACGAAATAGACGTCGTAGGATTGTAATATTTTTTTGCCTTATTAGTTATCATAGCAGTAACCATTAAAAAAAAATTCGTGCTTCTAGCATCAATGTCCATGTTTTATTAAATCGGGACCACCGTGCGTCGGGTCAATGACGGACTTGTTTTTTGACCTGATTCGTCACCAGATCGTGTGGAAATCGGCTCAACACCCTCTCAGTGCCTTTTTCCTGTGATGCAGATTTCGGCACGCATGCGGATCTGGTCCACATGCGGGCTGCGCGCTTTTATGCATTTCATACATGTTTTTCTATTACGTGCGTTATAAGAAAAACATGTATGATTTGCATCAAAACATTATATAAACTCTGCTTTGGCTGCAGGCCGCTACCAACCGTGCGATGTGGAAGGCATTGGTAGAGGCCTATGTTCAGCAGTGGACGTCCTGTGGCTGAAATGATGATGATGATGATTATAAAGTTTTACACACCTATTAGAGTCGATGGTCTTCTGCGAAGCCCTAGTGGAACGCTGCGCGGGCTCGGGCTGCGAGGCGCGTGCGGCCCGCAGCACGGGCTCCGCCTCCTCGTCCGACGAGAACTGGTACGGGTCCTCGCTTGCGCCCGCGCCGCCCTGGGTACAACAAAGTTAATTAAGTTAAGACATAGTATAAATAGATGTGTCAAGTGCACCTACTTCATTTCTTTTGTTTTATCTATAGTCTGGTCTGTGAGCACGTAGAAATTTGTCCAATGACCCCAAGCTACCCATCCTTATCGCTCGCGCGTATAGCCTGANGACGTAGCGTGGGCAGGCCTCCTACTAGGTGGACCGACGATCTGGTAAAGGTCGCGGGAAGAGCCTGGATGCGGGCAGCGCAGGACCGTTCATTGTGGAAAACCTTGGGGGAGGCCTTTGTCCAGCAGTGGACGTCATTTGGCTGAAACGAACGAACGAACGATTTACAAAAAAAAGTATTTAAGTATGTTTATATCCGTTGTCTAGTACAAGTTTGAGACTAGAAGCGTAGTTAAAATGTCCAATGATATTTATTTATTTATTCCCACCTCTCGTTCCCACCACTGCAACTCCTGTAGCCAGGATCCACAGCTTGGCCGCCAATAAAAACCTAACCAGTGAAGGTCAAGTTAGTCCCGGGGAAAGTTAAACTGTCATTGGACCCGCAACGAAATTAATCAGAAGAACATAGGGAAACGACTCTAGCTGAATTCATAGCACGCAGAATGAGGGCTATCGTTTTAGCGCTCACCAGTTGGCGTCACTGTAGAGTAAGGTCCTGTCACTTGCTAGTAGCGAAGACAGTGGCGCCGACTGGTGAGCGCTAAAGTGGTAGGAGGACTATCGCATTTGCACTCATCAAGATGGCGCCACTCTAGAGTAAGGTCCTGTCAATCGCCAGGGGTGCCAACTGTTGAGTATAAAAACGATAGCCCTCATTGAGAGCAGCGTGGGACATCTACAAGATGACAAGGTGGAAGGGCGTCGGCGATGGCGTCGCTGGCGTCGCTCGTGAGCTTGGGCTTCATGAGGCGCGCGATGTGGATGCACTTGCTGCTGAGGACCTGTTCCTTGCTGCGTGTTCCCGTGGAGCAGAGGGTCCTGTTTGTATATGAACCAGCTCCCTTACCCTGGCCCTGCCCTTATATGGGTGTGAAACGTGAAAGGTCACCAAGGTCATCTCGCACCANTACATTTGTGCCCATCATCCTTTAGCCTATTAATTTAACACATGTACGACTATACTCAGTGTTGCACTATCAAATGCAATTGAAGCGCCTCTGTGCCAGGGTTTTTATGTTCCTGGTCAGGCTATAATTATATTGCTGTCGCGACTGTGCGACGGGCGCCCGCAGTGAGTGTGCGAGCGAGAGTACCTGACATGACTCAATAACTGTTATTCTCATGCCCGTTTTCACCATCAATCCCTAATTTTTAAGTGACCCCTATGGTAACATATATCAGTATTCAGGAATTTTGTTATCATAGGGGTCACTTAACATTTAGGGATTGATGGTGAAAACGGGTATCAGTGTCTGTCACCGATGGTGTCTCTACCACTAAAGTAATAAACTAATGGGAAAAATATGTACTCTATTGTCCATGGTGACAAATGAGATGAAGAATCCCAATTAATGCTAATGTTGTTTGAATTTTGTGAGTAAAATGTTATCCTTACCGTCCTTCGCGATCTCTTGGCCTTCGGCTGCTCGGCCTGCTCGGCGTCCGAGCCCGCGGCCTCCTCGTCGGACGACGCGCGCCGCTTGCGACGCTTCTCCTTTGTCAGCACCTGGGGAAACCATACTAAGTGTTTGATTCCAGCTTTACTTCCCACTTCTTCTTCTTCCTCGGTCCCTCACTGATGAGGATCGCGACCACAGATAGTGTTCCTCCACAGACTGCGGTCATAAGCTGTGTGGACCGCACGATGCAAACTCCCGCCCACCGTCTTCCTCACCGCGTCCGACCGTCTCGTCGGTGCCCTGCCCCGAGCGCGTTTGCCTTCCATTTGTCCCAAGATAATTTGTTTCTCCAGACAATGCCTTGGAGACCGCATAATGTGTCCAAAGAAACAGAGGGTACGCTTTAGGCATATAGTGGAGAGCCGCGCGTTTACTTCCTTAGGCTTGAGTAATATTGTGTTAAGTAGTGGGCAAATGTAACTGTTTTGTTACATTCTCTCGGGAAAACTGCCACATCTAAATCTATACTGTAACTCAAGATATTATGTCTTTCATCAAATGAATTCATTGCTAAGCGCGCTCGCACTAGTGACTTATCACCGTGCAGTACTTATGTTTCTCCTGTACAGAGTACAAAGTAATTTGTGTGCGCCTCATTAAACCGTGTGTATTACCTCCGAATTTACTTGTCAATACTCAATCGTTTTATTGCATAACTACATTAGACATTCACATTAGGTCTTACAATTTAAGCAGTTAAACAATGTCGACCCAGTTAGGGCACAGCAACTTTAGGAACTGGCCATGACATGTGCAAGCCATACGTAGTTTTTTTTATCCACAACGAGGAAGCTCTTGGTCTGTATCTCACCTGATGGTAAGTGACGATCAGGCCGAAGGTGGAAGCGAGCTTCACCCGGAATCTTCAACCACGGAGGAAATGGCTATCTTACCTCTAACTGCCGGAACACAATAATGCTGTTAACATTGTTGTTATGGCGACAGACTTAGGTAAGATGGTGGTAGCTAGCCAAGCGGACTTGGAACAAGCCCTACCACCAACCAAACCGAACAGAAAAATCTGCCCCCACTGGGAATCGAGCCCGGGACCTCTGCGTCTGAAGCAGGTGGTCTTACCACTAGACCACAGAGGCGGTAGTCCCACTAAAAAGAAACAAACCGACCTTCTTGAAGTAGGCGAACTGCACGAGCTCGATGGCGGCGTGCGCGTCGTCCTGCGTGACCTGGAAGCTGAGCCGGCACTTGGCGTGCGCCGTGGCCAGCCGGATCAGCGTCTCCAGCGTGCGCGCCGTCACCGGCTGCGTCTGTGAAGGAACGCTCGCACGTCAATAAAGTCAAAGTCAACGTCAAAATTTCTCTATTTGTTTAGACTAATAAATAGTTCTTACAAAGCGTCATTTTGCTCTTAAGGAGCCTCTAAAGCCTGGTCCGTGAGCACGTAGAATCCCGTCCAATGACCCCAAGCTACCCATCCTTATCGCTCGCGCGTAATTATGTTGCTGTCGCGACTGTGCGGCGGGCGCCCGCAGTAAGTGTGCGAGCGCGGACATCCCTCCACCACTGTCCATGACCATTCCAACTTTGCGGTTATAACTGGATGAATCGCGGGAGGTATACCCACCCAGATGTTAAGCTACCGATTCGAAGATGATAGCTAATAGCCCCCCCTGAAACATAGCTAGATAGATACATACGCTAATGCATATTATGAACTTGCTGCTGAGGATCTGTTCCTTGCTGCGTGTTCCCGTGGAGCAGAGGGTCCTGTTTGTGTATGAACCAGCTCCCTTACCCTGGCCCTGCCCTTATATGGGTGTGAAACGTGGAAGGTCACCAAGGTTATCTCGCACCAGCTGCAGGTCTTCATCAACCGCTGCCTTCGCCGAATTCTCGGCATATACTGGCCCGAGAAAATCTCCAACGTCGAGCTATTGGAACGCTGCCACGAGATTCCGATCGACCAGCAGATCAAGCGCCGCAAGTGGAACTGGATCGGCCACACTCTCCGAAGGGACCCCGATCACATCCCTAAGCAGGCTCTGGATTGGAATCCCCAAGGAAAACGCAAACGTGGTCGACCCAGGCAAACTTGGCGGCGCACTGTAGCGGACGAGGCGAAGAAGATCGGCAAAACCTGGAGCGAGATCAAGCGAGAAGCTCAAGACCGAACGAGATGGAGGACTGTTGTGGACGCCCTCTGCCCCATCTAGGGGACATAGGACCATAAGTCAAGTAAGTCAAGTCCCTTACCCTGGCCACGTCGCTGTCCATGGTGTCCTGGCTGCGCAGACGCGCGTACTCGTCAGCGATGACGTCACTCGCGTCGCTCGTGAGCTTGGGCTTCATGAGGCGCGCGATGTGGATGTACTTCCGCATGAACTTGCTGCTGAGGATCTGGTCTTTCTTGCTGCGGGTGTTCCCGTGGAGTAGAGGGTCGTATTTCTCGTATATCGACTCGCGGGACTCCTGAAATTATAGTTATTAACATTTTAAGGCGCATCTCGAAATATTTTAATCACTTGACGGGTTCAACCAATGTCTAATGCCCGTTTTCACCATCCTGGCAGCCTGTAATTAAGATAGCACCTAGTCCTAAGACAAAATTATGTATGTAAACCTCTTTGCTTGAATTTGTGTCTGTCTTGTTGGTTGTCCTAATTAAATAAATAAATAAATCAATCCCTAATTTTTAAGTGACCCCTAAGGTAACACGTAACAGGAATTTTGTTTTAATAGGGGTCACTTAAAAATTAAGGATTGATTTTGAAAACAGGCATAAGTAGCTCAGATGGTGACAGCAGCCGCCCGGCGAGCGAAAGATCGTGGGTTCCCCACTTTTAGCAAGTTTTATAATATTCCTAAAATTATGTGAAACAAAACTAGGTACATATTAATGATATATGAAAAACCGTTACAGATGGATTTCGAAGCACTCTGTGGCTTGCTAGGCGATTGCTTTTACTACTTAGGCGTTCGCATAAGAACGAATTTGAATTTTTGGGTACCACTAATGAGAATGTAACATTATCTTACATCAACTTCTTCAGTGTCGGGGTTTTCTGTTGACAACATTTCTACTGAAGAACCCATGGGTAGAACTTCGCCATCTTGCTCCTTTGGGTTTCTGAGAAAACAATATGAAAGAAAAATTAGCCATGCAAAGATCAATATTGTATTGAGGGTAGAGGGCTTATTTTAAGTCCACCTGGCTAGCTACCACCATCTTACCAAGTATTTCGTCATTGTTGTATGTTAACAGCATTATGTTTAGAGGTACGATAGCCAGCCTCTGCGGTTGAAGATTTAAAGTGAATCTCGCTTACTTTCCATCAGACGAGATGCATCCAAGAAAAGCAAGAACAAAAAAATAAATTACAGCATTATAGAGCAGCTACACTATGTGGAAAGTTGTTCGAATCAGATAGTGTAAACGCGCAGTTCAGTTCGTTTCCGTGCGTTGCCCAAACTTTCTTACGCTGATTCGATCAGCTTCGCGCATAGTGTAACTGCGCCTTCAGTACAACCAATATCTGCATACCTGTATCTGTGCATCCTGAGCACGTGTTCGGAGATCATGTTGTCGTGGTCGGCGTCGGCGATGTCCAGCATCACGAACAGCAGGTCGAAACGCGACAGCAAAGAGTCTTGGAGCCCGATGTTCTCCATCGGCGTCTTGTACTGGTCGTACTGGGGGTGATGAACGTGATTAAGAATTACACTCAATACGATCGATCGATCGAATACGAAAAAATCAATCAATACACTTGAGGTGTTGCTAATAATGGAGCGAAGTTAACTGAGAGATGTGTGTGTATAATGGAGAAGAACGAGAGAGCTGCCACACGGGCGTTGACGTTGCGTTGCGGTGTCGCAGCGACATCTCTCTTAGGCCCAGAACAGACGGTGAAACGCAACTGCAACGAAACTGCAACTTTCTGATGATTCTTATGAATGAAACTGAAAGTTTCAAACTGGTTGCGTCATGTGTGGTCTCTCAACGGACGCTGTGGCAGAAACTTAGATGCAACTCAAAAGTAACTAGCAGTTGCAGTTTTGTTGCAGTTGCGTTTCACCGTCTGTTCTGGGCCTTAGTGATACGCATAGGGTTATGACCTGTTGCGATCAATAACTTTTCGTAAACTCTCAAAACATAGTTTTTTCATAGAATTATTCGTATGTAGCATCCATCCAGCCACGTGCCGGAAAGCGCAGCGTAGGACGTCCACCACAAGGTGGAGCGACGACCTCATAAAGGTAGCAGGAAGACGCTGGATGCAGGCCGCTACCGACCGGTCATTATGGAAATCATTTGGGGAGGCCTATGTTCAGCAGTGGACGTTTTGGCTAAAATGATAATGATGAGTATCCATCTCACATCACTCGTCGGTTTATTATTATTATGTGCAATTATTGTGCACTTGTGCCTAGGCGATGGTGACGCGGCTCGTTCTAAATCTCCACCAGCAGCGTAACTATACCACCCGAGGTCTATACAAATACAGCATGGGGCCTTTGGCGTATTTAGGGTTATTTTGCGGGAGGGGCACCGGGACCATTACGAGGGGTTCTTGGGCCAGGGCCCCTTCAGGTTGGGGGCCCGTGGCATTTAGCCAGCCCTGCCACCCTATAGTTACGCCTCTGCACTGACTTACTTGGCAATGGTGACGCGGCCCGCTTTATGTAACACTGCACCAGAGTAAATACAAATGAGTAGGTCATATTCATAGAAACGCACGGGCGCGGTTTGTATGTGAGCGCGCCAATACGTATGCAGCGCGCACGCACACACTGACAAAATTTAGCGGGGATTAGCGGGGAGCCAGTCGTGGTTGCGCCGAATGTTGTTGGTGTGCGTGCGCGCCGCATACGTGTTGGCGCGCTCACATACAAACCGCGCTCGGTGCGTTTCTATGAAGATGACCTACTCATTTGTATTTACTCTGACTGCACTCACCCGGCCGTACACGGGGTTGGCGGCGGCCAGCACGCTGCAGCGCGCGTTGAGCGTGGCGTGCACGCCGGCCTTGGTATGGTGACGCGGCCCGCTCTATGTAACATGCACTCACCCGGCCGTACACGGGGTTGGCGGCGGCCAGCACGCTGCAGCGCGCGTTGAGCGTGGCGTGCACGCCGGCCTTGGTGATCAAAATAAAGAGATAAAATCTTTTTCAATTTTCTTTACATGGTCATAACATTTTGACCATTCCCCTGCACCAATTTGTGAGATATACCTGAAAACCCCGATAAAGCAGCTATTAAGAATAATATAAAAAAACATAACCCTCCTTGTGACGTAATTGGGTAATAAACTAAAATGTATCAAAATATTTCAGTCCAACTTACTGTCAACTCGACGACGCGCTTTAGAATCAAAGATTGACTTTGAATTATGTCTTATTTTACAATTTACATTGAAAACAATATGACTTGCTTGAGCTTTTTCGATTTTTTCACAAAAATAACAAATAGTCAAGAAGAGATTACAAAATTTTTGCAGCGGCTGACAGATTTCATAATTTTCTTTGACAGGTGACAATGAAACCATAGACAATTGCCATATGAAAAACACACTTTTCCAATATTTTTGTTTGCCATGAGATTCTGGTACACCTATACGGGGTTTTTCAGTTGGGTTTCTGTTTATAATTGCATTCCCAAAGGTTAAAATAAACATGTTATGTATTTTAAGAGTTTATTAGTAAAAAAAGCTAAAATAGGATAGGAATCCCAGAGAAAAACAATTGTGTGTGAGTAAAGCCAAAAATTTTTAGAAAAATAAACAAAATACGCATGTGTTGCGGATTAAAATCTCTTGTTTTATTTAGTACTAGCTGACCCGGCGAACTTCGTACCGCCTTAGCGTAGAGATTTTCTTAATATTTTTTTCCGTAAGAACCATCCTTGGACTTCCACAAACATTTAAAAAAAAGAATTATCGAAATCGGTTCAGCCGTTCAGACGTGATGCCGTGACAACGCGAAACGGGTTTCATTTTTATATATATAGATGATTACCGCAAAAGCAATTAAAACTATACCAAGGACAAAAACTATAACATAACTTTTAGCGCCTTTAGGGCAAAATGGTCACTTGAGTGTTACGTAACGTTTAGAGAGGGGGAGGGGGGGTACAGAAAAACGTTACGGTGCGTTACAAGGGGGGGAGGGGGAGTCTAAAATCTTCAAAAATTGCGTTACGTAATACTTGAATGCTCCCTAATACACAGTCCAAAAGTTTTTGTTCTACGACAAAAATTGACGAAGTTATGGCCAAATTACTAAAAAAGTTCACTGACCGCCCGGCGCGGGGACGATGACGTCACTATATCCGATCCGAACGCTGCCGGCGTACTGCGTGGATAGAAAAAATTTTTTTCTAGCCAAACTATCAGTTTTAGAGAAAAACTTGTAATGACATTTATTCATCAGAATAAAGTAAGCTATCGATAGGTAATTTTAAAAAATAGAAATTGTGAAAAATGACTATACTTTNCGGTGCGGTCGATGTCCGACATCTTGTCGAACTCGTCGATGCACACCACGCCGCGGTCGGCCAGCACCATCGCGCCGGCTTCCAGCCTGGGAACATATTTATTGTGTTAATCTAAGCGGTAGCTGGCAATATATAAGCGCCATTTGTGCTATATGGCAGCTTTATCAGTTTTGCCGTCGGGAGCACTACAAATACAGATCTGAGATCAAAATCGGGATAAAGATACAGTACTGGGAGGTGCCTGGATGAGAGCGGCGCAGGACCGGTCTTTGTGAAACGAACGAACTGCTACAACAACCTATTTTCCTGCTGGATTCTTAAGCTCTTTACACACCGTACCGGCAGCGGTTTAGATTTGTATAGGCGCCGCAGACTCGCCACCGCCGCCGCGGCGACATGTGTTAGGTGAGGTAAGGTGACCTTATAAATTCTGGGGTGAACAATGCGCAGCGGTGGTGACAACGCGCGGTGTCGTGTGTAAACAGCCTTACCGACATACGGCATAATTATGCTGAGTGGGGTCCCATTGCGATGGGCATCGCTGTGCGACAGGGCGGCACTGCTCAGTTCACTTTCTCTTCCATTGTATGTTTTATGTGTTACCTCTGTCTTGTTTGCTTTTTTTTATTTACCTCTTTTGTCTTTTCAACCGACTTCAAAAAAGGAGGAGGTTCTCAATTCGACCTGTATGTTTTTTTTTTCTATGTTACGCGATAACTCTGCCAAATATGAACAGATTTGAACAAATCTTTTTTCGGCGTATAGGTAATACCTCAAGGGTGGTCCCATTTAAATTTAATAATAGAAAAAACAACCCCCAAGGGGGGAAAATTGGGGATGAACTTTTTTATACGCAATATCTCCGCCGATTATAAATCTATTTGAAGGATTATTTTTTTGTTGAATAGGTATTATCAAAAGGGTGGTTTCATGCGAATTTGAAGAAAATATTTCACCCCCAAGGGTGGAAAATTGGGGATGAACTTTTGTATACGCAATATTTTTAATTTTTATTTTTTTTTTGTGTTCACGCATTTGAAGTCGGTTTTATTTTTTTTTAAGGTTAATTATGTGATGTCCATGGCAATAAATGTTTCTTTCTTTTCTTTCCTTACCGGCGGTCCCCGGTCTCCGGGTCGGTGGTGACGGCGGCGGTGAGCCCCACGCCTGAGGAGCCGCGGCCGGTGGTGGTGATGGCTCGCGGCGCCGTCTGCAGCACGTAGCGGAGTAATTGCGACTTGGCCACGGACGGGTCGCCGATGAGAAGCACGTTGATGTCACTGCAGAGATACAGACGACACATCAACATTAACGCTGTCCGCTGTGGCATATAATGTGGTTGTCACACCACTCTTCCAAGAGTGTAGCGACAAATTTTATTAGGTGGTTGTGATAGTGTTATTTTGCAACAAAAGTATAGTCTAATGTGCTGTCTACTGTACCACTTTATAACTGCAGTTGATAATGGATCAAATAAACCCTGAAATTAATTGCAAACATAAACCATACTCTGCCAAATCCAAACATTATTAAGTGATACTTATTGGGCTTTACTTCACATACGGAAATAATTTTACAAAGTAGTTATTTTACAGACAAAAATAATGATAGATGCTCATGTGCACATGGTTATTTATGCACATTAGTATCTTAAGGCTGAGTTGCATCATCTTATTTTGACTTTAACAAACGTCAAAAATATGTCAAACTCCATACAAAAAGCACCAGCTATTGTTAAAGTTACGGTCAAAGTAAGTTGACAACTGAGCCTAATTCATTCAGTCCATTAACTCTTTTGTTGTATAGTTAAAATTGTTTAACAATCTTACCCTCTGAGTCTAGTGCCATTAGGCAGTATCTTCTCCATCCCGCCCAGCAGCAGACACAGTATAGCCTTCTTGATGTACTCGTGCCCGTGTATGGACGGTGCCAGCGACTTGCTCAGCAACTCGAACATGTCCACGGTGGCTCTCTTGGCCAGACGCTTGCACAGCTTGATGTCTTCCAACGTGACGTTCAAGTTCATGTCTTTGTTTATTTGGGTTATGTTGTTGGCTATGAGGATGGTTCTGTAAAGTATTTGCAAGATTATTTACTGTGTACCTTAATTATCAAATCCAGAGAGTTTTTTTTATAGAATAGAAAATATTTATTTGTCTCAAAACAGGTTACAATTTATGTCAGAATGTATAGTCCGGTCGCCGAGCACGTAGAATTTCGTCCAATGACCCCAAACTACCCATCCTTGTCGCTCGCGCGTAATTATATTGCTGTCGCGTCTGTGCGACGGGCGGCCGCAGTGAGTGTGCGAGCGCGACAGGAATATAATTACGCGTGAGCAATAACGATAGGTAACTTGGGGTCATTGGACGAAATTCTACGTGCTCGGCGACCGGGCTTTAGTATTACAGTGTGTTGTACACTGTGCTATAGCCATGATATGAAGTGTCTTTGACTAAGTATAAATACTATAAATTAGACTGAAAATTTATTTGTTTATGTTTATCTATTCAAAAGTTTTAGATAAACAGAATAATAGTAAGATTATGTAAACCTACCTGAAAGTGCCAGCAGTGAAACTGCCTTGTTTAGAGGGCAGACACCTGTAGTTCCCAACCACCTGCACCCTGTCTCCAGGCTTGCACTTATCCACCAGATCGTCGTCGCAGACCACGTCCACACTCCGCGGCAGCTGGCCCGCAGGTGCCCTCTCCGGCATCTCCTGGACTGTGAGTGTCTGGTGGTCTTTGTACCGTGACAAACCATATTCAGTTTCCAGGGGATTTCCTTCGTCATCCTAAAATAATGATTGAAAATCTAGGTGAGTATAGAGGATAGCTTTCCGCCCGCGGCTTCGTGCGCGTGGACTACATTATCTACATATTTTACGGAACCCTATTTTTTTACAAAATAAAATTTAGCCTATGTTACTCGTAGATAATGTAGCTTTCGAATGGTGAAAGAATTTTTAAAAACGGTCCAGTAGTTTTTGAGCCTAATCATTACAACCAAACAAATAAACAAAGTTTTCCTCTTTATAATATTAGTGTAGATGAACAATAAATGTCAAGACATTATAGCAAGTAGTAGCAGTAATAGGAAACCTGATTGACAATGTGCTACAAAAAATCTAGCCTTATTATGACATAGCTTTGGCTTTTGGTTATACTAAACCCCCTTACTAATAAAACTTACACGCTCGTTGAACAGTGGTTTAAAGTGACGTTTAGTATGGAAATGTCATTTTAAAACAGTGTTCAACAACTGTGTAAAGGGTAAAGTCTTGTTTTTTTTACTTTTTTTTTTACCTTTGTAGGATACACAGCTGAAGTAGGGAAAGCTTCAAAAGATGTCAAGTCGGTGTACTTCCGTTCCATAACCTTCTTTGTAGCAGGGCAGTAATGTACACTGCGCACTACCTTGGGCCGCACCAGGGACACCCTGGTTACTATACCTTCCACACATATTAGGTTGCCCAAGTACCTAAAAGTTAGAGGAATACACTTAGGTGATTAGAATGAAATACGTAGTGTGGGAGTGTGAAACGGAACGCAAGGGAGTGAGTGAGAGAGTAAAAAAGACGCGATTTTGAGAACAAGACAATAAGTATTAAGACGGTTGACTTTCCTTTTTTTTTTTTGTGGTTATATCCCGGAAAAATTACAAATAAAGCTGATGAAATACAACTGCACTTCAATTTCTACAGCTTCTAAGGGACTTTATCTGTAACTTTTAAACAATAATACGAATGACAACTCACCTCGACGTTAAACTTCTTGGGGTTACATGTTTGTTTCCAAAGCTTCCAGAGAAGGCAACAAAAAACTCTTCTTGGACTTTAGCATATGTAGGATCAATTGAAGACACATATTCTTTGAGAGCACGCTGGAACGCTATTTGTTCTTCAAAAGCATTCTCAAGCAAATTCTTAGCTCTTTGTGGATTCTTTCTCCTGAGATCGTTCACATTTACAACTAATCGTTTAGACTTATCCGCTATCATTTGCTTAACTAACTCCATATAAATTCCTTGGTCTTCCTACAAAGGAAAATAAAGTAAAACATTGGTGTTAACATTTTACACAGTGAGTGAGGTCAGAGGTGAGGTTAGCTTTCGCTTGAAACTTACTTCATCGTCTAAAAACTCCAAATATTCTCTTTGCAAATCTCTCAGACGTTGATCAAAATCTCCGTCTTCCATATTTATTTAATGTTACTACAAAAAACAACAGAAAATTAAACAGAAACACAACAAAAACCACACAACAACAATAAACGAAAATTAACTTTTTTTTGACAGATTTAGCAGATTGACGAATTTGGCGCGAAACATATTTTTTTAAACATACGCCTAGTTTTAGAACGAAGTCATTTGGCCACGTTACCCAAGCCAATCAAGTCAACCCTATCTATTGATCGTTAAAATAGTATCAGTGACATATTGTTGAATGAAAGAAGTTTGTTTTATTTGGAGAAGTTGATTTCTTGAAAGACAAAATTATTTGTTCTATTAACTATTACGGTAGAGCAGCAAACGGATATGGATTAAGTGTTTTATCAAATATATTACGGCGGCATATCATAACTATGTCTGAACACAACTCGAATTCTAACCTCTCGGTATCACAAAGCACCAAGGAAACCGGTAGGCCTAAGTTAAAAATCTTAGCTTTCCACGGTTACAGACAGAATGGTGCTGTGTTTAGAGCTAAGATTGGGTCTTTTCGCAAAGCTGTTGCCAAGTATGCCCAGTTGACATTCATATCAGCTCCTCATAAAATCTTCAATGAAGATGGAGGAGGTGACGAAGGTTAGTTACAATAATATCTATCTTATCAAAGTCAAATATTTTATTCAGTACTTAGGCCCTTTCCAGGGCGCTTTTATACATCCCAAATATAGCTTTCCTTGCCAAATTTCGCAAATTACTCCGTTTTTATTCCTATTAGAAATAGTACCAACACTATTCCGTAATCTAACTAACAAATTAAATTAAGCCACAAGTTTTTTTCAATAAAATGTTTGCTATTATGATATCTGTTGCTCGAGGACTAATTTCATCATGTTGTATAGATTGCAGATCATGGTGGTTCAATGCTGAAGACAACACGTTCAGTGGTAAATGCTTGGGTGGCCCTGCAATAGGGTTTGAGGACACATTGAAGTTGGTTGAGAAGGTGGTTAAAGAGCATGGGCCATTTGATGGGTTCATGGGCTTCTCCCAGGGGGCATGCCTAGTGGGACTTTTAGCTGCTATGCAGCAGAAAGGATGTAAGTTTTTTATCACCATCAGTTTACTATAATCAATCTATGGAAATCTAAGTCTGCCGTATTGCCCAAACTTCTAGCTACATAGCAAAATTTGTTCATTTATTTATTACTTATGGTGCTGTCCCCATTTGAATATTTTTTTCAATTGTGGCCTCTTCTACATCTGAACTTGTGTTCTTGTGTTCCAGATTTACCATACACATTCAAGTTTGCAATATTTTCATCTGGGTTCCGATCAGGGAGTTTAGTGCATAAGGGATTCTATGATGAGGAAATAACTTTGCCCTCATTGCATGTTTATGGAGAAAGTGACTCTATTATTCCTAAAGGTAACAGATTTTTTGTATTCTTTTCAGCAACATTGCATTCATTGAGTTTGCTATAGCAAGATTTAAAACAATATCACTTTATTATAATTGATTCATTGTCCAGCAGTGGACATCTTTCGGCTGAAACGAACGAACGATTATAATTGATTAATACTATACACTAAAATAATATTACACTTTCAGAAATGAGTGAATCACTAATAAGCCTTTTCATAAAGCCTGTAGTGGCAGAACATTCTGGAGGCCATTACGTTGCATGCTCAGGATCCACCAAAGATGCGTATCTAGATTTCCTACATGACAGGTATCAAGATATACTGGAAGAGGACAAGGATCAGGAACAAGGAGATGAATAGATTACAAAGTAACAGAGCAATAGGTTTACGCTTAAACTGGACCAGAAAAATGAGACAGGTGATAGCCATTTGAGAAGAGACTACCTAATTCCCCTTTTCACCATCAATGACCAATTTTTAAGTGACCTCTTTGAAATCAAAATTCCTGTTGTATTAGCATAGGGGTCACTTAAAAATTAGGGATTGATGGAGAAAACGGGCATAAGAATCAAAAATTGGTTGAAATGGCTGGAAAATTTTAATGCAACATTCTTGTTAATTAAAGTTCTATAAATTACCATTGTCTTACACTTATTACTACAATTACTTATCACCTTTGTACTATTAATTTAATTATTTATTAATCTATGTATTAATACTTTTTTATTCTGAAACGTAAGGTGCAGTGAAAATGGATTCACTCATCCCTAACTCCCGTTCCATTTTCAATAGTTCCAAGTCCAGTTTATATTTTTCTCTTCTTGCTATTTCCACTTTCTCTTTCATTAGTTGTATTTCAACCTTAGCTTTCTTTTTTTTTAGTTCCACTAGTTCATTGAAATTATCTGAGGAAGTCATTTGTTGCAGTGGCGATTTTCGCTTTGTAGTTTCATGTACACGTTTTCCAGCAAAAGTTTCCTGTTCAGAGTTATCTGAGACATCTAAGCCATCTCCTGATGCATCTTTATCCACATAGCCCGATTCTATGTTATCGTCATCATTATTTGACTTGGAACTGCAACCAGCTTCTTGCCTGTTGTCCTGTGAATTTAAAGAATGATAGTTAATATAATAATTGCTCTGTGCTATCTCTCACCGTCATGCTCCTCTAGTCCTCTAGTCGGTGTGATAAGCTTCACGATAATCTGATATACTTTATTTTATTTATTATCTCGCGAGATTGTAAACTGTCGAAAAATTGTGAACCGGAGCGAGTTTACAATTTAACGCATTTTATTTTTCGGTAGATTATAATCTAACTAAGTGAAACCGCTTTAAATGACAATCTGTCGCACGTTAATTGGTCAACTGTATTAGGATTTAGGGCTGCTATTCCTGAGCCCCGATTACGGTAACTTTTAACGTCTACAATCCAGACACGCTTCATCGATTCTGCGATACGATTGGTCAAAACAGCTGACGTACGCTGTTTACGCTGGCGTACGTCAGCTGTTTGACCAATCGTATTGCAGAATCAGAAACGCGTCTGGATTGGAGACGTTAAAAATTACCGTAATCGGGGCTCTGTTTGTTCGGTCTTACAGCCAGCCATTCTGTGTCAGCCATAGAGTTAAGAACGAAACACGGGCGTCAGTCAATATTTATTATGAATTGTGACATCAAGTATTGATTTATTATTTTGGAGGTCAATAATCACAAACATCACATAGAAAAAAAAGGAATCAATAAAACTATTGCCAAACGTATTGTAAATTTATTTAAAAACGTAAATTATACTGACCTCTGCCTTTGGACAGGCAAAAACAGCATTTTGAGGCATCCTACCTTTGATTACGCCTCTTATTGGAGCCTTTTTCTTTGCTAAGCATATTTTACACAAATTTATGAATATTGAAATCGCAAATATTGGCACCATATATTTATCTCTCAAAACGTGAATAATTTTATCTCGACGTCCATGTCCAGTGGCAATATGTGCGTCGAGTATCAATTGATAATACTCTTCCACTGGAATTATTTGTACTAAAGGATCTGAGGTATCCTTTCTCTTCATTATTAAAACTTTCTGGTCACCAATATTCATTACATCGTATTTTTTTGCATGATAGTAATGCTTGCTTGTTAGTCGCCCACCTTGAGATTTGGATGTGTTGTACTCGTCTAACAATTTTATCACATTTTTTATTCTTTGATTTGTCCATTCATTTTTTTTATTATTTTTATTAAGACTGCTGTAATAGTTTTGTAACTCTATGGTAAAATCATCCCGATTAACAATAACTTGTTTAGCTGAGTTTTGTTGATGGTCAGGCTCAATATCCGACATGGCAAACAAAATTGTTATCTCGATTAAAAACTAATATAGGGTACCTAGTAGGTATGTAATTTAGGTTAGGTTCGGTGAATAACTGCACTTCTTTATTTAATCACCAATTCATAATTACATCCACAAAAAAAAATCTATAACGTATTCTACAGCTGTTTTCGATTCTAATCAGTTTAAAATCACCAAAATTATTCGTTTTATATTCCATCAAACGAACGACTTAACAAACAAATATGGCGGCGCGAAGCATTATTATGCCGTTCAACCAATCAGCGCGCAAAATGCGTTCCGTTTCGTCGCATCGTCATTTCATAATTTGACGGTTTCTTCACTTCGATAGATTCAACGTAAGCATTATGTTACGGTCTTAGATTAATAAATCGTTACGGGTCACCAATCACAATCTTTCGACAGTTAACAATCTCGCGAGATGGATTTATAATTTTACGTTTTTACAATTTTAAGTTAGTCAATTTTTGTATTGTTATAAACGAGCGACGATACCCGAACGGTGAAGGAATGAGGATCAGTCAGTAGATAAGGCAATTTATTCTGTTCGTAAGTGTAGCTAGAGTGTAATTTTATGATTGTTTAATTATTAAACATACATTTGAGAGCTTTTTTTGAGGCTTTTGGCATTCAAATTTATGAGGCAAAACTCCCTTCTTTAGTTTAAGCTGTCCTCCAACCAAATTATACTTTATGTAATTTTCCATATCTTCTTTCAACTGAAATATAAAAATGTAGGTATAAGTATGAATTTATTTATTTACTTCTAACAATAAGGCATAGCTGAGGCAGATACATAAATGACCAAAGGCATAAGTTGAAGCCTTGACTGATTTTTGCAGTCAAGTGGTTTTGACCGATTATGTATGAGTTTTAACTGTAACACATAGGTATCAACCAAGCACGTTTATTTTATGGGTATGCCCGGTCTATAGTATAATACGTCAATGGGTACACCACAGTAGGTATATTTTGTGATACAGTCCACACGTAGGTAATAAAAGTTGTAAGTAAGTAGGTACCATCTTATAATTCTTATACCGACAATTAATTAACACACAAACTAAATAATAAGTATGTAGGGGTAAGGGGTACGTACATCGAAATGATCTTCACAGCAATGTCTTGTAGCCAGGACAGAGGGTGTAGTTTTATCATTTCTGTTAGCAAGGGAATACCATTTCATACGAAGTTTTGGGTCTCTAGGCACGTGAAAAAATAGTTTTTCTGGCGTTTTAAAAGTAGTGTTTTTACATTTCGGCACTATACAATATTTATACATAGCTTAATTTGTTTCAAAGTGACGATTTAGTAATCAAACATAACACTGCGTGCCTTGTCGTTGCCAACGGCTAACTGGGGTGTCATGGCGGCGACCGTCTGTCACTCTGACGTCACAGTTACCGCGCCGGGCGTTGCACGGTGATCAATAATGNCGCGGCCCTGCTCCATAACCTCGTGGATGGCGGTGCGGTCGATGTCCGACATCTTGTCGAACTCGTCGATGCACACCACGCCGCGGTCGGCCAGAACCATCGCGCCGGCTTCCAGCCTGGGAATATATTTATTGTGATAATCTAAGCGTTAGCTGGCAATATCGCGCGTCTTTGCCGAACATTGTGAGCTATNCACGACGCAGGCCACACGAAGACTAAACACAAGACGTCCCAATTGGGACGTATTTGAGTATTCACAGCGCGAGCGCTTATAACATATCTGCTTTTGTTTTTATATAATATCATTGCCACAGTATATTTTGTGATACAGTCCACACGTAATAAAAGTTGTAAGTAAGTAGGTACCATCTTATAATTCTTATACCGACAATTAATTAACACACAAACTAAATAATAAGTATGTAGGGGTACGTACATCGAAATGATCTTCACAGCAATGTCTTGTAGCCAGGACAGAGGGTGTAGTTTTATCATTTCTGTTAGCAAGGGAATACCATTTCATACGAAGTTTTGGGTCTCTAGGCACGTGAAAAAATAGTTTTTCTGGCGTTTTAAAAGTAGTGTTTTTACATTTCGGCACTATACAATATTTATACATAGCTTAATTTGTTTCAAAAGTGACGATTTAGTAATCAAACATAACACTGCGTGCCTTGTCGTTGCCAACGGCTAACTGGGGTGTCATGGCGGCGACCGTCTGTCACTCTGACGTCACAGTTACCGCGCCGGGCGTTGTGCCGGGCGCGGGCTGTCAGTGAACTTCGCTAGTAATTTGGTCTTAACTTCGTCAATTTTTGTCGTAGAATAAAAATGTTTGGACTGTATTAAATATGGATTTCTTAGCCCTATAAATCTGCAGTCATTATTTTATTACGTATCAAACCATAAAAAAAACCGTTCGATTGTTGGAATCGCCATTTCTGCTACTGGGCTGGGATGGGAGAGACGCGCGACGCCCGAATGAAAACCGAATCGTGCCGATTGGAGATAGGACCCGAGTACCCGACCCGAACGGGTTAAAATCGAAATATCGAACACGTTTCATCGAACGATCAGAATATCGAACGATCAAAATATCTAATTCTCAAAATATCGAATGTTCAGAATATCGAATTTACAAATGATCGAACGATCAAAATATCGAATGATTAAAATCAATATAGAGGTTTTAATTAAATGTAATCATACCTACGATTAATGTAAATAAAACATAAATTCTTAAACCCCTTTTTTTTATTTCCCACTTTTGGGTACCATAGTCAACAAGGAACCCTTACCTCCATCTTTCTAATAAACTATGCAACGTAAGATCGACTTTCGATATTTTAATCATTCGATATTTTGATCGTTCGATCATTTGTAAATTCGATATTCTGAATGTTCGATATTTTGATCGTTCGATATTCTGATCGTTCAATGAAACGTGTTCGATATTTTGATTTTCGATCATTTGTAATTCGATATGGTGTAGGCTACCCGACCCGAACAACACAAGCCGAATGGCGCTGTTACACTATGCATTCATAGAAGTATGGGCGAGTCCCGGAAATTGTTCGAATTTTCTCGCCGTAAAAACCATCCTTGGACTTCAACGAACTGGTAAAATTGATTCAGGCTGTTGAGTTTTATGCGCTTAGCAACACGTTTTGCGATCCTAATCTATAAGGATCGCATGTTGTCTGTCTGTCCGTCCGTATGTCACACACATAGCTACTTTTTTTCCGAAACATTAACAGCTATAAGTAGTACTGTTGAAACTTGGTAATATAGCTGTATTCTGTTAATATTCTCTCAAACTCGAATTTGATTTGGCGCTTTGAATAAATAAATCAAAGCGAGTCCCTACCTACGCGACAGGCTCTCTCATGGACGTATAAAAAGTACGTCTATGCTCATTGCTCTCTCATTCTACCTAAGCGAGATCCGATCGTTGTGTCATTGTGTGGTGGCGCGAGTTCCAGTTCAAAATAACTAAAGCTACATCGATTCGAGTTTATCCATAGTTAAAATGGGTACCTTCGTACAATTAATCCGTACGAAAGCGAAACACGTTTTAGCGAAAAACATTCATCGTGGTAGGTACGCTGGAGCGAAAGGCTAATCGAAACATTGGCGGCCGAATAACGCCCCGGCGACTAACATTTATGTGTTTCTTTTAGTAGCTACATGTACGCCTAAGATGCGCGCCGCGATAAGCTTTATCGCGCCATTGTATCGATTTTTTACGCGATAAGCCGATGCGTTTGTCGTATCAATATTGGCCAGGGTCATCGCCCTGTAGGCCTAGGATGCGCGCCGCGATAAGCGGTTATCACGCCATTTTATCGATTTTGCCCATAAACTTTGACGTCGATAAGAGCCTATAATATACTCTTGAACGATGCACGCCGTGATATTACGTGCAAGCCCGGCTGGCTCACGGCTACAGCAGGATTGTGGGTGGGGCTGGTTAGAGGGGTCTGGAAAAAGTAGGGTAATGGAATGATTTCCAGATTTGAGGTTTTGTGGGGTGGGGATGATTATGATTACTTTTTAAATCATGATTATTTTATCATTGTGTAATATTCATCAAAAGTATAGGTAGGTAACATAAATTAATATTATACACTTTGTTAATTTGTAATTTATAAATCTAACTTATATTAAATTACTTACTCCATTTGATTCGGCAAGACTGTCCCATCCCATTTCTATGGCCATCTCTTTCCTCATGAAGCTGAGGTTGTCTGATAACCCTGGAGTGGTGCTAGCATTGTCAGTAGCATCGGTGGGTTTGCTGAGCTCACGTCCTTCTGCTCTCGCTTTACGCTTTTGATCCCTCCAACACTAAATTATAAAATAGTGATGACTCAAAATGTATACTGAAATAGGAATAGGAGTTGGGTAAAGGTATGACAGCGCATCAAGCTCAACACTGCGGCATCATAAACAGTTGTAATAAGTGCAAGTTTGCAACGAAAATGTATGGTCTGATGTGCTGTTGCATTGGAATTTGGGTCCTATGTAATTATATAATGAATCTCACCGTCTTCCACTGCTCCACAGACCGATGCGGCCCCAATTCGTCTAGTGCAGCTTTCAGTTCTGCCCATTGTAGTTCAAATTGGGCAGCGCGTTGCGGCGTTTTCCATTCGCCTCGTGCGAAGTCCTTATTTTGCAGCATATATTGGATAATATATTTTACCTGTGCTTTAGTACTTCTTATTTTCCTGAAAAACCGTGATGAAGATAAAAAATTATGTATTTAGATTAGAAAACAGTCTATTGATAAATATGTACATTTCAAGTATAATTTGAATCTTTAATACTCACGTCTTTGTAGCCATTTTTCTAGACACCCAAGGTTTATTCATTATTAATTAAAAACAGTGTATTTATTTACACAACCAAACTTTTGAAAAAATCTCAACTTCGGCCGTCAACAAATCGTCAAATGCCAAATGCAATCTGTCAAATTTGACGTAGTTATTTTTTTTCCATACTTTCGTGCATTGGATCACAGATTTTGTAGTATGTTTGTTTACAGATTCTAATGTTATTGAATCGCTCAAACAAAGTTAAGGCGAACTTTCGAACACATACTCATACTGGATGTAATATTCGGTTAGAACCTCTAATCCATATCTGTGGTTAGAACACAAACAGGATAAAATATTTTATATGAAGCTGGGTCTCCAAAATTCAACAAAATTGTATCTCTGCTTGTGTTGATGGCTTGATGGCCTCCTCAAGTCCTCACCTGAGTAAATTTTATTCTTTGCTCCTCACCCTCAACACGTCTTGTTGTCATTTCTTATTCCACAAGAAACGAAACGAACAAAAAAAAAACAAACGTCAGACATGTAATGTCAATTTTTTTAGGTTATGTATTACTTTTCTCTATGGGTTATGTTGTGAGTGATGGGAAGAAAAATCTCGATTCGATTTTTAATGAAGATGAGAGTTTAATTTTGGAATCTGGTTCTTTAGATTTATTATTCTTCTGAAAACAATTCCTACTCAATTTACTAGTACGATGTGGCGTCGATATTTGTTATGGTTCGCTCATGAACACGTTGATTTCCGACATGGTGTGAGTGGATCATGTTTTTTCATTAATTTTATACTAGGAAAAATGGAACCTATTTTCATTTGACGTTATTGTTACAGGAAATGCAAAGTATACTTTCAGTTTTAAATATTCCAATCAGGTTCATAGAAGAACCATGTATGAGGAAACCATACTGGATTGTGGAGTTGCCTACTGAAGAATGCGCTAGGAAAATAGCATCTAGGTCCGTTCTTCTCAAAAATTGTATAGAACTATGGGCTAGAGCTAAGACAGAATCCCAACTCCACACAACTTTGAAGAGTGCGTTACTTAATTTAACTGGTAAATGGATGGTGAATAATAATGGGACAGTGAATGATTGTGGAATAAGTGACGGCCATGTGTGCCCGCGGTCTCTGATTGATCCTTGCTGTTCAAAAGACAAGTCGTTCAAGATTGAAGTTGAGACTTTCTGTAAGCATTTCTCAATGAAAGAAAAAGTTGATAAGATTGAGGTAAAAAGACAATGTTTTTCCATTTAAGTCATAAAGATATCTAGGCATCTTTTACTTATAAGCATGATAACCATATTTACGTTCCTTCTCTATTTTGAATGATTGAGAATTAATTTATTAAAATTACAGAAATTCAGCTACATGCCCCTGGAAGGTGCTGTGAAGCTGAAGAAACCAGACGTGACTCTGTCATACTTGGAGTTCTATGGAGTGGACCCAAACAATGTGCCTGAGGAGCCACATGACTTATTTTTTGGAAGATGGGTAAGGTGTACCATGTATGGTTTTTTATAATGATTTTATGAATGCATCTACAGCCTTGTTGATGATAAAATTCGAAAAGTTCTCAANAGTAATCCATTACTATGAGGTGTCTCTCTTTCGTGTGTCACGCGTGGTCGCACAGCGTCAGCGTGACACACGAACCAATCGCAGAGCTCCATTCAACGCTGTGCGTTCGATTTGTTGCTTCACTTAAGCAAGCATCGTTTGTGAATACGGGCGTTAATATCTTGTTTACGAAATTTCTTAAATCTAACTCGACAGCTTTTAGTCTAGGCAAAGAATAAAATTGATCATCATCATTTCAGCCGCAGGACGTCCACACACAGGATATAGCCTCCCCAAACATTTCCAAATAAAGCCTGGTCCGTGAGCACGTAGAATTTTGTCCAATGGCCCCTAGCTACCCATCCTTATCGCTCGCGCGTAATTATATTTCTGTCGCGACTGTGCGACGGGCGCCCGCAGTGAGTGTGCAAGCGACCAGATACAGTAAAAAAAGATTCATATCTTCTCTACAGACATAATCCGCCTTAGATTGGATTTTTCACAGCGATTCGCAGTTTCAAATCTTTTTTTTTAGACTGCTCAACTACAACTGACATAATAAAGTTTGTTATTATTGTCTTTAGAGAGGAGTACAAAGAGGATCAACTCCCGCGACACCCGTGCCTAGAACTCGTATCTAACTCCGAGCAAGTATTGTCGAAGCTGACGGCGCGTCGACTGCTGACCTACGAAAAGACGCGCGACGACGTGCCTAACTTGCCCGTCGATCCGCACTCAGGCACGCACAACTTCAGGTAATTTAAACTTTATTACGTAGTCGATAAAGTTCCAAGTGCAATAAAGCACTCCGAGCAAGTATTGTCGAAGCTGACAGCGCGTCGACTGCTGACCTACGAAAAGACGCGCGACGACGTGCCTAACTTGCCCGTCGATCCGCACTCGGGGACCCACAACTTCAGGTAATTTGAACTTTATTACGTAGTAGTTAAAGTTCAAAGTGCAATAAAGCACTCCGACCAAGTACTCTCGAAGCTGACAGCGCGCCGGCTGCTGTCCTACGAAAAGACTCGCGACGACGTCCCTAACTTGCCCGTCGATCCGCACTCAGGCACGCACAACTTCAGGTAATTTGAACTTTATTACGTAGTCGATGAAGTTGCAAGTGTAAGGCCCTTTTCACATGGCCTAATATTGACGGCGCGCCGGCTGCTGACATATACGAGGAAACGCGCGACGATGTTCCTAACTTGCCCGTCGATCCGCACTCCGATCAAGTACTGTCGAAGCTGACGGCGCGTCTGTCCCGGACTGTCCACACGCACAACTTTAAGTAATTTAAACTTTATTTCGTAGTAGATAAAGTTTTGAATATACACAGTACTTTTTGTAGTATAGTGTTTTTTTACGTCAGAAACGAGAATATACAATTTTTTTTTCACAGAGAGAAATACTTCGCTATGGGTGAGATATCGAGGCGAGAGAAGAAAGAAAGACGCGCGGAGGAGATCGCCGCCACCGCTGCGTATAAAGCAAAGATGGCCGCCGGTGACGTCACGTGATAATTATTCTATTTCTGTAAGAAGTTCTGTAAATACAACAATCAAATTTTATATTTAGTTTGCTTTCATTCCCGCTACTTGTTCTAAAAAGTGTGATAATAGGAGAAAAGTAATGAAAAACTCTTAATACTTAATATTCATTTTATATTTGAATAAATTAACAACCAAACCGCTTTCAAGTGGTATAAAATAAACATAATATGATCTTAATTAGAATGAATAACTAAGCATTTAACATAATATTCACTCCTTATGACTTACATTAGTCAAAATGTATTTCATTTTTTATATTAACTATATTTGAAATAATAAACTCGAATCAATAAATGATATGCATACTGAAAACAAACCACATTTAATTCATGTAAATATTTATCTATACTTATAATAAAACAATCTAGGTATGTTGAGAGTGCACAGAAAATGCATAATTATAATTATTATCTTACTATTTGTAACATAACATACTGAGGGTAACACAATAAGTGAGCTGCCACACTAGCGGATTCGACAAAATGCTTGCAAAAAGCCTCGGCGTCTCCACCGCTCCGCCTAGAAAACGTTTACAATCCGCCAGTGTGGCAAGGCCCTAACGCTCGGAATGGATTTGATACTGCGCTGCACATCACTTACTATGCAACTCGCTGTACCACCCCGACCTAATGCGGCAGAGGGTTTTAGAATCGCGCTGACGGATCGCTGATCAATATGTATGTTAAAGGAAACTTTCATAAGTGACGCTGATCACTCGACAATTCAAGCTTCAACCACACCAACGCGTGTAGAACGCCATCGCCGGCGCAATCATAGGTCAATGACCGGTCGCGCGACCCATGACAGTGATTTCGATCTGCTGTACCTCTGGCATGAACAACTTTCGTCTTCGAATCGTTTGCGTATTCGAAAAAATTCANAAAAGTTCTCAACAAGTTTTTACTCTTATCTATCATGCTATAATAAGCTATACTTTTTTACTTCCACTTGAGATATTTTTGGAAATTTATCAAAACATTTTTCTTCTCATAGCAATCAGTAAAAAATTATGAAAAGATTCTTTGTGTGGTTAGATCCCCACTGAGAATTTCGGTTATCAAGCTAATTTTCACCAAGGTTAAAACAATCTAAATCTTTTCATCAGATAGCTGATGGGCAGCGTGACGTCATCCAGTTCCACTCGCTGAAGAAGCGCCAGTTCATCGGGAACACCAGCATGGATGCTCAGCTGGCACTGATCATGGCTAACCAGGCTCGGGTGGCCCCGGGCGACCTGGTGTTGGACCCATTCGTTGGGTCCGGCTCACTGCTGGTTTCTGCTGCTCATTTTGGAGGTAATATCAGGTTTTAGTAAACTGCTACTGTAGTAAAAAAGTACATTTAATCTTTTTTAATCCTGTGTTGTCTTTGAAATCCTAAATGAGATCCGTCAATTATGCTTTCTACTGTTGGCGCCATATTTCGAGTATGCTTTCTAAAAAGGTCTAGATTAGAATGCTCATTTCATGTCTTTTAGCATTGCCACACTGAAACATTATAGACGACATACACACTTATTCCTTTATTATTTTAAAATATTCTACTTTTGATACAGGTTTTGTGTGGGGGTCAGACATAGACTTCTTGATGCTACACGGCAGAACACGACCCACGCGCGTCGGACAAAAGGTAACCAAGTATGTATTCAAATGCTTTTCAATCTCAAACCAATTTATTTTTATTTGAGCTTTTTTCGCCTGAAACACAGGTTTTTAACCTAGCTCAGGCTACAAAAGACTATTGAAATATATGTAAACTCTAGCATAATAAGTTCTTATAAACATTATTTTATTGAATAAATTATTATTATTATTTTATACTAGACAGAAACTATAGTGAGCGTACGGCGTCGGACCGGTTAGAAACTAATCAATACACGCCTTGACCATGACAGTTGGTCAAATAACTCCAGCTTTCTTTATTCTTAAAAAAAAAACACTGTTATTTCATATTTATGCCACTTTACTATAAGCCTCTCAATCCACTGCAGGCGCGCGCGAAAGAAGAGAGCATTCGCGGCAACATGAAGCAGTACGGCACATCATCACGGTACCTTGACGTGATGGTCAGCGACTTTTCGCTGCCCATGTGGAGGGACAGCCTTAGATTCGACGCGATTATCACTGATCGTAAGTTTATGATATGATATGATCTTTACTCTGTCCCATTCCATTTACGTTCCACAAATAACTTTCACGTCACACCCAATGAGGGCTATAGTTCTTATTTTGGCACCACTGGCGAGCGACGGGATCTAATATTTATAGTGGTGGCGGTATCACTATCTCTGCTATAAGTCGTTTCATCCACAAAGACGCGCCCACTTCCTCCATTCTTCCACTAATGTTTGAGTGTTATCGGTACACGCTAAATTATCCATGAGTGTGCACTGTGCATACACACTACAATAATGACGCTCGAATTGCTCGGATCAAACTCCCCGCACCCCGCGCTTCATTCGACCAAAAAATGGTGGGGCGCGTCTTCATGGATGAAACGAGCAAGTGACAGGACCATAATCTACAGTGGCGCCAACTCGTAGCGATACAAAAGGTCGATACGACTGTCGAGTTGACAATATATTCTGTCTCTTCCCATCTTGTGTATTTGTCGTAATGTCTCGTTCTCCCGCCAAAATATGTCAAAGTCAGACGGGTTCACCTAATGACATCGGTTCCCAAACTTGTTTTGTCTACTGCCCACTTTGAGAATAAATTCTTTTTTCGCCCCCATTTGTAGTCGAAAGTCGAGTGCTCAGTCGGTGTCTAAGAGTCCTCCTAGTAAATGACGCCTCCCAAGCCTCTACACAAGGTCCCGATTTTTTTTCTGGGTCTCATACTGCCCCCCTTTAAGCCTGCAGCGCCCACAGGGGGGCGTTATCGCCCACTTTGGGAAAGACTGACCTATGACATTGGGTTTGTTTACATTTGGTATCGCTTCTCGTTGGCCGTACTTTCTAAAACCAGTCGTCAACTTCCCAGCACCGTACGGCGTCCGCGAGCCGGCCGAAAAGATAGGCATCGAGAAACCCAACTACATCCTGATCGAGGAGCACCTGGTGCACCACGTGCCTTCCAAGGTGGAGTACGCGCTGCCTCACATCTACAGCGACCTGTTGGACTTCGCTGCGAGGAAGCTCCGGATGGGTGGCCGGCTGGTGTGCTGGTATCCGCTGGTCAGGTTAGTAGAAATGTGATGAAAACTTCATACTTTATAGAAGCGCTAAAAGATTTGCGCCCGTATTCACAAACATTACTATGAGGTTTCTCTCTTTCGTGTGTCACGCGTGGTCGCACAGCGTCAGCGTGACACACGAACCAATCACTGAGATCTATTCAACGCTGTGCGTTCGATTTGCTGCTTCACTTAAGCAAGCATCGTTTGTGAATACGGGCGTTAATATCTTGTTTACGAAATTTCTTAAATCTATAAACACTCGACAGCTTTTAGTCTAGGCAAAGAATAAAATTGATCATCATCATTTCAGTCGCAGGACGTCCACACACAGGATATAGCCTCCCCAAACATTTCCAAATAAAGCCTGGTCCGTGAGCACGTAGAATTTTGTCCAATGGCCCCTAGCTACCCATCCTTATCGCTCGCGCGTAATTATATTTCTGTCGCGACTGTGCGACGGGCGCCCGCAGTGAGTGTGCAAGCGACCAGATACAGTAAAAAAAGATTCATATCTTCTCTACAGACATAATCTGCCTTAGATTGGATTTTTCACAGCGATTCGCAGTTTCAAATCTTTTTTTTAGACTGCTCAACTACAACTGACATAATAAAGTTTGTTATTATTATTGTCTTTAGAGAGGAGTACAAAGAGGATCAACTCCCGCGACACCCGTGCCTAGAACTCGTATCTAACTCCGAGCAAGTATTGTCGAAGCTGACGGCGCGTCGACTGCTGACCTACGAAAAGATGCGCGACGACATGCCTAACTTGCCCGTCGATCCGCACTCGGGGACCCACAACTTCAGGTAATTTGAACTTTATTACGTAGTCGATAAAGTTCCAAGTGCAATAAAGCACTCCGATCAAGTATTGTCGAAGCTGACAGCGCGTCGCGACTGCTGACCTACGACAAGACGCGCGACGACGTGCCCAACTTGCCTGTCGACTCACTCGGCCACGCACAACTTTAGGTAATTCAAACTTTATTACGCAGTCGGTAAAGTTCAAAATGTAATGCTGACCTACGAGAAGACGCTCGACGATGTGCCTAACTTGCCCGTCGACCCGATTTCCAGAACGGACAACTTCAGGTAATTTAAACTTTATTGCGTAGTCGATAAAGTTCCAAATGTAATGCTGACGGCGCCGGCTGCTGACCTACGAGAAGACGCTCGACGATGTGCCTAACTTGCCCGTCGACCCACACTCGGGCACCCACAACTTCAGGTAATTTTAACTTTATAACGTAGTCGATAAAGTTGCAAGTGTAATGCTGACGGCGCGCCGACTGCTGAGTGCTGAACTGCTGACCTACGAGAAGACGCATGACGACATGCCTAACTTGCCTGTCAATCCGCACTCGGGCGCGCACAACTTCAATTTGAACTTTATTGCGTAGCACATAAAGTTCTGAATGTAAAAGGGGATTTATCAGTATTTTTTGTAGTCTACTGTGTTTTTACGTCAGAGTAGGCGCACACCGTTGATTTTTCGTCGGCCGATAGTTTAGTCGGGCAGTTGATCATTATGGGCATGTATGGGATTGCGCACACTAAGCAGATTCGATTTGGCCGATTCTTCATACAAATTAAAATCGGGCCCAACTATCGGCCGACGAAAAATCAACGGTGTGCTCCTACTCCCAGAAACGAGATTATACAATTATTATTTTTTTCAGAGAAAAATACTTCGCTATGGGTGAGATATCGAGGCGAGAGAAGAAAGAAAGACGCGCGGAGGAAATCGCCGCCACCGCTGCGTATAAAGCGAAGATGGCCGCCGGTGACGTCACGTGATAATATTCTATTTCTGTAAGATGTTTTGTAAATACAACAATCAAATTTTATATTTTGTTTGCTTTAATTCCCGCTACATGTTCTAAAAAGTGTGATGATAGGAGAAAAGTAATTAAATAAACTCTCAATACTTAATAATCAATTTATATTTGAATAAATTAACAACCAAACCGCTTTAAAGTGGTATAAAATAAACATAATATGACCTTAATTCGAATGAATAACTAAGCATTTAACATAATATTCACTCCTTATGACTTACATTAGTCAAATTGTATTTAATTTTTTATATTGACTATATTTGAAATAATAAACTCGAATCAATAAATGATATGCATACTGAAAACAAACCACATTTAATTCATGTAAATATTTATCTACACTTATAATAAAACAATTTAGGTATGTTGAGAGTGCACAGAAAATGCAAAATTACAATAATTATCTTACTATTTGTAACATAACATACTGAGGGTAACACATTAAGTGAGCTGCCATACTAGCGGATTGCAAGCGGTCGACAAAATGCTTGCAAAAAGCCTCGGCGTCTCCGCCGCTCCGCCTAGAAAACGTTTACAATCCGCCAGTGTGGCAAGGCCCTAACGCTCGGAATGGATTTGATACTGCGCTGCACATCACTTACTATGCAATTCGCTGTACCACCCCGACCTAATGCGGCATAGAGGGTTTTATAATCGCGCTGACGGCTCGCTGACAGATCAATATGTAGGTTAAAGGAAACGTTCATAAGTGACGCTGATCGCTCGACGATTCAAGCTTCAACCACACCAACACGTGCAGTACCTCTAGTAGGAAAAACTTTCGAGTTCGTTTCGTTGCGTATTCAAAGTGTCATCGAAAAATTTTGTATGAAAAATTAAACAGCGCCCCCTAGGGCGGCTATAATATAGGGGGCGCTGTTTAATTTTTCATACAAAATTTTTCGATGACACTTTGAATACGCAACGAAACGAACTCGAAAGTTTTTCGTACTAGAGGTACAGATCGCTATCGCCGGCGTAATCATAGGTCAATGACCGGTCGCGCGACCCATGACAGTGATGGCGATCGATATGCTGTGCTGTACCTCTAGCATGAACAACTTTCGTCTTCGAATCGTTTGCGTATTCGAAAAAATTCGATACTCAACCTTCGAATTAAACGATAACGTGACAATTTTGATTCTTAAAATAAGTTTCGTGCAACCATTTCTCATACTAAGTTCACTTTACGACACGTTCACAAGGGCGCTGTTGTAGTTTTCGTGCTAAATCTTTTGATGGCGATTGGAATACGCAAACGATTCGAACTCGAAAGTTTTTCGTGCAAGCCGTATTGCACGCGTTGCAGTTGGTGTGGTTGAAGCTTCATAGATTTCGACTGTTAACGCCGACGGTCAGCGTGCCTTATATGGAAAATGGTCACCACACTCACCACGCCCTCCCCCAAATGAGCTAACTTATCTTCCCAACTAGTCGGCGATAGCGAGCTGTAGCATCATGGCAGCGAGCGGATCATCATAGTAGTACAAATTGTACAAAAAACAGAGTTTTGACAGCTTACAAAAAGTAACTGAAGTATCATAAGGCGGGTTTTAGAATCGCGCTGACCTTCGGCGCTGACAGATCAATATGTATGTTAGGCTGGTTTTTGATCGTCAGCGCTGATAGATCAATATGTATGTAATTGAAGTGAACGTTCCTGAGTGACGCTGATCACTCGGCGCCGACGCTTCATACATTTCGTCTGTCAGCGCCGAGGGCCAGAGTGCATCAGCGCGCCTTATCTGTTGCAAATGGTCACCACGTCCTCTCCACGACCTAAAGCCTGGTCCGTGAGCACGTAGAATTTTGGCCATCGCTCGCGCGTAATGAGGGCTATCGTTTTTATACTTAACAGTTGGCACCCCTGTCGATTGACAGGACCTTACTCTACAGTGGCGCCATCTTGATGAGTGCAAATGCGATAGTCCTCCTACCACTTTCGCGCTCACCAGTTGGCGCCACTGTCTTCGCTACTAGCAAGTGACAGGACCTTACTCTACAGTGGCGCCTACTGGTGAGCGCTAAAACGATAGCCCTCATTATATTGCTGTCGCGACTGTGCGACGGGCGGCCGCAGTGAGTGTGCGAGCGCGACAGCAACATAATTACGCGCGAGCGATAAGGATGGGTAGCTTGGGGTCAATTCTACGTGGTCGGCGACCGGGCTTTAGTCGGCGATGGCAAGCTGTAGCATCATGGCGGCGAGGTTGGCGCCGGGGGCGCGCGGGGGGGCGGCGCGCGCCTGCGCCCAGCGGCACACGCGCCACGCCTCCTTGCGCTTGCCGCTCTGCCCTGCTGACTTGTAGTGCGAGAGCAGGTTGTTGGTCGTCTGGGGGACGAGTACAATACATTTAAAGTTCAGAATAAATACATTATAGTTTTGGGCAGTTGACTGACCACTTCTTAAAAAATATTTCACTAAAACAGCTTTTAGTGAAACCTTAAATTGAAAAATTAGCTACTGAGAATTTTAGGAAGTTGTATCTAACAACAACTTAGTTAATGGTTCGTTCGTTCATTTCAGCCAAATGACGTCCACTGCTGGACAAAGGCCACTCCAAGGTTTTCCACAATGAACGGTCCTGCGCTGCCCGCATCCAGGCTCTTCCCGCGACCTTCACCAGATCGTCGGTCCACCTAGTAGGAGGCCTGCCCACGCTACGTCTTCCAGCCCGTGGTCGCCACTCGAGAACTTTCCTGCCCCAACGGCCATAGTTCATTAACTATGTTACCATATGTAATGCGATACCATTGTATCCAGTACAAACTTACCAAAAACAAGCCAAGAAGTGCTCGCATGTTGTCTGGGTTCAATTTCAGAGCGGAGCAGTAGTATGTCTTTGCCAATTCCATATTTTCTACACCACCCTATAATTACAAAACAACAAAAACATTAATGTTTTATGACTAGTTTCTACTAAGTTTCTAGTAATCAATATGAGGTCGTCGAGAATAGATTTTCGTGTAATGTGACTATTGATGTGCCGTTCCCGAGAACGCTCTCCTCACTGAGAATATTCTCGGGAGCGCTCCCGGGAGCGTTCTCCTAAGTGAGAAAGGTTGAGAATCATGTTTATCAAATGGAAATAAACAAACTTTCTTAAGTAAAATAGTAATAAATTAAGTCGACAGATAAGTGTATATTAAACAATACACTCTATTTGCAGAGAAAGGCTATATTCTCAGTGTTCCCGAGAATATTCTCGGGAACTTTCTCGGCAATATTCTCGGCAACTGTTCCTTTATTATATTTTATTTTTTTCGTCGTGAAATGTCGTTTTAATGNGTACGATAAAATTTATAAAAGTAAGTAAATTTTAAAATAAATTGCACTAATTTTCCTTTAAATTGCAATAGGTAAAGTTCTACAAAAATGTACAGTTGTCGTTTCATTGAATTATCAAAAGTGAATTTTCTTCTGGGCCACCCTGCAGTAAATAATATCTGTTAATGTCTAAATATTGCCAAATAAAAAAGGCGATTTTTTTTTTCACTGATGGTTTGATGATGATGCATGCAGTTCAGTCAGATTACGCAGCAAGTAAACTAATTTAATTTTCGCTATTCAATCACACACTCACGATAGCAACCGAAATCGCTCGAATTGATCTGCCCCTTAGACAAGTGGCATAATCTGACATTCTATTCGGACAGATTCGATTTTCGAAAAGTGTGACTAGTCTAGTCTACTAATAGACCCACTGATCGCCTTCGAAGCACCTGTGCGGCGCTAAACTCGTCACGACATGAAACGAGACAATGGGCCAACTATCCGGCCGCCGGATATCCGGCTATTCGGCCTAGCAGCTGGCCGGATATCCGGTATCCGGTATCCGGCCAAACAACTATCCGTTTCATCTCTAAATCATACTACAACGCATGCCAGCGTCCTGACGAGCGCGCGCGTGACCCTCGACTGATATAATACCCGCCGGCGGGGCGCTTCGCTGTAGGTAATTATCGGATGTACCGCGCGGAGTGAGCCAGGCCTGCCACGACCTAAAGCCTGGTCCGTGAGCACGTAGAATTTTGGCCATCGCTCGCGCGTAATGAGGGCTATCGTTTTTATACTTAACAGTTGGCACCCCTGTCGATTGACAGGACCTTACTCTACAGTGGCGCCATCTTGATGAGTGCAAATGCGATAGTCCTCCTACCACTTTCGCGCTCACCAGTTGGCGCCACTGTCTTCGCTACTAGCAAGTGACAGGACCTTACTCTACATGGCGCCTACTGGTGAGCGCTAAAACGATAGCCCTCATTATATTGCTGTCGCGACTGTGCGACGGGCGGCCGCAGTGAATGTGCGAGCGCGACAGCAACTGAGCGATAAGGATGGGTAGCTTGGGATCATTGGCCAAAATTCTACGTGCTCACGGACCAGGCTTTACATACACTTATCTTCCCAACTAGTCGGCGATGGCAAGCTGTAGCATCATGGCGGCGAGGTTGGCGCCAGGGGCGCGCGGGGGGGCGGCGCGCGCCTGCGCCCAGCGGCACACGCGCCACGCCTCCTTGCGCTTGCCGCTCTGCCCTGCCGACTTGTAGTGCGAGAGCAGGTTGTTGGTCGTCTGGGGAATTAATACGGTGCGTTAGCATTAGGGCTATATTTCACCGGGACACCATGGCGGCGCAACCAGTCGCCGCTACCAACAAAATGTATGCAGCTTTGCGCAACCAAACGGACACCAGGTGAGTAACTCTCTATAGAGCTGTATATCTACTCTAATATTATAAAGAGGAAAACTTTGTTTGTTTGTTTGTTTGGTTGTAATGAATAGGCTCAAAAACTACTGGACCGTTTTTAAAAATTCTTTCACCATTCGAAAGCTACATTAACCATGAGTAACATAGGCTAAATTTTATTTTGGAAAAACATAGGGTCCAGGCGTCTACGCGCGCGAAGCCGCGGGCGGAAAGCTAGTATTTTATATTATTGGTAGCGGCGACTGGTTGCGCCGCCATGGTGTCCCGATGAAATATAGCCCTTAGTGTAGGCGCACACAAGGCGGGCTTTTCTTCGCGACAGAGTCGCGGAGCATAGAGAAACGCGGAGTCGCGACGACAGCTAATAAATGAAATTGACAAAAATAGGCGTCTAGTCGCCGCGACCGTCGTCCTGTGTGCGGTTGTTAACGAGCCAGTGGAGCTACTCCGAAACATTGTAAACGTAGTTTCGTGTCTATCTATCACCGTCGTTCTGCTGGCTTCTCGATTTTCGTGAGAATAACGGCACCATATGAAACTCTGGATAACGTTTTTCGGAGCAAACAATTTTTATCCGGGTGGGTGACAGATACGCGTGTTTACGAATACGGTTAGTGACCAGTTCGCAAATGACAGCTAACCGGATGAAGTACGGCTTCATTCGGCTGTTTGATGTGCATGCATAAATAAAAGCTTTTGGCGACGCCCACTACAAACTAGTGACCAACAGATGGCGCTGTTACTACTTCACTATGGCACACTCCGCCGCTCATACAAACCTGCATCGCGGTGACGGAGTTTTATATCCTGCCAAGTATATACATATAGGCAAAACAAGATGGTGTAAATCGGACCTTGGTCCCCGAGCATAACACCCGCTCGGAAGGAAGCACTAACATCTAGCTTCCTTATTGTGCTTGATCATCATATCCCACATTGGTGACCCCGACGTGATGTGAGACGCAACCTCCATCACCACCATCTTANTTTTTATGTTCCTGGTCAGGCTATAGGTCCAACTTCGAAAAAAAAAGGTAAATCATCGAATCCAGATCGGTTGGACAGCCTTCGGGAAGCTTCACGATATTTTCACGCGGCGTCTCCGTCGCGTCGCCGCTCCGCTTTAAATCCGCTTTGAATCCGCTTGAAATCCGCCAGAGTGGCAAGGGCCTTAAAACTCGAGGCACACTCATGTTCAAATACCGTAGCCGAGTCCTAAAGCTGCGGTACGCGTTGCCACGAAAAGAGTGAGCAAGACAGCAATATTTCACTCACAAGTTTCATGCCTTGTTTATGACGACTAGTCTTAACGCCCAGTTAATAAAACATCGAAGCATTACAAATAATACCACATATAAACAACAAAATTTAAATTAAAACTAAATGTATTCTGTCGAGAACACTGAGAATATTCCCGGGAGCGTTCTCGGTTCTCGAGAATATTCTCACTGGGAATATTGCCGGGAACGAGAACTTTCTCAGCGGCACATCTCTAAATGTGACCGACAACAATCTTTAGGCTGGATCAGTGCCTGAAGGTATCAATATAATTTTTGGAGTCATAATTAACAAAATAATTTGCTACGTGATGTTAGGGCCTCCACTAAGTCTTTTAATTACAAAACTCCTGTAGGGCTCGCAGTTAGGCTTAACTTAGACCTACGGGGAACATACGGTCCTTCGAGCCGGAACGTATGTGTCCCATAGGTGCTCCCTCTTGTCATCACTACCCTTATGGTCCACATACCATGGGAGAGCTCGCAGTAGGCTTAACTTAGACCTACGGGGAACATATGGTCCTTCGAGCCGGATCATATGTTTCCCGTAGGTGCTCCCTCTGTTGTCATCACTACCCTTATGGTCCACATACCATGGGTAGGGCTCGCAGTAGGCTTAACTTAGACCTACGGGGTACTATCGGGGACTCGGACGCCTTGACACCTTAAGGGCCTAAATTGTTTGCACACACACGCTCGATTAAGCTACGCCCCCATTCATTCATTTTTCGGGTCTAAGCAGCGTCGGCGCACCACTGTAGATGTTTGCCCTTGCAAACCAAGCTCTATGTAAAGCGTTTAGGATTGAGTATTGCTTAGCTTACCCGCATCCGTAGCGCTCGTTTGGCAACGTCGCATTTTAGTAAATTTGAAACCCAATAAAGAATCGCTACAAAATATTATATGGGGCTTCGTGTAAAAATTGAACTAGCGATTGCCCGCTCGGGTCACAAAATTGCTATCGCACATGCCGAGGTAACTGTGCAATTTCCTGAGAAAAAAGTAGCCCTTTCTATAATTTNGGATAGTCTAATACGGGAGGGTTCATAAGTGCGGATTTTAATTTATTAAATGAAATTTCGCAATCATTTGTCCATTCAAAACTTATACCTTTTTTACACAATCGGTTAAGTGGATACACGATATCAGCGAAACCTGATATGAATCGTCGGTAGTAGTTGGCAAATGCAACAAAGCGTTTTACTTCGTCAGCGCAACTTGGCCGTGGGTAAGTCTGTATGGTGTCAATTTTGCCTGGGTCTGGGAAAATACCTTCCTGAGTTATCTTGTGTCCCAGGTATACTATTTCTTTTCGCAGAAATTCACATTTGATGGGATTTAATTTTAAATTTACTTTTCTGAATCGATTTAGAACATCAATGAGATTTTTGTTGTGGTTTTCGATACAATTTCCTATTACAACGCAATCATCGAGATAAATGAAACATTTTTGGTAATTAAGACCGGCCATAGCTATCGTCATTAGTCTAGAAAAAACACTTGCGCTTGTTTTAAGTCCCATTGGACAGCGCTTCATTTGGTACTGTTTTCCAGCTGTGAATGTGGTATATTTTCGAGATTCACTATCGAGAGAAAGTTGGTACATTTTATTTAAACTAAATGAGGTATATTTACGTGAGTTTGGACTTAAAGATAACTGATAATATGACTGTGAAAGGTCTAATTTTGAAAAGTATATACTTCCTGATAAAGAATCTAAGATTTCGGTAATATTGGGCAACGGGAATTTATCATCTTGTATTCTGTTATTTAACTGTCTGTAGTCAACTACTAACCTCCATTTCTTTTGATTTGATTTGTCTGCCTTTTTTGGTACTAATAAAACTGGACTAGACCATTCCGAAACTGTCTCCTCTATAATGTCATTGTCGAGCATTTCCTGTACTTGCCTATCTATCTCGCTTTTTAAAGCTTGAGGGACCCTATAAGGTTTCATATAGACAGGTCAATAAAAAGGCAATCAAACAGTCCAATTACTAGCACGGGTCAACACAAAACAAAATCAATCGGTTAGGGATCACAAAACTTCACAAAAAACAAAGGAGAGAATATGTCGACAGTTCGCCAAAGCAAAAAGCAGACAGACCTCGTATAAAAATACAATATTAAAAAAATACATATTATCTATTTGTTTGTAACCAAATCTATTATTAAAATTCTAAAGCTGAGTTGCACCATCTTACTTTAACTTTGACAAACGTCAAAAATCTGTTAAACTCCATACAAAAAGCACCGGTTACCGTTATAGCTACGGTCAAAGTTAGGTGGTGCAACTCAGCCTAAAACTAAGAAAGATTGAAGAAAAAGAAACATTTCGTTTTAAACCTTAACCGTATGACAATAAAGTGCACAATGGTATTTCGTATTGCAACCTAAGCCCTGATTGTCTCTTATTGGTCGTAGTAAAAATATAGTAAAATGCGTAACCAATTAGAGACGGGGTGAGCACGTGACCGGAGCGATGCGCTTACGCTAAAATTTCTACAAAGTGGTCAGGCGGAAGAGTCCCCGATAGTACATATGGTCCTTCAAGCCGGATCGTATGTTTCTCGTAGGTGCTCCCTCTTGTCATCACTACCCTTATGGTGCACATACCATGGGTAGGGCTCGCAGTAGGCTTAACTTAGACCTACGGGGAACATATGGTCCTTCGAGCCGGATCGTATGTTCCCCGTAGGTGCGCTGTTGTCATCACTACCCTTATGGTCCACATACCATGGGTAGGGCTCGCAGTAGGCTTAACTTATACCTACGGGGAACATATGGTCCTTCGAGCCGGATCGTATGTTTCCCGTAGGTGCTCCCTCTGTTGTCATCACTACACTTATGGTCCACATACCATGGGTAGGGCTCGCAGTAGGCTTAACTTAGACCTACGGGGAACATATGGTCCTTCGAGCCGGATCATATGTTCCCGTAAGTGCGCTGTTGTTACCCTTATGGTGCACATACCATGGTGTACCGCACGTCGGCCAGCCGCTGGTGTGCCAGATGGTTGTGCGGCTGGTGCAGCAGGATCTCCTCGCAGCAGAAGGCGGCGCGCGAGTACTCTTGAGCTTGCAGGTACAGCTCTGATAGCTCCTGCCACGCCTCCACGTCTGACATGAACCTGGAGTGGAAAAACTCCTTTTAAACTAGTGACAAGACTAATTGTCTCAAACTCGTAGGTCCTGGATTCGATTCCCAATGGAGGCAAATTTTCTGCTTGGTAAATAAAATTTTTTGGTTGGTGGAAGGACTTGTTATTCTGCATGGCTAGATACTAACATCTCAGCATCGCAGCCGAAACGTCAAGCCGTGAGTACATAATGTAACTCATTAATAAACGTCGCATTAAGACCCGTGTCTTACTATTTTATCTCAATTTGTTGTTGTGATAACTATGTCAAACAGCATTGTTGTGTGACTGTGTTGGGAATTCCTTTAACTTTGCCGTCTAGTATACATCAAGAAACACTATTAATTATTTCATACGGTCTATGCAAAATTTAATTAGTAAGTAAAATTTTTAAAATACAACTACAATCAGTCTTACTTCTTCAAATAGTCGACCAGTTCCTTGATGGCCGACTGGATCAGTCCCTGCGCCTTCAGAATGGCGACCACGCGCTTACGAGCCGCCGCGTTCGTTTCGTCCAGCCTTATGATGTTGTCCAGCATAGCTAGGGCATCCTCATAACTGAAATAATAAAATAATACATGAATCCATGGGCACACCCAGGGGGGAAAGCTGTGGCCCCCAAGTTATGTCCTAGTTCTAGAAAAAAATTGTATGTAGATGTAGCATGTTATTATTTAATTATGAAAGAAAATAAAAAATATGAGTCTAATATTTTCTAATTACTCTGTGTCGCTATTCATCATGCTGTGTGTATACAATTAGGTTGTCAATCTAGCTCTTAACTACTAACCATGTGTACTTAAGTATCTACTAACAAAACTCGATTGTCAACTGTAGTATATACCTAATAAATAAATAAATAAATTATCTTTCTGACGGACAAATAATTGAAATTTTGTCATCTAGCTAGCCTATTGACTATTTAAATGGAGCATACATAGCTTACTTTTCTTGAGCCTCATACAGTGTTGCTGTGAGCTTGGCAGCACGGTAGCTGTCAGGGAACTCTTCTTGCAGCGTCATACTGCAGTATGATGCCATGGTGTAGTAGTGGCAATCCAATGCAGCATAGAACACTTGCTCCAGAATCAGATGTTCTGAAAAGAAGATCATTAGGATTCAAGTAATTTTAGTTACACAACAGAAAATATAATTTAATTTTATTATTATTACAACACCTCAAGAGAAATGGTGGTGGCTGAAAACCAGCGCTGTCTAGGGCAGGTAGTCCTTGGCGGCACATGCTGAGCCACCTCCATTTGCTTTTTCTTTTAGCATATAAGTTATTTTAAGCTTATAATGTAATTTTGTTTCTTGTAATTCCTTTTATGTGTAAAAAGCAATAAACGTTTTTTTATTTTATTTTTTTTATTTTAACAGGAATTTTTAAAAGTAAGATAGACATGTTACACTAATCTACTAAGGCTGGGTTGCACCATCTTACTTTAACTTTAACAAACATCAAAAGTCTGTTAAACTTCATACAAAAACACTGGTTATGTTTATAGTCACAGTTCAAATAAGGTGGTGCAACGCAGCCTAAGATAGTGTGCACAGAACCACTCTATTGAANACAAGACTGCTTGTCTCAAACTCGGAGGTCCTGGATTCGATTCCCAATGGAGGCAAATTTTCTGCTTGATTTGGTTGGTGGAAGGACTTGTTATTCTGCATGGCTAGATACTAACATCTCAGCATCGCAGCCGAAACGTCAAGCCGTGAGTACATAATGTAACTCATTAATAAACGTCGCATTAAGACCCGTGTCTTACTATTTTATCTCAATTTGTTGTTGTGATAACTATGTCAAACAGCATTGTTGTGTGACTGTGTTGGGAATTCCTTTAACTTTGCCGTCTAGTATACATCAACAAACACTATTAATTATTTCATACGGTCTATGCAAAATTTAATTAGTAAGTAAAATTTTTAAAATACAACTACAATCAGTCTTACTTCTTCAAATAGTCGACCAGTTCCTTGATGGCCGACTGGATCAATCCCTGCGCCTTCAGAATGGCGACCACGCGCTTACGAGCCGCCGCGTTCGTTTCGTCCAGCCTTATGATGTTGTCCAGCATAGCCAGGGCGTCCTCGTAACTGGAATAATAAAATAAATCATGAATCCATGGGAGTACCCAGGGGGGAAATTGTGTCCCCCAAGTTCTATGTCCTAGTTCTAGAAAGAAATTGGCTCAGTCCAAGCCTGCTGTGGCTTTATTGATACCAGGTATATACAAAAGGATCAAATATGGTACTAATCAAACATGAGATATTATATATTTCATAATGCTCAAAAAGCCGAATCGAAGTACATATTGAAGAGATCAATGTTGGTAAACAGCAACAGATTGAACTGGTTTACTTCTCATAGTGGTATTGAAACAAGGCTGGATTAACCAGCACTGTTCAGCAGTCTTACTAGCAGCCTAAATAGCAAAAAAAAGTATTTAAGTATGTTTATATCCATTGTCTAGTACCTATAGTACAAGCTTTGCTTAGTTTGGGACTAGAAGCACAGTGTAAAATGTCCAAGGATATTTATATTATACATGTTGACTATTTTAATGAAGCATAGATATCTATTTCATAGCTTACTTTTCTTGAGCCTCATACAGTGTTGCTGTGAGCTTGGCGGCTCGGTAGCTGTCAGGGAACTCTTCTTGCAGTGTCATACTGCAGTATGATGCCATGGTGTAGTAGTGGCAATCCAGTGCAGCATAGAACACTTGCTCCAGAATCAGATGTTCTGAAAAGAAGATCATTAGAATTCAAGTAATTTTAGTTACACAACATAATAAAATAGACTTTATTATTATTACAACAGGAATTTTTAAAAGTAAGATAGACATGTTAAACTAATCTACTAAGGCTGGGTTGCACCATCTTACTTTAACAAACATCAAAAGTCTGTTTAACTTCATACAAAAACACCGGTTAAGTTTATAGTCACAGTTCAAATAAGGTGGTGCAACGCAGCCTAAGATAGTGTGCAGAGAACCACTCTATTGACNCTATTGAAAAAAGATATGATAAAAAATGTTCTTACTTTAAATACTTACTTTCATTTCCTAGATTTTTCACACCATTCTTATGACCACCAAATATTACAGACCACACTTTGAGGACTTCATCACTTTTTCTTTCATTATTGTCTCTCCACTGGCGCAACAAGTCTTTTGCCTCTGTAAGTACAATATTTATTTTTTAATTAATGCTACCTGATTATGCTTAAACATAACCTGTGAATGCTTTTAGTCATGGACCTTAAACTAAATTTGATAGATATTTATTTATTTACATGAAACAGTGTTGGTATACCATATATTTGATTACAGTATTATTTTACTATAATACATTTGGTGCAACTGAGTTCAGAGGACATCAGTATGAGTAAGGCGGCCAACTTTATAATAAGTCAATGCGGGACACCCACCCCTATCCACAAAAAGACTTAGGATTTGTTGGAATTGTTAATGGTGTACTTAAATTAGAAACAAACAACACTACTACCAAATTAAAATTTATTTTTAAAATCATATTTTTCACATGAGTGGCATTTTTTTAATAGGTCGTTTGTTAGGAGCGTTTGTTCCTGGCAAACAGAGTAGGTACTGGACGATGGCTAGGCAAAAGTCATTTGTATTTTCATGTGGAACACTTTTATGCGAGCAAAACGATGGGAAACGAGGAATGCGGGACATACGGGACGCCTCGGACGATTTGCGGGACTATTTTATTAAATATTGCAATGCGGAATTGCAACTGTCATTACGGGACGGTCCCGCAGAATGCGGGACGGTTGGCCGCCTTAAGTATGAGGCGACATAGGCGTACGTTCCCGTAACAGGAACTATCGAGTTATAGGAAAAATTAACGAAATAACTACAAATAAAATGTACATAGGGTTCCGTATAGTTTAATATTCTAAATTCAAGACTGTTATAATGATGGAGCAATAAATATTAAAATGAAAGAAGGGAAAAATAGTAAATTGGATGCTAGACGTTCCAAGTAATGAAAATACAAACCACTAATAGTAAGTTCGCTGTAGTTGTCTGCCATTTTAATTATCTAATGAAATAATGATATATTAACAATAATGTAATAGTTATGACTTCACAAAATTATTTAATAAAATAAGTTCAATCCACAGCAGGTTCAATCGGATTTTGACCTGTGATTTTGACACTGACAGAGCCAGCACAAACACGACGTGCTTACTTGACACTAGTGTTGTCACAATTATTAATTAAAGACTAGCTGACCCGGCGAACTTCGTACCGCCTTAGCGTAGAGATTTTCTTAATATTTTTTTCCGTAAGAACCATCCTTGGACTTCCACAAACATTTAAAAAAAAGAATTATCGAAATCGGTTCAGCCGTTCACACGTGATGCCGTGACAACGCGAAACGGGTTTCATTTTTATATATATAGATAATTATTATCGACTGTTCTTCGATCTTATAACAATCGAATTAATAGAGGGAATGAGGGATTTGATCTACACTTACCTCCCCAACTTGTCTGGTGAGTCACCAGACAAGTTGGGGAGGCCTGAATTTCTTAAGGCACAGTTCCTACCAAGGCGGAGCGGAGCAGAGAAGTGGAAATAATGAAATCTGGTTATTCAAAAACATTTCTCTGCTCCGCTCCACCTTGGTGGAAACCAGGCCTAATGTAGTTATTTCTCCTTAAGTTGTCTCTTACGAAATGTACGCGAAGAGTGAGAGTGGTCCTAGTCTACTCGGCCTGACTAAATTATCTACATTGTTCCGCTAACACCCTGGTTTACTAAGAAGTTACAGTCAAAACTCATATCGGTTCAAACCACTTTTGACTGATTTTTCCAATCTACAACGACCTTGGTCAAGCGTTCCAATGAAAATCACTTGATTGGAAAAATCAGGCAAAAGTTGTTTTGACCCATTATGAGTTTTTTGACTGTAAACTTAATTCATTTAATTTTGTACTAGCTTTTGCCCGCGGCTTCACCCGCGTGAAATTTTGCTTGTGACAAACGAAATGTCACGCAGGTGAAGCCGTTTAATAATATAAAATAAAAAAAAACGTTTATTTGGTACAACACAATACAAATTACAAATTAAAACAGAAAATTAAAATAAAATTGTACCAAACAGGTCCTCGCTCAGCATAAGTCAAGGCAAATAGTACCTCGAGCTCGACGCTGATATTCTGCGCTGCTAATATTAGTAGGATTTTGAAGTTTGAACTTTACTTTTATCGACATGTTATTGCCGATAGTAGTGCTTCCCTTTGAATGATATACAAAATGACAGTAAAATGATTTGTTGCCATTTTACAAAACTTTTAATGAGTTAGCTCATCATCATGAGCTATATTTCAAGCTAAAATGCTGCCCCACAGTGGCAATAATCTGATTAAAAATAAAAAAGTTTGATTTATGGTCATTGACATTAGTCTATGGTTTTTCCGTTATACGCACGTATCGCTCGATATATTTTTTATTTGCGACAAAAACACCTACAAATTGAATAGAACACTGTATGGCTCAATGCCACGAAGCAGATATCGACATTTTGGTCCGTGCATCGGAATACAAAGTTTTGTGTAGTGAACGAGACGTCTGCAATATGTCTGACTATTTGGAAATATTTTTAGATAATCATAGCTGTAATTAATTGTAAAAGCTATAAAAACGTTATTGATGTCATGGATTACACATGACAAATACTACAAATAGGTAAGTTCGTGGTGGATAAAGTGGTACTCTGCTAATTCCTTCCTAGTACAAGCACAACGTTGGACTTTTTTGTCTCAATGGCCTTTATCTCACGAGTTTTGTTTCTTTTGTCCTCGATTTCGACATTCAAACAAGTTTGTATAATTTGAAGTCTCAGATATCGCGATGTGTATTTATATAGATTTATTTTGTCCGACAGATCGATAAGAAGACGACTTACAACGAAGATATGTATTGTTGTGGGTCGTGTGGTAGCCTCGCACTCGCATGTCAATAAGAGATATGCGCGTCACGGACGTAGTGCGGACTGGTGCTTCGTTCTGAGTGCGCATTTCGTCAAGGAGAGACACTGACCTTCGCGACGACAGCGAATATCAAGACGTCAAAAGTGTTTTTACGGAATTGTAGACGAAAGTGAGGCAGGATGGATCAAATGGTGCAGTGCCCTGTGTGCACGCTCTACCTGCACAATGGGATCACACTAGAATCTCACCTTGATACCCATCCCAAAGACCAGGTAATAAAAGCATTGTGCAACCTAACCACGAAGGCCAGTAGTAGCTATGCAAGCAGAACATCCACACCGATGCACTGTGACCGCTCGTACAGAAGCAGGTCTCGGACTCCAGCAGTGGACGACAGATGGTCCCACAGAAGTAGTGAAACGGATAGATACTGGCGAAGAACACCGAGCAGAACTTCCAAATCAAGTCAGGCATTAAATGCTTCCCGCAATGGAACACCAGACATTAGAATGAGTGATATGAGCTTTGAAAACAATAGTGCTAATCAATTTTCTGCTCCATCTTATCCTCTGAAAGCAGACAAAACTCAACAGTATCCGAATACACCGACTGGCGAATTGGAACCGCCCTATGCATATTACCAGGACACCAATGATGATAGAGAAATAAAGTATTCCCGCAGCCCAGAATACAATCCTTTGGATACCAGTACCCCAGTTTTCGCTCATAACACTCCAACAACTACCAATGTCAAAATACAGGCTACTTTGCTTCCAACAGTTACTCGGAGAAGCAATGAGAATATAGTAAAAATGTTACCAAAACCAAATAATATACTTGTAAAGACTAATATGGGTGGATTACAGTATATCACTCCAGGGTTGAAGCCGATGCATTTGATGGTGCCCACTCCTCCAACGTTTGTCCAAAAAAATGTACAAAGCAACATGATTATGGCCAGTGGTTTACCTGTAAGCACAATGGTGGAGTCAAAGACATTGGCCCCAACAATACCCACAAACCATTTCAATCAAATGACCAGCAGTACCTTCACACCAGGTACAACAGTAGTACAAAATTCTCAGATTATTTATAGAGAAATGGTTCAGAATATGGATGGTAAGCGTTTCGTTTCATGTGTGCCTTCAGTGCTCGGTCATGAGAATGTTCCTAATGTTGCACCGGGGACATCTATGTATCAGAATTTAATGTTAGTGGATCAACTTGGAAATGCACCATGCATGTACACAGCACCGCAGCCCATTATACCAAAGCCCTGTACCACAACTGTCTATCCTAATAATGGTATGGAGGCACCTAGCGGTACCAATTCAAATGAACATAAAGCTGGTCCTTCTTCAGATGATCGCAATAAAACTCTTGTTAATGAAGTAACTGCCATTGTTGATCCATTGGCCCTTCCTGCTGGAACCAACACGAGTTCGACCACCACCCAAACTGAAGTAGATATATCTATCCCTAAAAAAACTGATGTTCAGTCTGTTGAAAAATGTGACACGCCAGGGTCTAGTAAAGGCTTGAAAATCCTCAGTAACATTAAAGTGGAAGTTCCAGTTCAACACAACAAGAATATGCTGAACACTGTGATGGATCTGACTGGAACCACAGACCCTGAGGATCCTGAGAGGTCAGAGACACCTGAGAAAATTCTACCTGATTTAGATGATCACAATCATATGTCTGATGATTGCACCCAACCATCAATATCTAGCAGTGACAGTGCAGTCTCACATGCCTTTTCTGTGATAAAAAATGTTGGTAACCCACCATCTTATAAAGAATCTTCCATCAAATCAAGTATAGATAGTAAAATCGATGCAGAATTTTCTGACAGCTGCCCAGTCCCAGATTTAATATGTAATGAGAAACCATCTATATCACCTTGCAGCGAATTATCAGAGGTTGGAGATAACTCTGCTGATCGTGCTTCAGTATGTAACTCGGAATCGCCTAAACCTCAAATAAACCAATCAATTAGTTTAGATAGTAATACTGATAAGAAGCCCCAATCGGCAATAAAACCATACAGACACAATGCACTACGATTAAATAATATATTTGTGAAAAAGCACAAAAAAATATTACAAATAAAAAATGCAAAGCAGTCCAGTAGTCAGTTGGATCACACAGAAGTAGAGCCACAAGCGTCGTCATCCTTTTGTAACTCGCCTGAAAATTTTCCTAGAGGCTCACCGGCTTCATTTAAGTCGGTCGAAAAATTCTCTCAAGCATCACCTGCTTCATTTAAGTCGGTCGAAAAGTTCTCCCCAGCGTCACCGGTTTCATGTAAATCGGTCGAAAAATTCTCTCGAGCGTCACCGGCATCATTCAAGTCGGTCGAAAAGTTCTCTCCAGCGTCACCGGCTTCGTGTAAGTCGGTCGATAAATTCTCTCGGGCGTCGCCGGCTTCATTTAAGTCGGTCGAAAAATTCTCTCAAGCATCACCGGCTTCATGTAAGTCGGTCGAAAAATTATCTCGAGCGTCACCGGCTTCATTTAAGTCGGTCGAAAAATTCTCTCAAGCCTCACCGGCTTCTTGTAAGTCGGTCGAAAAATTCTCTCCAGCGTCATCCTTGTGCAAGTCGCCGGATAACTTTTCTCGAGCGTCATCATCTTCGTGCAAGTCGCCGGAAATTTTCACCCGCGCGTCGTCATCTTGTAAATCACCTGGAAATTTTTCTCGAGCGTCATCGTCCTCGTGCCGAACACCCGAAAATTTTTCAATAACTAAAATGATTTGCTCCGAAAAGTCTGAATGTTTAGACGAAAAGAGTCCTTTAGAATCGATGCCAGAAGAGAAGATGATCGAGAAAGACGAAGAAGACCAAGATCATAACGATTTCGACGCCGACACGGAGGAGCAGTCGATGGACATCGAGCCCGTCGCGTCCTCCAGCCTGAACACTTCGGACCAGTTCACGACCAGCATAGACGTGGTGCAGGTCAAAGAGGAGGTGAACACGAGCAACGAGGATCCTTTCAGCAACGAGAACAGTAATTCCAATCGCGAGATGGAACCTTTGGACGGTCTGCGGCCGATCAACGTGATATCGTACGGCAACATGCCGCCGGGGGAGTTCGACGAGGAGTCGAACCATCGCGAGCTTCTCGAGCTGGAGGCTGCGTCGAAAAACAAGCAGTTCGTCAGCATGATGAACGAGAACTACTTCGGGGACAACATCTACGCGGACTACTTTACTCCGGACCGCGTGGAGGCGTTCGACGCGGCCCGGGAGGCGCCGTCGTTCGCGAAAGAGAATCCGAAGGATATGTACCTGTGGGGCGAGTCGTCGCACCACAAGGAGAGCGAGTTCGTGCTGCCGAACTTTATACACGAGAGTTATAAGATAGCGGAGAGCAGCGCGGTGGATTATGCCGAGATGGGGAGTAGAGCGGTGCGGGTAGACGTGGAAGTGGACGTGTGCGAGCGGGACAGCAAGGCGGACGTGCTGGGCGAGGCCGGGCCGGGCGAGGCGCCGCTGAACATTTGCGCCGACGAGCGGATGCCGCCGCGCGGCGAGCTCAGCGGCCAGGAGAGCAACGGGGACACGGAGTCGCCGTGGAACGGAGTAAGAACCTTTTTGGCACCACAGCATTAATCGCAAACTAACATTGTAATTAAGTGTAACATACGGTGTGGAGACTAATGTGAACGGCTTCGTAGTGTAGCAATATTTGTCATGTATTAATCCTATCATTATCCTATTATAAGTATCGATCAGGAGCGAACCCGAATCATAATAAACGATCTCGAGTGCAAAGAAGTTATCATTGATGCGAACGTTGAGCGAACTTTGGCTCTTAACGTTAAGGTAAGGTTTTAAGAGCATATAAAAATTTGTTTTAAAAATGTATTCTTACCAACGCCCACTCGTATTTCAGATGTACACGGACGTACCGCCTTCGGAGCCCTACGATTTGATCGCGCGCGAGAGTTGGGTGTCGGACGGCTCCGAGATAGATACCAATGAGAAGCGGGAAAATTTGTGAGTAAAGTATAATTTAGATTCATTTATTTATAGCGAAATACGACTCCCGATTTTTTAATACACTCGACATCAAATAAATCGCACCTCCCGCGAGAAATAATCTTTAAAAAATAGGTAGTTATGCTTGAGCTAACTTTTATAGCTATAAAACTGTTAAGTTGGGATTAATCGTTATCCACCTGTTAAAGAGGACATGTGAGATCATTATTTGGTTTTACAACCATAAAAATTGTTCTAATTGATCCCAGAGGAGAGCCCAAAGTGAGGTTTTCAAGTCACATTTATGGTATATGTTAATCATTTATTTAGATTATTATATGTGTTTTTATTTAAGGATATTTATTGGGCTTTCAAATAACACCAATATTGTTGGGGCACCGTGATTGTGTCAAAAGAAAATTTTAAAGTTCGCATCGCGGAAAGTGCGATTTATTTGATGTTGAGTGTATTTTATGAATTTTGGTTTAGATAATTTTAACGTCGCGTATGTTTTCAGGGAGGAAGAGATCCATTTCGCGCAAAAAGGGCGTATTTTCACGTGCTCGATATGCGGCTCTAAGTTTCCCTCGTTGTACGAGATGCGTGCGCATAAGTCAGCGGCGCATGCGCCTTTGACTGTTCACGCGCCGCTCGTGGCGCCCGCCCTAGCGTCCCAGCTGTCCCCCCACCCTCCGCAGTTCGTTCTGCCCCCCCACTCGCTGCAGCCACCCGAAACGGCGCGCACGTCATACAGCAGGATGCTGACCGCGAGGATTATCAAGAAAGAGGAAAAACCGGACGACGCCACTGGAGTTCCTGGTACGTGTAAAGCCCGGTCTGTGAGCACGTAGAATTTTGTCCAATGACCCCAAGCTACCACACTCACCATGCTCGCACACTCACTGCGAGCGCCCGTCGCACAGTCGCGACAGCAACATAATTATGCGCGAGCGATAAGGATGGGTAGCTTGGGGTCATTGGACACAATTCTACGTGCTCACAGACCAGACCAGATACAGTTGATATTATTTTCTTGCAGTAGTCGAGACCATAGATGCAGACCGTTACCGACCGGTCAATCTGGAAATCTTGGGGAGGCCTATATTCAGCAATGGACGTCTTGTCCTGAAATGATGAGTCGACAAAAGGCCAGCAGTTGAGACCGAGTGCTTGAAGTTGCGACCTTGAAACAGTCAGTATATGGCTGACCAAACTGCTATTGGCAGTGTTATTTATTTTTCTTATACATGCGCGTCGGTCTGTCAAACGACTTTTTTTGGGTTTTTTAAAAGGTCAAACTTGGTAATTATCTATTCAATACTTTCGCCAGGCACTGCCGGAATGCCGCTAGACTCGAAAGAGGTGCTCGCGAGCAGTATGCTTCAGTACGACGCTCTAGGAGAGGCCAAGCCCAAGCTCGAGGCGCTCATCAAGCAGGAGGCCAAGGCGCGCCGCAAGAGAGACTTCGTCTGCCCCACGTGCAAGGTGAGACACCTTCAACAGGTGACCCCGGGCTCCGCTAGACTCTAAGGAGGCGCTCGCGAGCAGCATTCTACAAGAAGAAGGCGCTCGCGAGCAGTATGCTTCAGTACGACGCTCTAGGAGAGGCCAAGCCCAAGCTCAAGGCGTTTATCAAGCAGTAGGCCAAGGCGCGCCGCAAGAGAGACTTCGTCTGCCCCACGTGCAAGGTGAGACACCTTCCCCAGGCGAGCCCAGGCTCCGCTGGACTCGAAGGAGGCCAGGCCAGAGAGGAAGGACCTAGTTCTACGTAAATCCTGATGGTGACCTCCGTAAGCATTATTTAGTCCGGAATGCGAGACGTCACCATCAGCAATAGCCTCTAGCATTTGTCCGCGTTCCTTGCTCGACCGCTCAGTGCAGCCTCAGCAAGTGAAAGGAGACAGAGTTTCTTTGACAACGAGCGGTGCGCGGGACAAGCGCTTCTAGTCACCACCAGGGCACCAGATCACCCATATCTGGCGGTCGAGGCCTGTTATTGAAGATTTCGTAAGCTAACTTTTCGTGTCATGATGGTATCAGCAGCAGGCCTGTTCATCTGCCCGAGTAGGCATCGAAGAAAAATCACGCGTGGCGTAATCCACAAGGGTTTTACGAGTGTGCAATGAGAGAGACTTATGCCCGTTTTCACCATCAATCCCTAATTTTTAAGTGACCCGTATGGTAACACATAACAGGCATTTTGTTTCCATAGGGGTCACTTAAAAAAATAGGGATTGATGGTAAAAACGGACATCACGCGCTAGGTTTTCTTCACCCATTGTAAAAAAAATATTCGCTATGGAAAGAAGAAAAATATGCGTGTGGTGCGCTAGATGGCGACAGTAGCTTCTTGTAGCAGTCAGCCCTATCGCATCGGCACAGTACCGACAGAGTAAATACAAATGAAGTAGGTCATCTTCATAGAAACGCCCGAGTGCGGTTTGTATGTGAGCGCGCCAATACGTATGCGGCGCGCACACACACACTGACAAAATGTAGCGTTGATTAGCGGTGAGTTGCCCCGAAGATGACCTACTCATTTGTATTTACTCTGGTACCGAGTAAACTGACGTGACGTATGTAAACGAAACGGTGCTCGTCTCTGAGACAAGCTAAATTACACTATATTGTTGATGACATTGAGTACACATTTTTTAAAATACCTTCGCGAAGAAAACTACGTAGTCTATATTATTTTCTATGGTATCAGGCACTTAGGCTGGTTTTAGTGTCACGCGGATTGTCAGTGCGAATCGCTCCGCACAGCCGATCTGTATGAACTGCTAGGAAGCGGAGTGGTTCCTCCGGACCGCATTACTCTAAAACGCTCCCTAGAAGTTCATACAGATTGGCCGTGCGGAGCGGGTCCGCACCGGACGGTCTCTCTTTAATTGCTTGGTTGATGCTTGCAGGAGGACCAGCTGACCGAGGTGGCGTTCGCAGCGCACCTCAAGATCCACCCGCTAGAGTGCCTGACGTGCGGCAAGTGCTTCTTCCGCCGCTCCAACCTTCAGCTGCACATCAAGATGCATCTGGGCATCAGGAACCACAAGTAAGCGATGGATATTGAACTTTATGGACGTTGGAATAGGTTTCAAAATCGATGCATGGATATCTATCTTCTTCTTCTAAATATAAATAACTCCAAGGTGACTGACTGACCGACTGACTGACTGACTGACTGACAGTGATCTATCGACGCAAAGCCCAAACCACTGGACGGATCGGGCTGAAATTAGGCATGCAGGTAGATGTTATGACATAGGCATCCGCTAAGAAAAGATTTTGCGAAACTCCACCCCTAAGGGGATAAAACGGGATCCACGCGTACGAAGTCGCGAGCGGCCGCTAGTTTTACTTATTAGACTCAGAATTGTCTCACTGTATCTATGCAATTTATATATTTGTTAGCTGTTTGTTTTCTGAATAAAACAAAATAAAATAAAATAAAATAGAGTTCAAATTCGATTTAGATAATAGAACGACAAATAAAAAGCGCGAACGGGAAGCAAAGACATAACAATGCACGTCCTACCTGACGCAATGGTCGCCTTAACAACGTATCAGATAGGTTGTACTGTTTTCCACCGCAAGTGTGCATTAGTAGCACAATAGATTATGGACTTTATAAGCAACTAGCGGCCGCCCGCGACTTCGTCCACGTGAACCCCGTTTAACCCCCTTAGGGTTGAAGTTTTGAGTTTTTTTAGAGGTTTCCCGGTGATTATTCGAACTTTTATCGCCGTAAAAACCATCCTTGGACTTCAACAAACATTTTAAAAAAAGAATTGGTAAAATTGGTCCAGGCGTTGTTGAGTTATGCGCTTACCAACACATTTTGCGATTCATTTTTATATTATAGATTTAACAGGGTTCAAAATACATTAAGATACACTTCTTCAAAGCAGGGTAGGTTTTGATAATAGTTTCACTCACTAATAAAATATGTCTTCTACAGGTGCGAGGTATGCGAAAAGCGGTTCATCACTCGACAGAAACTGATCGAGCACCAGAACGTGCACACCGGCCGCACGCCCNAGGCCAAGGCGCGCCGCAAGAGAGAATTCGTCTGCCCCACGTGCAAGGTGAGACACCTTCAACAGGCGACCCCGGGCTCCGCTAGACTCTAAGGAGGCGCTCGCGAGCAGCATTCTGCAAGAAGAAAGCGCTCGCGAGCAGTATGCTTCAGTACGACGCTCTAGGAGAGGCCAAGCCCAAGCTCGAGGCGCTCATCAAGCAGGAGGCTAAGGCGCGCTGCAAGAGAGACTTCGTCTGCCCCACGTGCAAGGTGAGACACCATCCCCAGGCGACCCCGGGCTCCGCTGGACTCTAAAAAGGCGCTCGCGAGCAGCATTCTGCAAGAAGAAGGCGCTCGCGAGCAGTATGCTTCAGTACCACGCCTTAGGAGAGGCCAAGCCCAAGCTCGAGGCCAAGGCGCGCCGCAAGAGGGACTTCGTCTGCCCCACGTGCAAGGTGAGACTCCTTCCCCAGGCGAGCCCGGGCTCCGCTAGACTCTAAGGAGGCGCTCGCGAGCAGCGTTCTGCAAGAAGAAGGCGCTCGCGAGCAGTATGCTTCAGTACGACGCACTAGGAGAGGCCAAGCCCAAGCTCGAGGCGCTCATCAAGCAGGAGGCCAAGGCGCGCCGCAAGAGAGACTTCGTCTGCCCCACGTGCAAGGTGAGACACCTTCGACAGGTGACCCCGGGCTCCGCTGGACTCTAAGGAGGCGCTCGCGAGCAGCATTCTACAAGAAGAAAGCGCTCGCGAGCAGTATGCTTCAGTACCACGCCTTAGGAGAGGCCAAGCCCAAGCTCGAGGCCAAGGCGCGCCGCAAGAGGGACTTCGTCTGCCCCACGTGCAAGGTGAGACACCTTCCCCAGGCGAGCCCGGGCTCCGCTGGACTAGAAGGAGGCGCTCGCGAGCAGTATGCTTCAGTACGACGCACTAGGAGAGGCCAAGCCCAAGCTCGAGGCGCTCATCAAGCAGGAGGCCAAGGCGCGCCGCAAGAGGGACTTCGTCTGCCCCACGTGCAAGGTGAGACACCTTCCCCAGGCGATCCCGGGCTCCGCTGGACTCAAAGCACTCAATGCCTACCAGAAAGGTAGGGCCTACCCACTAAAAACCTGACGGTGACCTCCGTAAGCATTATTTAGTCGGGAACGCGAGACATCACCATCAGCAATAGCCTCTAGCATTTGTCCGCGTTCTATGCTCGACATTTGCTCAGTGTAGCCCCAGCAAATCAAAGGAGACAGGGTTCCTTTGCCAATGAGCGGCGCGCGTGACAAGCGCCTCTAGTTACCACCAGACACTCCCGCATCTGGTGGTCAAGGCTTGTTAGGGAAGATTTCGTAAGCTAATTTTTCGTGCCATGATGGTATGCAGCAGCAGGCCTGTTCATCTGCCCGAGTAGGCATCCAAAACAAATCGCGCGGCATATCCGCGCCGGCGGGTTTAATCCACAAGGGATTCACGAGCGAGTAGTGACTGATTTACGCGCTCCTTTTCTTCACCCACTGTAAAAAATGATCGCTATAGAAAGAAGAAATATAAAAATACGCATGTGGTGCGATAAATGGCGACACAGTAAAAGTCAGCCCTATCGCATTGGCACAGTACCGATCACTGACGTATGTAAACGAAACGATGCTCGACTCTGAGACAAGCTAAATTACACCAAATTGTTGACCTTCGCGAAGAAAACTCTGTATTGGTTCCCAAACTTATTTGAGACGCGCCCCCTTTCGACCATACAAAAAATTCCGCGCCCCCCCTCTTCCAGTTAAGATTTATTGATTGATCGTATCGAGCAGTCTGGAATGCATTCTCTCAGCGGTCGCAGGTTTTTTATACTTATGAACCCAGATGGCCCGGTCATGGCGCAAAGACCTTTAAAGGAGGGCCCTTTAAAGGTCTTTGCGCCTCCACTGGGGGGCGCGCCCCCCACTTTGGGAACCAATGCTGTACGTAGTCTATATTATTTTCTATGGTATCAGGCACTTAATTGGCTCGTCGATCTTTGCAGGAGGACCAGCTAACCGAGGTGGCGTTCCAGGCGCACCTCAAGATCCACCCTTTAGAGTGCCTGACGTGCGGCAAGTGCTTCTTCCGCCGCTCCAACCTTCAGCTGCACATCAAGATGCATCTGGGCATCAGGAACCATAAGTAAGCGATAGATTTTGAACTTTATGGACCTTGGAATAGGTTTCAAAATCGATGCATGGATATCTATCTTCTTCTTCTAAATATAAATAACTCCAAGGTGACTGACTGACCGACTGACTGACTGACTGACTGACATAGTGATCTATCGACGCAAAGCCCAAACCACTGGACGGATCGGGCTGAAATTAGGCATGCAGGTAGATGTTATGACGTAGGCATCCGCCAAGAAAAGATTTTACGAAACTCCACCCCTAAAGGGATAAAACGGGTTCCACGCGTACGAAGTCGCGGGCGGCCGCTAGTTTTACTTATAAGACTCAGAATTGTCTCACTGTATCTATGCAATTTATATATTTGTAAGCTGTTTGTTTTCTGAATAAAACAAAATAAAAATAAAATAAAATAGAGTTCAAATTCGATTTAGATAGTACAACGACAAATAAAAAGCGCGAATTTGTAATAGACTGAAATAAATGACGTAAGGCAAAGACATAACCATGCACGTCTTACCTGACGCAATGGTCGCCTCAACAACGTATCAGATAGGTTGTACTGTTTTCCACTGCTAGTGTGCATTAGTAGCACAATAGATTATGGACTTTATAAGCAATTTAATAGGGTTCAAAATATATTAAGATACACTTCTTCAGAGATAATTACATAGTATCACTCACTAATATGTCTTCTACAGGTGCGAGGTATGCGAAAAGCGGTTCATCACTCGACAGAAACTGATTGAGCATCAGAACGTGCACACCGGCCGCACGCCCGTCAAGTGCACCATCTGCGACGACACCTTCCGCCGCTACTCCAACATGGTGCAGCACCGGTGAGTCGACCCTGTAGCGATGCACATAAGGTCTACTTTGGAGTGGCCATTTGTACTCGATCAACTNTGTAGCGAGGCATATAAGGTCTAATTTGGTGCAGGAGGTTACTTTGTCAAAATTTTCTACAGAATTTGACAGCGGCAGCAGCGCGGCGCGGAGGGGAGCTAAAGTCTGATTGGTGTACAACCCTACGATAGCGAGGTGTGCATGGGAAAATGAAAGCTATTTTACAGGCAATAGCATCATTTATTGAGATTCAAAGCTAAGCTATGTGATGAACCTATTTGAACCTAGCTGAACCTAGCTGAACCTGGGTGGGCATACATTTCCAGGGGTTATATAAAGCCAGGAGAAAAACAAATGTTAGCGCGAGCTAAAGGAGCACAGCGCCATCTATTATCCCAAATATAAACTATGTTTTACTTACCCATTGTTCTTGGTGGACTTGCTTTTCACTTGACACTCAAACTTATACATTGGTTATTCAAAACATTCTCCGCTCTGCTCCGCTTTGGTGGAAACCGGGTCTAAAAAACGTCCACGCTCATAGTATTTAAAAACGCAAAGGAAGCGAGTGAAAAATTGGGGAGAACGCACAACGTTCTGTCCCATTTTTCATTCGCTTCCTTTATGCTCGTATACGTACTTACTATACTTACAGTCTAAAAAATACATTAATAGGTTAAAAACTAAAAACGTCACTTCATCTTCCAGGGACCGCCACCACTTCCAAAAGAAGGCCAAAGTGCGTGACTTTGTGTGCCACTGCGGAGCCGTGTTCCATTCGCGGGCCAAGCTGCACTGGCACCAGGAGACACACGACGGCAAGCCCAAGGCCTGCCTCTACTGCTCCGACAAGTTCGTGCACGCGGCTTCGCTCACGCGCCACATACGACGCACGCACAACATCTTCTTCCTGTCCGACCGGAGCAAGGCTAAGGAGAACGTGCCGTGTCCCGTTTGCAAGCAGGTTGGTGGTAGATTAGGGTTGATTGTACCAGGAGAAATAGTTTTCCAATCGGTTGATTAGTCGGCCAACTTGTCGCCCTAAGTCGGCCAATGTCGGCGAAATGTCGGCCAATGTCGGCGGAGATGTCGGCCAATGTCGGCGAAGATGTCGGCCAATGTCGGCGAAGATGTCGGCCAATGTCGGCGAAGATGTCGGCCAATGTCGGCGTAAATGTGGGCCAATGTCGGCGAAAATGTCGGCTAAAGTCGGCCCACCAGTGTCGGCTAAGCCCAATCGGGGCCAAGCTGCACTGGCACCAGGAGACACACGACGGCAAGCCCAAGGCCTGCCTCTACTGCTCCGACAAGTTTGTGCACGCGGCTTCGCTCACGCGCCACATACGACGCACGCACAACATCTTCTTCCTGTCCGACCGGAGCAAGGCTAAGGAGAACGTGCCGTGTCCCGTTTGCAAGCAGGTTGGTGGTAGATTAGGGTTGATTGTACCAGGAGAAATAGTTTTCCAATCGGTTGATTAGTCGGCCAACTTGTCGCCCTAAGTCGGCCAATGTCGGCGAAGATGTCGGCCATTGTCGGCGGAGATTTCGGCCAATGTCGGCGAAAATGTCGGCCAAAGTCGACCCACCAATGTCGGTCAAACCCACTCGCGGCCAAGCTGCACTGGCACCAGGAGACCAGGAGATTAGGGTTGATTGTACCAGTAGAAATAGTTTTCCAGTCGGTTGATTAGTCGGCCAACCTGTCGGCCTAAGTCGGCCAATGTCGGCGAAAATGTCGGCCAATGTCGGCGAAGATGTCGGCCAATGTCGGCGAAGATGTCGGCCAATGTCGGCGAAGATGTCGGCCAATGTCGGCGTAAATGTGGGCCAATGTCGGCGAAAATGTCGGCTAAAGTCGGCCCACCAGTGTCGGCTAAGCCCAATCGGGGCCAAGCTGCACTGGCACCAGGAGACACACGACGGCAAGCCCAAGGCCTGCCTCTACTGCTCCGACAAGTTTGTGCACGCGGCTTCGCTCACGCGCCACATACGACGCACGCACAACATCTTCTTCCTGTCCGACCGGAGCAAGGCGAAGGAGAACGTACCGTGTCCCGTTTGCAAGCAGGTTGGTGGTAGATAAGGGGGCGTCCATAAATTACGTGAGACTTTTAGGGGGGGGAGGGGGTCAACGAAAACCTCACTAAATCTCACGTGGGGGAGAGGGGGGGTCTCGGAAAATATCACGTAATTTTTCCCGCAAGAAATAGAGTAAAATTGCCAGAAAACTGGGTTATTGAAGTAAAAAAATATTTTTTTTTTATGATGATAATGACAATTTATTCTAAACAGTCTAATCAAATTAAACTAAAAATTCCGTAGTTGTCTGTCGTTACCACAATACAGTGTGAGTCACGTTAGTGTACATATGAAAATAGCCTATTTTTATCGACAAAAAAGACCTTTTTTACACAATCGGTTAAGTGGATACACGATATCAGCGAAACCTGATATGAATCGTCGGTAGTAGTTGGCAAATGCAACAAAGCGTTTTACTTCGTCAGCGCAACTTGGCCGTGGGTAAGTCTGTATGGTGTCAATTTTGCCTGGGTCTGGGAAAATACCTTCCTGAGTTATCTTGTGTCCCAGGTATACTATTTCTTTTCGCAGAAATTCACATTTGATGGGATTTAATTTTAAATTTACTTTTCTGAATCGATTTAGAACATCAATGAGATTTTTGTTGTGGTTTTCGATACAATTTCCTATTACAACGCAATCATCGAGATAAATGAAACATTTTTGGTAATTAAGACCGGCCATAGCTATCGTCATTAGTCTAGAAAAAACACTTGCGCTTGTTTTAAGTCCCATTGGACAGCGCTTCATTTGGTACTGTTTTCCAGCTGTGAATGTGGTATATTTTCGAGATTCACTATCGAGAGAAAGTTGGTACATTTTATTTAAANAATTTACATACTTCATGCACCATCTGCGACGACACCTTCCGCCGCTACTCCAACATGGTGCAGCACCGGTGAGTCGACCCTGTAGCGATGCAAATAAGGTCTACTTTGGAGCGGTCACTTGTACGCGATCAACTGTCAAGTGCACCATCTGCGACGACACCTTCCGCCGCTACTCCAACATGGTGCAGCACCGGTGAGTCGACCCTGTAGCGAGGCACATAAGGTCTACTTTGGAGCGGTCACTTGTACGCGATCAACTGTCAAGTGCACCATCTGCGACGACACCTTCCGCCGCTACTCCAACATGGTGCAGCACCGGTGAGTGTCGACCCTGTAGCGAGGCACATAAGGTCTACTTTGGAGAGGTCACTTGTATGCTGTACAATCCTACTAATACATATTATAAATGCGAAATTTTGGATGTCTAGATGTTTGTTATTCTTTCACGCAAAAACTACTGAACGGATTTTGATGAAACTACAGTATTATTGTTTATAACCCAGAATAACATATAGGCCTAGGCATATAGCCTGTCTGTGACAAACGAAATTTCACGCGGGTGAAGTCACGGGCAAAAGCTAGTCCGTCATAAAGAGCCTGTCTGATGACGCGTATTTACTCGCGAGTTTCGAATCTAGAGATTCATACATTCTGTCCACATGCAGTCGCGCGTTTCGCCTAAGAATCTCAATCGCGCGAGTATAAAACGCGGCAATGAGGGTTTTCGCGAATGAAAAATCCGCCAGATGGCAATACGTAGACGCGAGGTCCAAATGCTGCATGATTGGTTATTTTTGACATGACATTGACAGATATGTCAAAATCCACCAATCACGCAGCAGTCAGACCCCAGATCCACGTCCCGCCATCTAGCGGATCTTTCATTCGCGAAAACCCTCATTGGACGGCCTAAATGTGAAAGCGCTATAAAACGTCAGTCCATAAAACGTTGAATACTTTTCATCTTCCAGGGACCGCCACCACTTTCAGAAGAAAGCCAAAGTGCGCGACTTCGTGTGCCACTGCGGAGCCGTATTCCATTCGCGGGNCACGCGGCCTCGCTCACGCGCCACATACGACGCACGCACAACATCTTCCTTTCCGACCGGAGTAAGGCGAAGGAGAACGTGCCGTGTCCTGTTTGCAAGCAGGTTGGTGGTAAATTAGGGTTGAATTTACCAGTCGAAGTAGTTTTCCAGTCGGCCAAAATGTCGGCGAAAATGTCGGCCAATGTTGGCGAAAATGTCGGCCAATGTCGGCGAAGATTCGGCCAATGTCGGCGAAAATTTCGGCCAAAATTGGCCCACCAGTGTCGGCCAAAACCACTCGCGGGCCAAGCTGCACTGGCACCAGGAGACGCACGACGTTTAAGCACTCAATAATTGGTGCCATTGTTGAGTAAAGTCACTTGTCACTTGCTAGTGGCAAACACAAAGGCGTCCACTGGTAAGCGCTGAAGCGTTTGGTGGACTATCGCATTTGCACTCACCAGGATTGCGCCACTGCAGTCAGTGTAGAGGAAGTCCTCCTAATCCTAATCCTCTAACTGTAGAGGAAGGTCATGTCAATCACCAGCAGTGCAGCCCTCATTAGTGACAATTCCATTACTAGCATTCCCATTTAGTTCTCATTGTGTGGGGATATTGAGGAACGGTACCGGCAACATTCCAGACCTTGGGAATGGCTCATTCCTACTTGTAGAACATAGCCAGCTCAACCTAGAGAACTTTTCGCTTGGCCTTGGCAAACCTCAAGAATAGGTATGTTTCCTGGGTCAAAAAGCAAGAGTTTTAATTAGTCCGTCATTTAACTTATCTAAAAATACTCTACACGTATTTTTCACTTTTTCAAACTAATGAAAATTTAAAGAGATAAAGCGCGCCAAAGTTCATAAGAAGAGGCCTGTGACGTCAATGAGTGCATAAAAGTGCCACACTTTGTGACGTCGCGCGGACCTTCAACGCACCATAACTGTGTAATTATTTGTTAGATTGACAAATAAAAATATATGTGTCCAATATTTTTGATATTAAACATGACGGACTAAAAAATTTTTTTTAGGAAACTAGCCTATTATCTAAAAGTTCCCTTATTCTTTCCAGATGTACCTTAGATCGAACCTGCGCGCCCATTTACTGACACACAGCGGCAAACGACCACATCTATGCGTCATTTGCAACAAGTCCTTCAGCACCAAGTGGAACCTAAAGCTGCACAGGTGGACACACATGTCAAGATCTGCTAAACCATTTAAGTGTAACCTGTGCAAGGGAGCTTTCATCAGACAGGTATGTTTAGCAATATTGCCAGAAATTTTCTTTGACTTTGCTCAAGATACATGACGCGCCCCACTAACAACCCTGTAGCCTATGCAAAGACGCCTTTATCGGACAGGTACGCTAAAGCCCGGTCTGTGAGCACGTAGAAATTTGTCCAATGACCCCAAGCTACCCATCTTTATCGCTCGCGCGTAATTATATTGCTGTCGCGACTGTGCGATAGCAACATAATTACGCGGTAGCTTAGGGTCATTGGACAAAATTCTACGTGCTCGCAGACCAGACTATACCTATGATTGATTTATCTTTGACAATATTGTCAGATATTTTCCTTAGCTTCCTCACCACAATCTGCAATAAAAGTGGTTATTGGTTAGGTAGTGTCAAATACCCTAGTCCTTACAATGACATTTTACATACCCCCTACTTTAAAAGGCATGGCAACTTCAAGTTATCATTGTCTATTAATTAACCTTAAGATCCGGCAATAAGATTCAAAATGNTGATTTTTTCATATAAATCTATTAGACTCGAAAAATAGGCATTTTATTAAATATCACGTGAGATTAGGGGGGTGGGGGAGGGGGTCAAGCAAAATCTCACCAAATCTCACCAAGGGGGGCGGGGGGGTTGAAAAATGGCCAAAATTGTCTCACGTAATTTATGGACGCCCCCTAAGGCTTGATTGTACCGGTAGAAATAGTTTTCTAGTCGGCCAAACTGTCGGCCAAAATCGCCGGCCTAAGTCCGCCAATGTCGGCGAAGATGTCGGCCATTATCGGCGAAGATTCGGATAATGTCGGCGAAAATGTTGGCTAAAGTCGGCCCACTAGTGTCGGCCAAGCCCACTCGCGCGCCAAGCTGCACTGGCACCAGGAGACGCACGACGGCAAGCCCAAGGCCTGCCTCTACTGCTCCGACAAGTTCGTGCACGCGGCTTCGCTCACGCGCCACATACGACGCACGCACAACATATTCTTTCTGTCCGACCGAAGCAAGGCAAAGGAGAACGTGCCGTGTCCTGTTTGCAAGCAGGTTGGTGGTAGATAAGGGTTGATTGTACCAGTAGAAATAGTTTTCCAGTCGGCCAAGCTGTCGGCCAAAATCGGTGGCCTAAGTCGGCCAATGTCGGCCAAAGTCGACCCACCAGTGTCGCAGTCGGCCAATCTCACTCGCGGCCAAGCTGCACTGGCACGAGGAGACGCACGATGCTTTAGCACTCACTAATTGGTGCCATTATGTAAGGTCACTGTCATTTTGCTAGTGGCGAAAACGATGGCGCCAACTGATGAGCGGTGAAGCGGTTGGTGGACTATCGCATTTGCACTCACCAAGAGTGCGTCACTGTAGAGGAGGGTCATGTCAATCGGCAGCAGTGCAGCCCTCATAATAAGTGACAATTGCATTACTAGCATTCCCATTTAGTTCTCATTGTGTGGGGATATTGAGGAACGCTACCGGCAACATTCCCGACCTTGGGAATATTCTTGGGAATGACTCATCCCTACTGGTGGAACATAGCCAGCTCAACCCAGAGAACTTTTATCTTTAATAAACCTCATGAATTATTTAAAAGTTCCCTTATTCTTTCCAGATGTACCTCCGGTCTAACCTGCGCGCCCATTTACTAACACACAGCGGCAAGCGACCACATCTATGCGTCATTTGCAACAAGTCCTTCAGCACCAAGTGGAACCTAAAGCTGCACAGGTGGACGCATATGTCAAGATCTGCCAAGCCATTTAAGTGTAACCTGTGCAAGGGAGCTTTCATCAGACAGGTATGTTTAGCAATATTGCCAGAAATTTTCTTTGACTTAGCACAAGATACATGACGCGCCCCACTAACAACCCTGTAGCCTATGCAAAGACGCCTTTATCGGACAGGTACGCTAAAGCCCGGTCTGTGAGCACGTAGAATTTTGTCCAATGACCCCAAGCTACCCATCTTTATCGCTCGCGCGTAATTATATTGCTGTCGCGACTGTGCGATAGCAACATAATTACGCGGTAGCTTAGGGTCATTGGACAAAATTCTACGTGCTCGCAGACCAGACTATACCTATGATTGATTTATCATTGACAATATTGTCAGATATTTTCCTGCACAATCACCACCACAATCTGCAATAAAAGTGGTTATTGGTTAGGTAGTGTCAAATACCCTAGTCCTTACAATGTCATTTTACATACCCTACTTTAAAAAGTATGGCAACTTCAAGTTATCATTGTCTGTTAACCTTAACATCCGGCAATAAGGTTCAAAATATAACATCAATATAACACCCATTTAAACTGCAATCAAATAGCGAAACCGTATGATTTGCCCACTCCTCAGGCGGAGTACATATCCCACATGAACGCGCACAAGTCGTTCCGGCCCTACACGTGCAACTACTGCGGCTGCCAGTTTATCCGCAAGTACAACTGCCAGCGACACGTCAGAGAACACGAGACCGCCAAAAAGTACGTGTGCAAAGTCCCCGAGTGTGGTAAGTCGTTCCACCGGAGCTACTACCTCTCCGAACATATGAAGGTCCACAGCGGAGCCAGACCCTTCGCCTGCAACATCTGCGGAAAAACCTCCAGCAACAAATCCAACCACAACAAACACCTTAAAATCCACCACGCGCGGGAACCCGTCGCCACCGAGGCGTAGTCCCGACGCACGTAGTTAGAAACCAATTTTAATCTTATATTCACCCTTGTGATCGTAACGTGTCATTTTGTTTGTGAGCACACGGAATTTGAAGTGCCTATAAAGATTATATTATGAGGTCACATTACGGACGGATAGTTTACGACTCTTAGCGAATTAATTGTACGTTTATTTTAAGTACCGATAAAAGATTAATATGTAATTTAAGACAGATGCGTATCGGCAGATTACATGATTGAAATTGATGAATGCTGTAAAACTTAATATTGATAAACGACTGATCGATTTAGATTTAATTTAATTGATATGGATCTTATCGTCTGTCTCAAATTGAGGCAGTGTAAGTAACGGACTACTTAAGTAACCTTAGAACCTTATTCCGTGTGCGCAAGGTTCCATGTTGTTTGTATTGTATTCCTATTATTCTGGCGACTACCGCGTGGTTTGTGTTGTGCTTGCGTTCGACTGACTAGCTTTAAAGTCTCGGTGGATTGTCGTTGGTACGCTAAATCTCTATATTCGTTTTACCCGAGTGGAATTTGTTGTGATTTTTATATTGCGTTATTCACAACCGATCTTCCATCGAACGAGTAGGGTAATTGTCGACTGATTTCTAATTCATCCTGTAGATATGTACATAGATAGGATTACTTGAAGTATGTTAGTGTCCTCATAATAAAAATGCCAAATCCATAATCATTGTAACGGTGCTTGTTTTAAAGCTCTTTTTTGTACGAATGTGGTTGGTGTTTTGGCGTACTGACGGCAAGCTCCATCGGCGCTGGCGCAGCTCGACGACTCTTTTGCATGGAGTAGGCGCTCGCGTACAAAGTATGTTTAGGTACCTCGGTTGTGAGTAGACGAGTAGCGTTAACTTCGGGCCGGGTGTTCGTTGCGCGGTACATGATGCCGAAGTGCCATTAAAATTGTTGTGACTACAGCTCGATAGATATAATATGCATATTTATATAGTAATTTGTTAAATTTACTCCTAGTTCGTGAAGCCACCGCGTGTGACAGCGCCCTAACGCTTGTCTGGCTTCCGTTGTAAAACACTGAGTTGGTTATTTGACATTTTATCAGATAAGAGCCAATAAGACTCGTCATAATGTCATTTTGACCATTAGGATGTCATATTCCTGACTGGACTAAACGTCTGAAATAAAAACGTTGACGTTTCGGTGGCATCCTTGAGTTTTAATGTTATACAGTATTTTTCTACCATTATTATTTTGTTGTTTCAGCCAGCCTATAGAGGGGTGGAAGTACGTATAATAGATACACTTTCAATTAATAGCGACTGCGTAACGAACACACGGTCCGTTCCCGTAAATGTTGCTTATGTGATTTTTTATTCTTCCGACCGCGGTTGTGAATCACTGAAAAGCAATAGTCTACCTTTGTAAATATAGTTCTACTTATAGACATCTACGTCACGTTGAATATCTTTAATTTAGGCCTCGTATTGGCAATGTTGCGGTTAGAATCTCGGCGTGAAGTTGCAGAGAGTTCACGAATATACCACCTACACACTGTAAAAGAGTCAGATACGTACAGTCCACGAAAATAATAAAATTATGAATTTATAGTTTCGAAATTGAGCCAGTACAACTACTCTAAAATGTAAATAATAAAGTGGTTTTATTCAAACGTTGACTGTACGTGTATCTATACATTATAATATCAGTCCCATCACTATAATAAATAAGGGCTCTGAACAAATGTCAAGGCGTATCGTAGATCTAGTGATGGTGGTCATGGTCGATCGTACAATTAATACCAACAGTATAGTTGGTGTAAGAACACTGCCACATACTCTCGCGGTTAGCTAGATTAGTATTTAAACTAAATTGGCGGGAATATATCGAACAAAATTAACTTGCGAATTATTGCACAGCACCATCTTTATGTCAGTTCAATCAACATGTTTGTCTATGGTTTATTTTATAATCCTTTGCTAATCAGAACTCTCTTATCGATCTATTCGCGCCAGCTTTGGAAAAACTGTTTGATGCGTTCAATGTAACTGCTGTTTGTGTTTGGAGCACATTGTAAATTGTTCAACAGTGAGACATTTTGAGGAAATCCATTAAAACGTTACTTTTGATTAATTTTACTTGAACAACACACGATATTCAAAGAATAATTTACGGCTATTTTAAAACTGACAAAGATTTGACGTAATTACGACACGCATTGGAAATGCCTGTAATTGAATACGTTCAAATGATTCACACAATAAATTTATTTATAATAAATATTGCGTTTTTATGGTTTTCTTCTTACCGTGATGATATTATTTTGTAATTAGACTCCGAAATAATTGCGTTTGTCAGACGTGAGTATTTTTAATGTGATCAAGTTCATTCATTTAAGTATTTTTTATATCTTAAGAATTTTAATCCGCGTCTGATGAACGCAAGTGTATCCAGTCTCGTGTAACCCGATATTTGTTAAAAAAACTAAAAAATGGGTGTTATTTCAAGGAACTTAGTTATAAACAAAAGTGGTGAATTATTCGCAAGCAACGTCCGCATATTGTGCATACTCTGTAAATAATAGGTAAATTAAAATTCTATTGTGTAAATATACAGGACCAAGTGTGTAAAAAGTGGAGAGACGAAGCATTTCGGAGCAATGGCTGCCGCACTGCGGGGTTGGTTCTGTTCTCAAATCTATGTGCAGACAGCAGCGTACTACATTTGTAGTAATCATATTGTAGGTAGATTTTGGATTCAAAGACTGGGATGCCTTGTGAACGGGTTTTATTTATTGGCACATGTTATTGTCTATTTGTGCAATATAATATGATTATATCATGACGATTTAGTTGTACCCTTGTGTATGTGTTACGGCTAAAGATAGATGTGAACATAAACTTAAGATTAGCCGGCTAAACTTAAGTTTATCTTCGACGAGGTGTTAATGTTAGTTTCTTCTATCTTTAGCCGGCTAAACTTAAGTGTAACCGCAGGCCCTTGGCTAAAAATGTAGAAGGAAATGGAAAAGGAAACAATGTAAAAATGTTTACTATTTTGACACGAAAACTTTATTAAAAAATAATCACTTTCATTACACATACTTTTATGTACCTATGTAGGTATTCAAAATGACAATAATAATTATTACAATAACAAAATATTAATTACTTAAAACAATATCTAGGTACCTAATCATTAAAATAAAGTAATAAGGAACCATTTGGTCATTACAGAATCTTCTGTAGGTAGGTATTTAAAATTACAAAATAAAACAAAATAAAACTTTTCAGTGTTAATTACTTAAAACAATGTCTAGTCACAATTGTTAAAATAAATAATATGGAGCTATTCGTTGTCTCCCCACCGTCCCCTCAAGCCCTCCGCCGGCCTGGCGCGCCCATCGAATACATTTTTAGCCGTATCGTTTTGGCTAATGTGCACATTAGCCGGCTAAAGATGGAATATCATGACGCAAACTAACATGTTATCGAACTTTAGCTGCTTCTCGAAGCTAAACTTAAGTTTAGCCGGCTAATCTTAAGTTTATTTTCACACCTATCTTTAGCCGTAACATATGCATATAGGACAGAATGAACCCCGCAGTAAAATAGTAACGAGTATATTAGTCAAATTACAATGGGCATTTCGGTATAGGTACCCCGCTTTAGAATAATTCTGATACTTTAATATTCTTACTTTTGTATGTCACAAACTTCAAGTTGATACGTAATCATCTCATACAACACTATTGGCGGAGTGTAGTTGTGCTACGCAAAAAGTGACTAATATTAAAGGTACTTATTATCGTTACTAAAAATAAGTATGTTCGATAATATTTTATTAATCGAGTTATGTAATAGGATCGTTTGTTTGATATTGCGTCAGGTCGCGTGACTTATTTTTGTCACGTTACCAGTGTCAATGAACTGTATTGGGAAAAATAACAGAATAGATCATAAATTGATTATAATTGAACCCTTTTACTATCTATAAAGTAACTACTACGTCATTAACGTATTGAGTTGCGCAGGCGCAAACAAAATTAAGTCGTAGATGTTATTTAACTATTGATCGTATTCAATTTTTTTTTTCAATATTCACTCTGAAGCTAATAAAGAAATCATAAAGCATATCACATCTAGTTTAACGTCTTTTTCTGTTCAAATTCAAATGACGTTTACGTTTTTAATATTAAGACAAGGTATTAGAAATCGCATTCTCCTTAACCAAAAGATACTGACCTTACTTGTAAATGAAAATACAGACCGTATACTAGTCACTTTTTGCAAACGACTATGATTTAAAATCGATTAGTTTAATTTCTGAAGTATATTACTTTAACGTTAAGCACTTGATTGTAAATAGCTCTTAATTCATTAGAATAATTTATTTATATTTTTTTTATTGTTAAACTTAATTTCACTTAAATTATTTATGTAAGTTTTTTTGGCTGCTCTGTAAATTTGACGTGGTTGATGTTACTCGCCGACTTGATGAATCTATTTGCAAATGGTTTGACCTTGATTTTGTAATTTTTTGACAATGACGACTTTGCATGGTGTGTTTGTAACAAATAATCATATCTTCTAACTTTTCTTATGGATTTTTTTTATAATTATTTTTTGTGACAAAGTCAATTTACCGACTTGTATAGACATAACTTTATGTTAATTAATATCGTTAGGGCATGTTTAACTTTGGCAGTAGAGTTCTTACCGCTGCAGCGCTGATCTAACTAAATAAGCTATGAGGCATTATCGATTCCGCCTAAACGATTGCTATGTTTCATCACAAGTGTTTTAGTAAAACTTAGCCTTACTAAATGTCAACCCAACTGCAGATAGATGTGTGAAGTTGCGAATACAGCATTTCTGTTATTTTATGATATAACTTTTCGATATACCCAAACAAATAGTGCAATGTACCATTTTGTTATAACATTGTTGTTTAATAAATTAATTACAAATGTATGTGAGCATACGATATTGGACGAGGGAGGTGTAGAATGGTATAAAATGGTCGCCGGGAGATCGAGGTATGGAGTTACTCCGTATCAAATTGTTGTAGTGGAAAAAGCATAATTTGTATGCTGCTACTGTTTGACATGTGACCCAGTGCTGAGAAGTAGCAGCGACAGAAACTCAGCCCCTATAGTCAATATCTGTGGTTTTGTTTACTATAAAACATGTTTAATATAAAAGCACGTTTGGCTGTATAACATTCCACATGTGTTTGTTTGAAAATAGAAGATTTTATAAAACTTACTTATTCTTGCCGAACTCGTCCGATGTCAGTATGATAAAAACCAATGACTCTTTGTTGCTATAAAGCTTGTTGAGTATTTTCAAAATCTGAAACATATTGTACATGGTTGCTTGGTATAAAGTTTATGTGCTTACAGCCAGACTATGTGTAACACTTTGTTGAGCGCTATGTGAATCACACCAGCTGTGTTCATATAATAATATTGTATTCATGTATTTTTTACACATAA